CTCAGCTATTTTTTCGAGTGACTGTAATATGCAAATAATTTGTGTAAAATGTGCAATTTCGCTGAGTTTGGTATGCATTTCCACCATCAGAGAATTTGACCCTAGAGGATCCTTCAACCCTAGTACTCTAATATGAACTTTCAAAATTTTCTTAAGTCTTTTCTTTATTCTAGAATGCATACCATAATGTAGAAATATGATTCTTGATTTAAAATACTTGCTTGATATGTAGAGCTTTATCTTGAGAAATCACATATGCAAAACGCGCAAGTGTAAAAGCACATGTGAAATGAGTTGTTAGTAAAAATGTATCCTCTTAAGAACTTGTTTAGTACAAAAATAAGTCGCTGAAGACGTACAAATACTTCAATAAACATAAACCGAAACTTATACTTGCGCTGTCTGCTGACGCGCATTGTAACAGGGAATTTTGATTAATTCCCTACTCTTTTTATTTTGAATTGTTAATCAATAAATTGTTTACATCACGAATTATCCATTTTATGTTTTTTTTTGTATGTGGATTTTTATTTTCAAGCTTTCATCAAAATGAGAATGCATTTACTGCTATTTGACATATTTACTTTTAATTAGGGAAGACTTAATAATCTCACTGTTTTTAAATCTTAAAGTAAATTTCTTACTTTTCGCTTTTGTGTATTTAGACCGTTTCATAACTTATCATCTCGTTTTTGTGACGAGTATTAAGATGCATCACTGTTTTGATTATGAAAATACATTTCAAACTTTATCTTCAGAGTTTCAATCATCATTATCATATGCAGCATCCAGCTCTACTTCATCATATGGTAAATATTTCAAATAATTTTTAGGTAAAACTATTTTTATTTTCTATGCACACAATTTTTAACATGAAAAAGTCAACTGAAGAAATCTATTACATTTGGATACTTATCTTTTCTCCAGTAGTTTCAAGTATATAAATTAGTAGTGTGAGGGGGGTCACACTTTTTATTTTTAAAATACTATTCGTCTATTTTAAGTTTCATGCATAAATATACATTCATATAAAAGATAAATATACGTATATACAAAATACTTAAAATAAGCTAACAGTTTTCTAAAAACAAAAAGCGTGCCCCCTCCCTCATGCTATGCCTATATTACAACATATAATCTAACTTAATAAACTTTTTCTTGACCATAGTTTATTTTATTTCGTTGTAATTCATGTTCAAAGTCTGTTCATAACTGAAAAAAAGACATTGTAATATCTTTTTATATTTAGGAAACCCTTATTTGACTATTAACAGTGAACTCCCAGACAAATTTAGATTTCGATATCGCAATGAGGGGCCTCATGGAGGTTTACAACCAATAATCGAAGTAAGATACTTTATAGATTTTAATTTTTAAATATTGGTTTGTTGACTGTTTAATCATTTTTATTATTAATTAATGTTATCATTTGTAAAAATATTTTTCCTCACTTATGGTGTTTAAGTGAAAATCATGCTTGAATTTTTCTTATTCAAAGTTTAAATGCTTTTCTTTTTTGCTAGATCAATAGTTACTATATTGCCTAACATACAAGAAAAACTGGGAAAGTAAAAATTTAATTGAAGTAAAAAATAATGCATTGTTATTTTATTTAACCTTTTTTTCTTATTTGGACTTTGCTTTTTTTTCTTCTTTTTTTTAAATAAATAATGTACTTTGGTATACATTGAATAAAACTTATTACAAATTAATAATAATCAGTGTAAAAGTAGCCTCTAAAACAAGATTGCATAATTGTATTTTAGGATTATAAATTTTTTCTAAATTAATTGTTTTCTTTTTTTGTTCAGCTAAATTTTTCTAAGAAAGTACAGTTAGTATATATATTGAAAAATATTTGTTTACCTTGCAGAGCATATTAATTTTACTTCTTATATAATATAGATGCATGCTAGGCGATTATACGTCTGCGAAAATTCTTAAAATTCGTGCATACTTTTTTTCAAATTAACAGGAGTGTTCACACTGTTTAAAAAATCAACTAAAAAATTTTTTTTATTCAAAAATTACACAATAGGATCCAAATTCAAGTGTTTTAGAAATCAACCATCATAAATCGTATGGCCATTGTCAAATTATCACACAATTTATACAGAGCTGATTGTGCTGCGGAAACCCCCCGGATTTTTCGCTAACAGTGATCTGGAAGTTTCCGGAAATCAAAGGTCTAGACGTTTCAACAAATCTTGATCACAGAGTTTCCGGAAATCAAATTTTCAAAGGTGGAACTTAAAAACACAGTTTATTTTATTTGCTTGTAAGGGAGAGCCAGATACTTTATAAGCTTATATTTATGATTAATATTAATTTCTTATCAGTAAATAGTTATTATAATCATAAACTCAAGAAAGAAAGACATATTTGTAAATTTTAATTGCTTCTCCAGGTCATCATAGATATGTGTAAATGGTATAGGTATGTGTGAAATTTTAATTATATTTTAAATATATTTTAAGTAAACTAAGAAATATTGAGAAAAGGGAAAAAAACCTTGTTTAATTTCTTTCTAATTTTTCAATTTAACTGTGTGTGTTTTTTTTAACTCAAGAAATATTCAGGAATTTTGACTTGGGCTCACAATTAACCCTGTTTGTATTCACATAATTGAAAAATCCTGTATTGCAATTTGTATTCATGTGTTTTGCAGATCCAATATTGTGATTCATATTCACGTGATCTTAATATCAAACATAAATTTACATGATTTAAAAGTTAAACATTGCCATTCCTATTCCAATAATTTAAAAATTACATTTCACATTTTAGATTTATGATTAGAAATAGTTGTAAATGAATATATTTAAATTAAATCTTTGGCTCTTTATGTTTATTCTTTTTATTAAAGAATTTTTACTTTCACACTAATTGCTTGTGATGATGCAATTTTAATAATTTGAAAAACGAAGAGTAAAAGTGAAAGGTAAGATATTTAAAATACAGTTTATTTATTTTAATTAATATTTATTTAATGTATCAGTTTATTTATTTAATTTTACTTTCATTAGTTTATCACCAGTCAAGGATATGCTACATGCCTTCTAATGATAGTAGTAAGGTTGGTTGGTTTGTACCCCTCAAATTTTCCAAACTTTTTGAATTTTTTTTTACAGTTTCTTTTTTTTATCCTTTAAAGACGCATTTTCTATAAAAAAGATACTTTTTTTCCAAGTTTTTTTTTTAAAAATTATGTTTATATATCTTATGTGGCAATCAATAAAAAAAATTTTAGTGCACATTTCCACCAAATTTCTTATTTCTTGGTTCATTTGTTTTAAATTAAAACTCAGGAAACAGGTTAAACCTTAACTTTTTATGGCAGTTTATTACTTTCTAAAATATTATTGCATAATTAAACTTAATAGGTAATTACATTTCATAGATTCACCTGTTTAGTTTTGCAAAACTTGGATATTGGTTCATTACTTTAAATTTGAAATTTCAAATGCATTTGTATCTTTCAAATAAATATTTTATATTAAGGTATAAATTTGTATTTTTTCTAAAAAATTTTTTAACATATAATATTTATATTTTAGTTACATGGTTGTGATGATCCATCAGGTATATACATTAAAGCTTCTTTGTACACCAATGAAGAAATACCTAGATTGCATGTTACTAACTGTCTTTTTGGAAAACATTGCGATGATGGAGTGTGCTGGATGAAATTGTCTGAAGACTTTACAGCAGAGTAACTATGTTTTATGACATTATTTTTATTCTGACAGTGACAGATTATGGATGGTGTATTCTATACAAATGTAAATAAAAACAATTCTTGACTTTCTTACCTACACGACTTCAAGTTCGAAAGTTTGCAACTGTTTACCAAAGCTTATTGTAACATAATTCTGTTTTCGATGAAAAAATTTAAAAATTGATAAAAATAATTTTTGAGCTCAAATCTGTTGCACTTAATATTATTTTAATGATATTGAGTAATTTTTGTGAGTTCAAAGTAAAAATTTGTTTTAGCTATTCTAGATATATTGTTTAAAAAAAAGGGGGCGAAGTGGTTGCTATAATTGGAAAGAACTCACTTTCCCTGTGGCAGAATTTTTTTGGATTTCTGTGACGAAACTCTCTAGCACTAATATCTTTAAACAAGTTACTTTCAATAATAACAACGGTGTATATTACTAATTTAATGTAGCAAAAACGCTTTTTACAAGTAAAAATAAATATAATTATTTTTATTGAATGTGTAATATTTTTTTAATTCTAATATTATGGGATATTTTATCGCCTTTTGTTTTGGAGACAAATGCACTAATTATTTCCTTAATTGCATTTCGTAAATCGTCATCACATTAAAAAAATAATTAAAAATCATGAAATTCGTAGCAGTAATTACCGAAAAACAGATAGACGACAAAATCACACAAATGGGATCAGATTTCTTTACATGTGACCCTCATGATTTGTTGGATAGACCTTAAATATACTGGTTTATTATTGTAAAGGATATGTTATGTTCAAAATCAGATGCAAAAGTGTACTTTCACCAAATACATGAAATAAGTTAAAATAGTTTCTGAGTAATAAGATTAAAAAACAATTGTAATTGTAATCTATTTAGTTATTGATTTAAAAATTTCACATTTTGGATTTTGTCCTTTAATTTTATTTAGTTCTGAATAATTCGAAAATTTTTCTTTCTGAAGCTCAATGTTTTTGATCAATATTAAATTCTGAATGACACGCAAACAGGCAAATTTGAAAGTTTCTTCTGTGTATTATATATTTTTGTGTTTGATTTTTTAACTTAAGATAAAAAGTAACTCAAGATAACAGCATTTGCATTAATTAATTTTCATATTTATGATGTTTTATGCTAGTTAAATCATTTAGATTTTAACTTGGGTGTGAAAATTCTCTCATTATGATAGATTAAAAGTTATTCAGAATGTTCCCATTCACTGTTTTAATTGAAAGGAGTATCAGTAAAATGGAAAAGCTAGTTTTATTTGTTACTTTTGTTTTTTGTTTTAGCTTTTAACACTAAAAATAACTCTTGCCTATTATGGGAAAATAACTGAATCTAAAGGGACATTGCATTATTTTACTGATTTTTCTAAAAATTCGACTTGTTCATTTTCTTTCTACTAGAAGTTGGAGTCAATTCATTTTCTTTTAAACATAATATATTTTTTTATGAAGAATTTTATTATTAGAAAATAAGCTGTATTATTGTTCTGATTTTTTTATAAACTGCATGATTAATAATTTTAGCTTTTATACCAGTTTTAATTTTTATTCTAGTTTTAATTTTTATTCTGGTTTTACCTTTTATTCCAGTTTTAACTTATTAATTACAAATGAGGAATTTTGTTTTAGGTTTCCTCAACTGCCAATTTTGATTAAGAAAATGGATGAAACAAAAGTCATTTTAGAAGAAAGAATTAAGCAAAGATATTGTTAGTTCAAGTATTATTTAATCCGTTCTGACTATTTTTATATCATGTATATTTAAATATAGCTGTTATATTTTAACCGAAAACTCTTAATTTAGAAAAAAACTTTAAACAATAACAAGTAAAGTTTATTAGTGTACCTATTTAAATTTGTGTTAGTCTCTGATGACAGGATCTTAACTTGGCTAACATTGTTTCTTATGCTTGCAACAATATGCGACACACCTTAGCAACTCTTAGCATAGATTATTATAAGATTTGTTATATTGTGCTGCTATAAAGTGATTCTTATTAATATTGTTCATAAACTTGTTTAAAGACAAGCAGAAAAAAAAACTTAATGTGTGCTGATGAATAGAAAAAAAAACTGTGTGTATTTATTTGCACATGTTGCTTGATACTTATTGCTTCTTTCATATTTATTAAATATTTTTATTAATTTTTATTAAAAATTTTTTTTACTAATATCACACAGCAGACTAAAAAAATTTTTTTTATATATTACTTTTATTATATGCTTTGCCTAAATTAATCTTGTATTTAAGTGATTAAGTATGTTGATTATTATTAGTATTGAGTGATCTCGATGAAATTTTTTATTTGTTTTGATTTAAAGCTTTATTGCATCTTTTTGCCTAATTTAGTTTTAATATTTATAAGAATTAATAATGATATAATTAATCATATTGCTACATTTTTATTTATTTTAAACACAGGTGGCTGTTAGAGTTTCTTTTTTTAAACTTCAGAACTCCTAGTTGAATGGTATCTCAAAATTATGAATAAGGCTTTGAGCAAAATATGTGAACATGAAGCTAGAGATGAATATATCCGAACAACACTTAAGTGTATCAGTTATGCCTAAGTTCTTCAAAAACAATTAGTTTTTAGATTTATAATAAATATGAAAAAAGAACTTTAACAATGCTGTAAATCAAAGAGTCTTGCTCCATTGAAAATATATGTATATTGCTGTAAATATAATGTAAATACCATACGAAATGCTTTGTTGGGTGAGGTGTAGGTATAACTCAATGTGCAAACATGTTCACATGGTGAGTTTTGGATTGTTTTGACCTAACATAATAAGCGAAGAGATACACAGTTAAAATTAGAAACAATTGGTAAACTAATATTTTTTTTCCTTCTTAAAATGCTGCATGAATATGAAAAATTAAATTTTTGATCAAAATTTAATATATTTAAACCTCAAACAAGCATTAAAAACAAAATTGTGTTTATAGCAAAAGTGTTAGTCAACTTTAAAAAGAAAATTAAGAAAGGCTTGATTGTTTCAAGTTTTCATTACTGATTTTTAAAAATTTTATGCTGTTTTTATTCTTATTACTATAGGCAACTTTTCCAAACTAAAGCGTTCTGAAATTTATAAATTAGTTTTTTGACCCACTTTAATGGTTATCCTATGGATAGTGATTGTAATTTTGATTCTTAAGTTACTAATAAATTTACTCCTTATCAATTTAGAAAATATAAACATTTAATATTTTTGGGAATCAGAAAAATGTAAGTCAGGGATGTCAAACTTGCGGCCCGCTGAACACTTTTGTGGCCCAGTCAATATATCCGAGGCAAATTAAAAACAAAATAGAAATGTGAATTAGAAACGAAACCAGCATATAAAATTATAATATACTGTATTTATAAACTGTACGCATCATTTTAAATTGTACGCAGCGAAAATGTAAAATTCTAATTGGCTGAAATGGAGTCCGTTTCACTATAAACTATCAATTAGATAGTACATAATCAGGTTTATCCTACTATAGCGAGGTAAGTTCGGTATCTTGCTCCAAGGTTCTCAAACAATTCTGGGATTTAAAAGAAAAAATATCTAAGTTTTTACAAACTATAAATCAAGATACAAGCTTGTTCTCCGATCAAATATGGTTGCAAGGTTTATCTTTCATGGTTGATATAACCAAGCACTTATCCGATTTAAATTTATTGTTGCAAGGTGAGGATTAGATCATTACGAACATGTTTGACAGAATTAAAGCATTCAAATGTAAACTATTTCTTTGGGAAAGGCAACTGAAAAATGAAGATTTAACGCACTTCCCAATGTGCAACAGGAACAAATCTAGTTAAGAAGATACTGCATCGTATCAAAAATACGCAGAAAAAAATTCAAATCTTAGAACAGAATTTGAAACAAAGTTTAAAGATTTTAATGCTTTGGAAGACAAATTTTGTTTGTTTTCTTCGATTTTCTCAATAAATATAGACTCAGTACCCAGTTATATGCAAATGGCAGTGATTGAGATTCAGTGCAACTCAAATTTGATGGCAAAATTCACTGAAGTGGGTGTGCCTGAATTTCACGAATATTTACCGGCAAGGTTTGAAAATACTCAAAAATTTGCGTATGAAATTATTTCCTTGTTTAGAAGTACTATCAGTGAGAGCAATTATTTTCTGTTATGAATGGAAATAAATCTCCTGTCCGAAACCGTATTAATAACACTCACGTAGGGTCAATTTTGAAAGCAGTCTCAGCCAATAAAATTTCTCCCAAAATAGAAAAGATAGTAGCAGAGAAGATGTCAAGTATCAGGACGTAAACAATAATTTAACTTTATGTATGTTTATTACAATTTAAAATAAAAATATTTGTTTCTATGAACATTGATTTTTTTTCCTTTTTGCGGCTCCCCTAAAGTTAAGCATTGTTTATTTGGCCCAAGTTAGCTTTTGAGTTTGACACCCCTGATGTAAGTTGTGAATATTGGGTTATGCTTGACTCTTAGTCAGTAAAAGTGTTCATTCTAATTAGGTATATTTAACAGAAATTATTTGTAATTTTGGAAAATTGTCAAATTTAGTGATAAAAGCACTCTTTTGTAAAATCACTAAAAATGTTGTAAACAGTGGTGCGTTATTTGATTCTGCTTCAATGGCAGCTTTATATAATGTTTTATGTTCTCTGCTGATTCAGTGAAAAACTTTTTTTTTTTCATTGGATTTTTGGAGTTTGGACTTCATGTCAACTGCTTCCATTCAGCTAGTAATAATATTTCCAATTTAAAGATTTTTCTGTGTAAACTTAATATACATTTTTAAATTTCCTTTCCCTTTGAACTAAATTTTCTTTATTGAAAAAAATTTGTGAATAGTTTTTATCAAAATTTGAAGAAGTGTAATTTTTAAAATGGAAATTAAAAATTTATAAGATTTTTTAACAAAAAATTAATTTCAAAAGTAAATAAAGAAATAAAAGCTAAACTTTAAAAAAAGGAAAACCTCATAAAATATATGCTGTTCCATACAGCATATTAATTTCCATATGACAGTCAAAAGTTGTCTAAGATCACGATCATGCTCAAGGGTTATGGATGGAGAAATTGTTCCAGGACCTGGGATTGCTGAGGACTTCAGAAAATTGCTCTGCAGAAAATTAAGTGTCCATTAATTATTTTTTTAAACAAAGATAGCAGAGTATTCCTTCCTTGTATTCCTATAGAAAAAATATTTTTAAACGATTTTTCAAAAAGTTCTAGAAAATATTAAAATAAGATTTTTTTTATTTAAAAGAATGGGGCTTTCAGAAGAAGAATGGGAAGTCATTTTTGGGGCTCGTGTCCAGCCTTGTTGAGGATTCCATGACTTCCACATAAATTCTCACGTAAACCACCCAACATCTGGGTGCATGCTGCAGATCGTAACTCTTTATGTGCCTTATACTGATGTCGGGTATTGTGTGAATAAAAAAAGATAACTTCATGTTGTTGCTTCTCCCTCTTTCCTTCGCTAGTACGTATGAGATACAGTTTTGTGCCCTGCTTTGAAAGTTGAATTAAAAATGCAGTTATGATAATAAGGAATTTTTCTCTTGTTACTGCTATTATCAATTCTTTTTTTTACTTGTTTGATAATTCTAATTATTTTTTAAAAAAGGAATTTATAATTTTTTTTTTTTACATTTTTTATTATATATATTTTATTTACTTTATTATACATATTTTATTGTACATTTTTTATTGAATATTTTTTTAAAAAGAAATTACTATTTTTCAGTGGAGCAAGGGAAAAGTATTTCTGAAAAAAATCTGAAAAAAGAATCAAAAATGGAATTAAAAGGATATAACAGTAATTGTGTTAAGTTTTGCTTTGAAGCCTTTTATAAAAAAGATGAAAATTTTCCTGTATGCAAGAAAATATTTTCAAAACCAGTTAATTTCTTCAGTAAGTAAATTTAAGTAATCAAACTTATGTTATTTACATTATGATTCTGAATACATCCATTTTTCATACTAATACCCATTCAGCCTGTAATATTGCAGGGATATCCAGATATGTCTAAATTTTCAATTAATATTTTGGATTTATCTGAGATATCTAAAAATACCCAAGTAAATCGATATGAATATTTTGGCTCTCTGACATTATTTATGAATATGCATTGGCTATGGATGTTGAAGCGATATCCTCATGTGTCCAAGTTGAATATATGAATATTTTGTTACCTCTTGGATATTTATATGTTTAGGGTGTTAATGTTTAAAGAGTGCCTGAAGGTTATCTTGAATTATATTTATTATCTGGTGCATTTCTAGTTTTTAAATATCACCAAGATTTAGGTTTTTAGATATTTATAAGACATGCTTCATTTGCCAGTCCTTATCCACGTAAAAATACATGAGAAGAAATAGAAAATAATACTAAGCGTTATTATAATTTTTAATATGAATATTGTTATTAATAATATTTTTATTGTGGACTAGGCTTATTTTCAATGCAGACAAACAGCTCTAATTATTATTATTTTTTTTTTTTGGTAAATGGCAAATTTTACGCACAGAAAATGTTATGAAGTTATCGATGCACCAATTAATTAACATATTTGAGGTCACCCTCTTAAACCATTACGAATGAGTCCTGATACGTGAAGATCCGATCATTAGATCAAGAGTTATTCAGGATGGTCTGATTTTTTTTAGCAGTGTATACCATTTTTCTTTGAGGTAAGAGATCTAGCTTTGGATTAGCATTTTTGTTTTAATTACAATTCCAGTCAACAAACATCTGTTTTACATTCCTCACAATCATTATGCAGTATTTCTTTAAGTGCATGACGTTTTCTAATCATATAAATTTGTACAACCTTTATTCTCTCATCTTTTAACAGGGACATAAAATTTTGAATTGTATTTGTATGGTCGCACATGGGATGTTAATATTTATGTTAAAGATAGATGGTGGAAGTTTAATGCTTCTCTCTTACTATTATCAACCAAAATGAAACTGAAATTTTAAAATTAATCCTAAATGACATATTCTTAGAAAATAATAAACTAGAGGGATAAACAGTTTTACGTATCTTGAAAGTATAACTGACAACAAAGGAGGAACTCATTAAGATATGCTAAATAGAGTAAACATATCCTGAAGCATTTATGCTATTCTAAATAAATTCTGGAAAAACATAACAAATTCAGCAAAGATTAAAATTTTAATATTAATGTTAAATCTGTTCTCTAATTATTTGAGACATGGCACTGCAATAAAAATAACATGAAAAATTTCAAGTATTTATTAACAACAGTTTAACAAGAATTTTACGAATCTAGTTGTTCCATAAAATGTGCTAGACAGAAGTCCTTAGAAAAGCAAAACAGGAATCAGTCGAGCTTTAAATTCAAAAACCAAAATGGAAATGGATTGGTCATGCTCTATGTAAACCTGAAAAATTAAAAGTAAGACAAGTTTTTGATTGGAACCCGCTGAGTAATAGAAAAAGAGGAAGACCTTAAAGTACTTGGCGCAGAACGATTGTAAGTAAATCAAAAATATTAGGAAGGACAGGGTGAGAGGCAAAATATTTGGCCATAAATAGAGTGAGAAGGAGAGCTATGATAAGTCTTATGCTCCAATTTGGAGTATGTGTATATTTTGTTTAAAATTTTTCATGACTTGTAGCTTTAATATTGCATTAACGGTTTTAGTTTCAACATTCTTTGCTTCTTTATATTTTAGAAAGTAAAGATACTGTTAAAAAGTTAAATATTTCTCGATTATCAAGATACACAGGAAAGGTGACTGGAAATGAAGATACAATATTGTTATGTGATGAAATAGACAAAGGTATTATGCATTTTCTGTTTTTCTTCTTTTCTTTTACATGCGTATTCTTTGTTTCAATAAACATTTACTCACTGAAACATTTTTTATTATCAAATAAACAAAACAAAAGAGATACTTGACCTTGCATGCTTCAAACCTTTATTTTAGTGTATCAACAAATGATAGTCTTTTAATAGTTCTATAATATTTTCAAATGCTTAATGTAGTTAAAAATGCTAACATTCCACTACATCCAAATACCACCTCATATTGGAAGATTAAACTGTTTCTAAGAAATGTAAGCATGAATTCAATGAGGAATATTCATCAAAAATCTTTGTTCTTTTTTTTTTGGGAAGTGATGGAGTCAAATGCAGCCTAATTGCTGGAAAAGTACTCTGGCGATGTACTATGGTACTGCTCTAATCCTAGACTTCAATAAAGGGAGTTGTTAAGGACATATTGGGGATTAAACATTTCCAAGTATTGTGATGAACACTACACTTTGCACAGTGCTTCCCCCCCAAAATGAAAGAGAGTTCAAGGAATGTACAAGAGAGCTTGAATTAAAAATGTTTTCCATTTGAAGAATATTAAGTACTCAATGGCTAGCTTATCATCCTTTTGAAAAAAGTTTGGTGCACAGCTCAAACACTTATGTAGTGCCTTAGTAAGCGTGACCCAAAATTCAAGAGTGAGTAAAAAGGCTTAGGCAAACTTGTTTTATGTACTATTCTAGACATTTTCTTGAAGCCCTTAAAAAACTGACATATATTTTCTGATTTTTAGAAATGTGATACGACACTGACTGAAGCACACAAATTAGTAATGCACAGAATTTCAAGGATCATGAGAGTCAATGATATAGAAAGGAAGACAGAGATAACTTAAGTGAAACAGAAAATTCTATGTGAAATATATTAATTTTACAGGCATTAAGCTACACAATAGATCTAAAGCTATATAGATCTAAGACCAATCGATAAAAAGTCTTTTTAAATGGCCATAAGATAAGATGTAAACACTGAAGCTTTACTTGAGGTGAAAAAAGCAATAAAGCATTGTGCAGAACATTTGAAATTGAAGAACAGTTTTCAAGAATATATTGAATCAAAGCTTAATTTTTTTTTTAAAAAAAGGAATATTTTTTACATTTTAGTCAAATTTGAAAAATAGCAAAGTGTAAAATATGAGTAAACTTTTAATTTTACACATAATTTTAAAAATCTTAGGCTTTATACTTCTAAACATTTTTCTTAACTTGTATACCAAACTATTTAAATTAAATAATAACTCCGAAATTCTATATAAATTTTGTAATAATGGGTTTAAAAAACTATAGCTTCTTAAAGCATTCCAAACAAGCTCCATTGGATTCAAGTCTGATTATCAAGCTTGCCACTCCATGCACTGAGTTATTCGCTGCTGAAAATAATCATCCATGATGCAAGCAATCATTGATGCCCTGTGCAATGTTGTGTTATTGTCCTGTAGCACAAAATCATCACCTATTGCACCAGCATAAGGGCCTACATTAACATAAAGAGTGTCATCTTTATACACATGATTGTTCACAATTCCACATGGAAAGATGTGCAGGTCGGGTTCCAAATTCTCTCCAATCAAACAACATCTATTATCACTTTGGAGGCTAAACCTGGACCCATCTATGAAGAGAATAGCCATCCTGTGGACATAATGCTGTGCCCACCTCAACATTGCCTTCTCTGGCGTGATGAAAGTGGCACACAAATGGCTGGTCGCCAAGTGAACTAACCGCGTCTGTGAAGTCTTCAGCGCACAGTAGACATTGACACCAATCTTCCGGTGACTGCATTAAAAGAGGATCTGAACTAACTCAGAGTTAGGGTTCTATTTCTCCTTATGAATAATAAAAAATATCAGTCATAAGCATTCGTTGTAGCATATGGCTCTCTTTGGCTAAACCTTCTAGGTGTCAACCTGTAGTTAAAAATTTTTTTCCAAAGCTTATGAACCACATAAGAACTCACATTTAGCCACTTCTATCTGACTTTGTTCTACCTCTAGTCTTTCAGTAAATCTCTGTCACAGTTCTTCAGACAATTGATGCCTGGAGGTCATTGTTAAGAATTGGCTATCTCAAACTTCAAATTTTAGAAACGCAGCTAAATTTGATGGTTTGCGATCAAACATACGATTTCATGCTAATTTCAGATGGCGTCATTCCATTACAGCGCCACTAGTTTATGTAATGCGGTTTTTCTTAGCAACTCTTTTTTTGACAATATACTCAAATTTAATTGGAATTGCTTATTTTTGGAAGAGTTATAGCTATTTTTGTAATTTTCCCTTAACCTATGATAAACAGTGTATAAGGATTAAGAAACGTCTTGAAAGTCATCTATCAGACCTTATTTTTCATAAAGTGTTTTTTTTTTTACCATTAATTCCTTTTTATCCATTATCATTCATCAAATCATGGCTCAGTAGTGCAAGGCATGCTGCCGAGTATGTATTGAGTATATCTTGCAAGAGATTTAAAATCTGCAAATGAATACTAAGTGTTGTGAGCTCTTGTTTAAGGAGATAAAGTTTTCACACTTTTCTTATAAAAATATTTATAAAATTTTTTATTTGGGAGTTAGCTTGGCAACCCACCCTTTTCTTTTTTTTTTGTTTGTTCTCCCACTTCTTCGGTTGCCACAAATTTTTTTTTTGTTCCTCCACTTCTTTGGTTGCCACAAAGTTTATTTTTTTTACGTTGATTTTAGTTTGAAAATTTTTTTAAGATACCAACTAACAGATCAAGTTACAAACGGTCGTGCCAGAATAATAAAACTGTCACCCTGAACTTTTTAAATTATTGGTTGTTTTATAAGAAAACTAATTTAAAAAAAGTGCATAATTATTTCTCATTGTATTATTTTATTACAAATTATGAAATATTTTACTTCATTTTTTCAGTGGCTAAACCTTTTATTAGGTTCATTTGGTTAAATTTATCCACCTGCTATTATTATTATATTTCAGATGATATTGAGATTGTGTTCTTCAGTTTGGACAATGATCAAAATGAGGATTGGAAAGAAAATGCAAAATTCCTTCCTTCTGATGTCCATCATCAGGTTGTTAAAAATATTTCAACATAATTTTGAATTTTTGGTATTTTCTTATGTTTTTCAACTTCTGTATCTAAAATAAAATAAAGTTTATTTTCTATTATTTATATTTGAAAATAACCTGATTGTAGCTATTTCTTGTTGCGAATATTTTTATGAATATTTTTGATCAAATATAGTCTTATTTTTATGTTATCAAAATCTTGTTTTATTTTAAATACTTGCTATTTTATATTATTTTATCTGTGTCAATGAACAGTCAGTTTTTTGGCTTTTAATGTTTATCTTATTAGCCTTATAATATTGAACCTAACCTGGAAAATAAAGGAACTCTGTGTTTTTGAAGCATTGGGACAAGCTTACCTTCAAGAAAAACTGTTTGATTAAAATTAAAAAAAAAAGCCTACATGTATCTGCATTTTACTTAACCTACATTTGGAGGTCTCATAATTAGTAAAAATGATTTTTCACCCATGATATATCTCTCCGTAGGAGTCTTTCAACCTGGATCACTGGTTGGTTCAAGTTGAGAGCAGTATAATAATGGACCAGCTGACAACAATAATTAGAGTAGTTACCAATTTTTGTAGTAAACATGGTCATATAGTCTACATCAAGCATCTTAAGTTTTGACTTAAAGAACATGAAATATGAGTTCTCAATCAAGATACTAAACGATTTTCGGTCAGTCTACATAGCTGAACTTCTAATCAAAAGATTTAATTCATTTCATTTTCATTAAATTCAAAATCATTCAACAGCACTCCTAATCAACTGGTTTAAACTTCTAGGAATCCTTTCTTGTTTTGAAAAATTCTAATAATTCTGTAATGACGTTTCTAGTATCCCATTATTTCTAAGCATTTAAAAATCTATTTCCTTTTAATTTTTGCATCTTAGAATATCTACACTCTATATCTTTTTCTTATCTCTCAACTTTAATTTAATCATCTTGTTTCCCTTTCTTATTGATTAAGCTATTTTATTCTTTGTTATAACTTATTTTTAATTTCTTTTGCATCTGTGTTTACATCTTTCATTCTACGTTTTCACATTTAATTGTTTTCAATATAGTGTGGAAATTATCCTTTATGTGGCATCATTCTTGCTGTTTCAGTTTTATTGCAAAACTGCATATGTTCTAGAAACATATTGGATTTGTTCTATTACTTGTTTAAAATAAGACTTTAAATAAATGTTAAAATAATTGACACTAAAAGTTTTATGATTTATAAATTTATCTAAGTAATTATTATTTGAGTAATTAATTTCATTAATTTATTTAGTTGTAAAATTAATTAAAGTTTACAAAATACATTGCATTTAACAATTGCCTAATAAAGTTTGAAGATATAGAAAATTTATGTTATATACACTTTAATGCAAGTGACAAATATTGATGTTTTACTTTGTACTTTGTTTCACTTATAAACTGTGCTTCATCACCATTTTAACTTGAGTAATATTTCGGTAGGTTGCTATATGTTTCCAAACTCCTCCTTTCAAAGAGAATATCGAAAAAGAAGTTTTCATTCAACTTCGTAGCAAGTCAAATGGAATGAAAAGTAATGCAGTGAACTTCCGTTATGTACCTTGTCACGGTTAGTGAAAGTTCTTTCTACAGTAGAAGATTTTTATAACCCAAATTTTGAAACATGTGAATTTTATGTTACATAGATTATTTCACATATCGTTGAACTTGTCTACCGAACATGTTAATGTTCAGCATATGAATCCAAATGCTTTTAAATAAAGAGAATTTTTAAAGGCCAAAATATAACAAGGATCCCATGGTTCTTAAAAACTGCTTAATTTTTATTTGGGAAAATTAGAGTCCTTGAAAGTACTTAATTTTGGTTTCAAGGTTTTTAAAAGTATTTAATTTTTCAGCATCACTATCCTTGATAAAAACAATTTTTCAGTTCAATTTTTATACACAAAAAGTCGTTCTAGAATTAGACCATGCATTGAGGGTAGAACTTTTCTGTAGCCTATATTCCTTTAAAACTAGGATGAGAAAACTATGCCACGTCAGAAAGCTCCAACCTATCTGATATTTCTACCTCGCCTTTGTCAATTAAAAAAAAATATTTTCATATTTTTTGCATTATGAAAATGAACGCTGTTTGTGAAAAATTTCTCACTATCATGGAAATTTTTTTAATAATACGCATTGTAAAAATAAAGAAACTGCCAAAATTTCTCTATTCTACGTCACTGACAATTTTAGAAAATTCAGGTACAGCAACAGGAGATTTGATAAATCAATAACTCGTTATATACCTCTAGAAAACTGTTATATTTAAAAAATTATATGCTCTAATAATAATCAGCATGCAGTTATATAAAAATTAAAACACTTTTAAAAGTATAAAATATAGTAATTTTCAAATAAATTTTGTCAGAATAATGGAGAAAAAAGGATTGAAACTAGTTACAAGAGTCAATAAATTGCTTGCGGAAAGTTTTTTATTGAGATTTTGTGTTCACAGAAAGTATCTCATTTTATATAAGTCTGCAGTATCTTATAATATAGCACCTATCTTCAATATTTGGTGGAAGAGAAGAATTATTTTGAAATTTTAACTGTTTAACTTTCAATAAAATGCAAAAAAAGAGAAAAGAAATTAAAATTTTTGTTCTTACACCAAAAAGAAATTTTTATAAAAGATGAAAAATAAAAAATATTATTTTATGTAATCTCTAATATAAGTATGACTTACATGAACGTGATTCTTCTAGCTATTAAATTTTTTAAAATGTACCATCTTAATAATCAAAATAAGTAATAATTTTTTAGAACTGTAAAATGAAACCATTACTCTGCGTATAATATTTTGATACTGCAAGGTTTTATGATTAAAACCTTTTGTAATAAATATTGATTCAAAAAATAATACAAATGAAACACAGTTTTATGTTGTTTTTTTCTCTTCTACATACGTTTTTGCTGTTAATGTTTTATAGCAATAAAATTATATATTTTTATAGAGTTGGAACCAGAATTAATAGTACAGCAAACAAAGAAACGGAAAAGACTGGCCGAAGATCTCCTCGAAGGTGACCTTTCTATGTCACTGGCAAGTTCTTCAAAAACTGAGCAAATAAAAGCTTTTGGTGACTTAGATGGTTAGTTTTGTTTTATTTGACTGTCTAAAGTTATACATGAAAATAGCGCTTTTATTATTAAATCTGAGAATTATATATTTTTCAACTGTAATAGAAGTCTATTTATTAATTTTCTTTTATGCAAAGGGGATATAGAGATGTGTTTTCTTATAAAATTATAAGTTAATATTAGTAATATTTTTTCAATAAATAACTTAATGGAATAGAAATAATGACTATTTAAATTATGTATTCAAAATTGTCATTTAACATCTTCTTTTCATTGCAGTCTTAATTGTTTGGCATTTTTGTTTTACATATATAGCTTTTTTCTGGTGTCAGATAAGTGCTTTTGCTCATATTTCAACCTTAACGTTACATAAGATTTTTGACATATGTATTTTCGTTGTTTTAGGTAATCAACTTTAGTTTAAAAATGCTTTAAATTTTTATAGATTACTAACTAAATACCTGTTATTAGGGGCTGAAAAAAAGTAAGCTATCAATATATTAGTACTAAACAACACTTCAAAATCATGAACAAAATTAAAAGTAATTTACTAACAATGAATAAAGTTAAAATAATTAAATTTTTTTATTTATAATATTTGTTTTTCTAGGTGGCTTTATATTATTAAATTAAGCAAAATACTTTTTTAGTAGTTCTTATATAAAGATTAACTGCACTCAATATAATTTGGCATTATGCTGTTGCTTAATGCCAACTGATTATAGTTAAAATTTACCACATTCAAGCAGTTTTCTCCAGTACTTATTTCTTTAGAAGAAGAATAAAAAATTTAAATCTTCCAAGTATTGATGCAGTTTTAAATAGTGTCAAATATAGTAACATAATACATTGTATGTGTTTAGTATATTTGGTATCTCTTAAAGCTGGACCAACACCTTAATACTAGTAGTACCTATTGCCAAAATTAATTTGGCATCATTGGTGTCGATAATAATAATTTAACCATTTTATATGTTTCTCCTAAACAAATTAGCATCTTTCCTCCCCTTAATTTTGCTTTTTAAAAAGTTCAATCACATTAATGTGACCACCTGTCTAATGTTAGAATAACTACTTTTCACAAAAGGACTTCTGAGAAATGTTCAGGAAGAGAGCCAATTGGATTCTCGAAGGTTTTCACTGTAAGGTGGAGTGCTGTGGCTCTGAGAGTGCTGCAAACTCTGTGCTGTGTGCCAGCTGCAGTAGGTTACACAGTTGAGGATCCATGCCGCGATCAACGCAATCAAGGTGGTCCTACAGATTCTCCATTCGTTTTAAATCCAGGGAGTTTTGTGACCAAGGTAGTTTGGTAAACTCATCCTGGTGCTCATCGAATCATGCATGCACACGCCAATCTGTATGACACAGCTCATAGTCCTGCTGGTAGATTCCATCATTCTGAGAAAAAACAATTAGCATTTAGGGGTGTACATGGTTTGTTGGAACAGATGTATACTTGTGTTGATCCATCTTGTCATCCATAATGATGAGTGCACTCTGAAAACATTCTCCAGGCCATAAAGCTCTTTTCTCTAGCTTGGACCCATCTAGCAATAGTTTCCTTCTGGTCTGTCCTTCATTGAAAATTTTTAAGGTGTTTTATGTTGTATATGCAAGCATCCATTTATTCAATAGAGTATAAAACATATTCAATGGAAAAAACCACCTGTATCCACTCAGTGGACGTTAAGTTGTTGTACTGGCATGCTAATTCCGGCCTTCGTTGTTTATTTTATTGTATACATTGCAAACATTGCATTTCATAGCATTGTATTGTATGCACTAAAATTGGAGGTATGGCAGTGTGGCTAATAGTATGATAATTGAAATGTTTAGTTATCCCTTTTGCTGTTATGTGAGGTGGTGCAGCATTTTTATAAAAAATTAATTTTTCTAAAAAGTTATATCACATTATTTTAAGTTTTAGAATTTTTATTCCTTCAAATTTTTATGAGGAACTTAAAAGTCATCTCTTTTTTAAAATTTTAAAAACTGTTAACTCTATTAGTAATTTTTTCTATGAGGGTATAAGGACCAATACAATAGGCCTTTATAGTTATGCTATATTTTCTCTCGTTATATTTTTACTTTTTTATCTTCTTAATTCTCATTTTTCTTTTAGGTTATCTAGGATTGAAACCTCCTCTATCAATGTCTATTTTTGAAACTGGTGAATCATCTAATGATGATAAGCCATCTAACGAGTTGCCAGTTGAAATACAAGACTCCTTTAACTTAAACTTATTCGATGAAGTAAATTTTGATGGTCTCATTGATAATCTGGCATCTCTAAATATTAAAGAAAAGACTTCTGAGGGGATAATGAATAAAAGCTGCTCTTCAGAAGCAGAACAGGAGCAAATACTAAAAAGTAGTGTTACAAATCAGATCAAAGGAAGCAGAAAGGATACATTTTTTAAATTTCTTCCAACGTTAATAGCTTTTGAAGATGAAAACGAAAATAAGTAAGTTTCTACAAATCTTTCAAAATGAAAGGAAATTGTTTTTATTTCTTGAATGTACAATTTTTATAGTTCTTTTTTCGTGTAAACTCAATTACTTTTATATATTTATATTGCTTGTAGTATCTACTTTGAATATTTTACTTGAAGGTATTCCTTAAAGTAGTGTCTCTTATATTTTAAAAATACAAATATCCTTTTGTGTTCTATTATATTAACAACAACATTTTTAAGATTTTTATATTCTCACCAAATCAGTCAATACATTTTTGCAGATTTTGTGGCAGTTTTTGTATGCTTTTATCACACTATTTCTGTGCCATGTCTTTGAGAAAGCATTTAATTTTATTCTTTACTTTGTTATTGTACCAAAATTGTTTAAAGTCATAGTAGTCAACTTTATGTTCGCTCTAACCATGATAAATACTGACAGACACTATGAAACTCTGTTAAAATTCAGATGTGCATTTCTGACCAATAAAAATGAATGTTCAGCAAGATTCTCCACAACATTGCACACTCATACATCACCTATCAATCCATACATACTTTTAATCCTTACAAGTATACATACTTTTGATGTCTCAAAGTTGACGGGATGGCTTTTGTTTCACTGTACTTTAAGGAAGAGGTCTGTGTTCGCGCATGTGCGACTGCCGCGCCACCCTTGTGTGAGAGACCTTTATATATACCTTGAGAACTTCATAAATGGCGGACGTAGTCCGCGAGTATTTAAAATAAAGTAATCTACAGTCCATTGCAAACCAGTGTTGTTATTTGAGAAAAATGGACATTTTGAGCTATCGATTAGAGTGACCACACAAACAGTCTGTTTCATCGGCATTATAAATGTTCTGTGAGGAATAGTCAAGAGGAATTCTTATAGGGAACATCATGGAAAGGCGTAATGAAGGGTATGAGAGATTCTTTTGAGAATTCTTTACTTCGGTACAACATTGCAGTGATTTTTAACGAAAAAAGTAATTTTTTACTTTGAAAAAATTATTTAACATGACAAGGTTTTCGGGATATCGCGAGTATTCTGTATATATATATATATAAGTATGTATACATATACACTCTATAACAAAAAAATCAATGCACCAAGAAGGAGTTGTCCTATTGAAACGAAAATTGGTGGATAGGAAGACAATGTACAGAATAGTAAATGATTAAAATTTCAGAACAATTGAATAATTTATTGCAGAGTTACAGTAGCAAGTTCAATAAGGTGTTGACCCGCCTCTAGCCTGGATACAAGCCAATTGTCGATCCAATTGTCGAACGAGGTCATCAACATTCCGTGCCAGATGCAATCGCCTTCCCATCATATTCCAGACATGCTTGATGGGAGAGGTGATCTGGCAGGCCAAGGAAGAGTTTGACAAGCTTGCAGACAGTTCATAGCAGCATGTGCCGTATGTGGTCTGGCATTGCCTGCTGAAAAACCAGCTAAGGGCGCTGCAAAAGGAACGGTAGCAAAACAGGTCTTAGGATGTCGTCGACGTACCGCTGTGCAGTAAGTGTACCTCTAATGACGACCAAAGGGTTCTGGCTGTCAAAGGAAATGGCACCCCAGACCAAGCATGTCTTCTCCAAACACGTCTTCGATGATCGTCAGGACACGGTTGGAAGCGGGATTCGTCGCTAAAGATTATATGTCCCCAGTTGGCATCATTCCAGCCTGATCTGTTCAAAACATTCATGCATACGACATTTCAAAGCAATCAGATGATTGCTTCTTGGTGCGTCAAAACCTGAGAAAATGTTTTTTTTTTGCAGCGTTGGTATGCTAAATTTCACCGAAACAAAGAAATTAAGTTTTTATTAACGAGAAAAGTATTTTAAACCCATATTGATTTTTTACAAAAATTGTTCGCCAAAAAATGGCAACTAATATATTTTAGTTCGCGGGCCACAAAAAAAGGCTTCGCGGGCCGGATGCGACCCCCGGACCGCCAGTTGGAAACCCCTGTTAAAGAGTGTATATCGTTACACACATATCTTTCAGTTTTCTCAAGAAATATTTAAAGAACAATTTTATAACTTCAAGCATGTTTAGATCATGTGATTTCTCATACATATCAATGAAGTTTAAAGCTTTTTGAGATTTTAGGAACCCACAATAAATTACAAACGGAAAAAATTTTTTGAACACCCTATGCTGAAAAATGTCGGAATAGTTTTGTAACTTGCAACAGTTATTCTGGTTATTATATGCAGTAATTGCACAAAATTTTATAATCTTAGCTTAAATATTTATAGAAGTATGAACATTTTTATAAAAAACTAACAAAATTTTAGGAGCAATTTAAAATTAATTACAATGTTATTGCTTTAACATTTTAGAAAAATTCGTTTAAAACTTCACAAGATATGAGTAATTAAAGTAGTTCCCTTATACTGTGCATGCGTGGGAAAAAATCAATATATTTTTTTCATAATTTTGTAGCGAATCGTATTTGGTAACTAATGAAAAAAGTCTGATTTGAATATCTTAAAAATTAAAAAAGTTTTTAGCATTTTTCTAAGTAGTTTTTATATTATGTAGCTTCAAGGAAGCTCAAAATGATAATGGGATTTCTACAAATATTATTTTGTATCACAAGACAAAATTTAATAACAAATGATAATACCTTGCAATAAAATTCTTATACCAAAATGTGATTTAATAAGGAAAGAGAAGATAATTTTGAGTTTTATTTTAAAAAGTTCAAAAACTACTTGAAACTTTTAAATTTTTAAGATAATTATGTCAGACTTTTTTTTATTAGTTGCCAAATACAATTCTCTACAAAATTAAGAAAAAATAAATTTTTCCCACACAATGTGCAGTATAAAAGAATTGCTTCAAGTACTCATATCTTGCCCAGTTTTAAAAGAGTTTTTCTCAAAATGTCAAAGCAATAATTTTGTAATTAATTTTAAATTGTTCCAAATGAAATTTTTTTTTTAAGTATTAAAGTTATAGCAAAAAACGCGAAACAACAAATTAGCTTTTTATAAAATGTCCATATCTCCATAAATATTTAAGCTAGATTTACGAAATTTTGTGCAATTGTTGCATATAATAACTAAAACCGCAGTCACAAGTTACAAATTTATTGCTACATTTTTGTGATAGGGTATTCAAAAACACTTTTTTCTGTTTGTAATTTATTATCAGTCCCTCAATCCTTTAAAAAGTTTAAACATCATTGATATATATGAGAAATTGCATTCCCCAAACACTTCTAAATGTATAAAATGATTCTCTAAGTATTTTTTGAGAAAGATCAAAAAATGAGTTAGTATAGATGAATTTTCCATTATTTTGCCAACCCCTTTATATATAGCCCTTTATATATACCCCTTTATATATAGCCCTTTATATTAGCAGTGTGCTAAATACATGCTGAAAATACAAATATTTGAGATTCACTAAACAATCCACATATTTATAATGTCTAAAGAATAGAGAACAATCAAAGTCAGAAGCTAAAAAGCAACTTTGAATGATTCAAAGTGATAAAAAAATTTAAAGAAAGCTTAATCACATGTTTATTAAATTGTATATAATAGCCTTTAATATCTTGATAAGGAACTTATTTTTCATTTCTCTGAGTACAAAGTATTTTGCACTGACATATTAATTTTTTTTTTTTTCAGTTTCTAATTTTATTAAATTTGTCTAAATGCATCAGTAAACTTGTTTTCTGATAAAAAATTAAAATATAAACAGCTAAAGAAATATATTTATTTTACATTTTCTTATAATAATAATTGTTTGATAAAGTTGACATAAAATTCTTGTTCTGATTTTCGTTAATTTTCTAAAATTATAAAGTCATACTGATTTTATAACTGCTAATAAAAAATATAGCCCTAGTTTTATTTAAGTTGTCTTTTTTATTTTAGTATCTTGCATTTGTTTGTTATTGAAGAAAGTGAAGATGTATCTTTGTTATTAAAAATGTTGGAATATGCTCCTATTGATCTTCTAAACCAAGTCAACAAAATGCATATGGTACATCCTTTATAATTTTTTTTTTTCATTTAGAAGAAACTATTTCAGTTACTTAAGTATGTCAGTGGTACCTCTCAAACGCTGCCAAGTTCACATAAATGTGATTTTAGATGAAATGGTTTCCCATTTGATAAAAACCATTAACATTTATTATGACAAGCAGTGATTATCAATTTATATATCAAGCTTCAAAATTGGGCAGTAGTACCATTTAAAGTGTGTTGCCAAAGTTTATCTGAAAATAAAAATAAATTATTAATTTTACATAGTAATAAATACGCAATAAATACATAGCAAAACACAAAAATTTAAATCTACTTAATGCATAAAATTATTTTATACATGATTTCTATTTTATTTTATACATGATTTGTGTGGTTCTATCATATTAATGATAATCCTAATTAACTATTTGTTTATCTGCTATTTTTATTTTGAAAAGCCAAACTTGCATTGTAATTATAGTAATACTGATTATATTTTTAAAAAATTAAATTTCTAATTAGACTATTTGGGTCACAAATCCATAGCTAAAAAAAGTTAGTAAGGTAATTAAAGATAATTAAAAGTATGTATTTAATGAATTATTTCAATTAGTTGAAAGTTGCAAAAGTATAAAACAGTGCTGAAGTAACATAAAAGAAATTTCCTAAAATACTTTTATGTTTCACTTAACCTACTTTTTTTACTTTCTTGATTTGGCAGAGTTAGTCACACATAGTCCTTCATTGCGTAATTGCATAGTGCATTTCTTCGATTGATCGCCTTTACTTATTCATTTCAAATTTTGTTTACTATTTTTTAATAGTATAATTTTCTGAAAATTTTATTAATTGGCTAAAATTGTTTATATATTTTAGAAAATGCTTATGTACACAGACAATCATATACACAAACAAACTTTACAGAACTACGGAATTAAAAAATCATAATCTTCCCTTTACATTTGTAATGTCAGTCATTCATTGTTTCTGAGCATAAGTCTCAATAAATTACTATTTTACTGTAGGTTTTTTCTCCCATTGTCAATGTTAAACCACTTCTCTCTTTTTACTGTGATACTTAATTCCAGAGTAATTCTCGCTCCCAAAGTCTACAACTTAGGGGCAATGACATGATAGAGTTATTTATATACAGTAAATACTTCAGTTCCAGTTGTACAGAGGGATGTTCTCTCATCTCCAGCAATTAAAAGTTCGCTTGCTCAAAGAGCAGCTCTCTAGTGGACCTTCTACAGCTTAGCAGCAACAGGCTATTTATACAGACAGGAATCATAGAAATCCTATTTTACAAATATTTCCCTCTGGAATAAGATGATGGTCAAAAAAGAAACAATAAAATGTAAACCAGAATCTCTGATCCTGTGATCTATGGGACATTTTCACATTATTCTGCAAAATATTGACCTTATGGTCACAATAATTAGATCTACAAAGCAGGTTTAGGACTTTCAACTTGCCTTGTATATGTTTATAAGTCACAATTAAGTTATCTTTTAAAGGGATAATGTAATTACTTATTAATTGATGCCTCTTCATGTGTTCCTACTCAGATACTACGAAAATACTATTTTTTTGTAATTGTATATTGGAGGATGTGAGACAACAATATTTTATTTTACTTATTAGGCTTTTACTAGTGTCATGAATATATAAATAGGCCAAAGAAGCTGTTAACCTTCAACAAACCAATACCGCTATGTAAGCGGCATTGCATTTCCACTTCCTCAGTGGAAATGCAGAATAATATGGTGATAAATCATTTTATAATTTTAATTATTCTTATAAATTGTATGATTACAAATAATTTAACTATAAATTAATAATTAATATTATCAATAATTTTTAAAATTATACCTGGTAGAACTGTGATATCCCAGTAGTTAGAGAATTGTACTTTGGTCTGGAGGGGCTGGAGTTATATCCTTGACTTTGCTAAAACCCATTGAGTGCATGCGTTATACATGCTCATAAAATTTTTAGAATCAAAAGTCTTGTGGTCGGTCACTGAACAGTACCATTGGTATAGGGATCTGGAGAAAATTTTCTTCTCCTTCCTATGTCTAATTTGAGAAAGTGGCCACATGAACTCTTTGTGCTGCATGCTATTTGCAGGTTTCCAAGCCAAGACCTCCTTTCACCCTTGCTGTGCTCTCTTTGTCCAACAAAAGGCAAATGGCTATTGAGCTTGGCTTGGCCAAATGGTGGAACAACATTATACCTGGTGATATGTAATCTTGAAATACTTCTGCACCATTAGGAGTAAACATGCATACCCCCCTTTTTACTGATATTGCGTAAATTCCAAATCCAATATTACAAAAAAGTGAAAATATTTAGTATATGGCAAGAATAGTAACTAATATTATTTGTATAAAAAAATCACTTATCAAGTTTGGCTGACTAATGAGTTAATATAAATCATTAATTAATTACCATGCTATTATAAAGTTTTTTTTAATGTGTCAAATCAACTAACACTCAAATCAACCTATTATTTTTTTGCACAGACACCACTGTTGATTGCTGTGAGTAAAAATTTATGGAAAATAGTCAGAATCCTATTGAAGCATGGTGCTGATCCAAAAGTCAAAGATAAAAATGGGAATAATTGTGTACATTTAGCAGCTATGTTTAATTTTCCATTTTGTATGAGAGAAGTTTTAGCTTCTCTATTAGGGGATTCCACACAAAAGTACCTTCTAGATATTAATGGTTTAAACTATGATGGTATGTTTTCATTTCTAACTGTCTATTTTTTTATTTTTTAAGGAACATTTTTTTTGTATTGATGATTTTAATAGTAATAGTTAAGTATATTATAATATTTTCTTGTTTAGCATTAGTTTTTATCTTATGAGTTTTTTTTTCTTGTTGTATGACATTATTTTCTCTAAAAAAAAACTCTGGATAAGTATATAGCTCAGTTAGATTTATGAGAAAATCAATTTTTATTCAGCTAATACAAATTTAAGTGTACACCAAATTCTTCACTTAAACAAAATGCCTTGAAAATGCATAATAAAAAGTTCTAACAACAAATGTGAATATGATTAAATTTAAGCTGATAATGTTGAGCTCTGCAATCCTGAATAGCTTCTCTGGCCTCTTTTCTTGGAATGTAACCATCAAATTTTGTGGTTACATTCCAAAGTGTTAAAAAAAATTGCATTGGTATAAAAAATCATTCTAAAATATGACGTATTTGATAGCAAGTAAAAATAGCTAATAAGTTTATGTAACTACTTTTATTTGTATATTTTTTAAATAAATAGTCATATCTCGATTTTATGAACTTAAAGAATGGAAATTAACATTTCAGGATATTTTTTAATAATCAAATTTTTTGACAATAAAATCAAATATTTTTTAACAATTCTGTCAAAATAAACGTTTGAAAAGTTCTGTAAAAACATTTGTTTTGTCAATGTCTTTGCTTTTTAATTTGATTTTGCATTTCGTGGAAGTTCTTTGGTTCGGTGTTACCGACACTATTCTTTCTTCATAAATATCAGTTACTTTTGATTTCATGAACTTGCAAGTTCTTTTCAAATTTTATGAACAGATATTTTTATCTGTTTTATCTTCTTTAAGAATGAATTTTTCTTACAAATTCATTTCAAATATGGTAATCTTTTTCTTATTATTTGTCAAGAAATGATTCATAAAATTGTTCAGGAAAAGTTTTTAAGAAAAAGTTTTTTTCAAAGAAGCATTTTAAGTTCTTTAGTAATCACAAAAGAAATAAAAAATTTAGCAATCACAAATATTTTGTGAAATTGAGTGTTGATGACTAATGAGTTAATGGTCACGGAGAAATGAGTTTAGCTAGAAGAAATTTCTTCTATTAGCAACATAGAAAATGTCTGAGGAAGTCAGATTTTCTCAGAATGTTTGAAATTTTAAGTTCATGATTAAAGCATATTTAAAAAAATTAGCTTTGGAATTTTCATTCAATTTTTGTAATAGTTTGTTTTAAATTTTTGAATGCAAAGTTTTTTTAAGTTTTATTTTGATGTTAATTATTTAAAATGGCTCCCAAATTTGTTTGTGTTCGACTTAGTGGTATTCTCCCAAATTAGACTCATAACGATGTTAGTTTAATTTTGAACACGAAATATGGCTCTTAACATTATAATTTTTAAGATTTGATTGTCTTAGTCTGTTATTTTATTAAAAATTTTAGTAGCATAAAATACAGTTTATTTTTTTTCTTTATTACATTTACATTTGTTAATATTAAAACCATAAATTAGAAACCAATTATAAGACTTTTTTTCAGGTCTTGCTCCTTTGCATTTGTCTATTATAAGCAATTCTGAAATATGCACAAAACTGCTTTTCGAAGCCAACGCAAATGCCAATATCACTGATGGAAAATCTGGGAAAACACCTCTCCATTTTGCATATGAGAGAAGTCCTGACTTGATTGCATTTTTACGGACACAAGTTAGTTTATTCTATACTACATACATTCTATACTGTTGCTATACATTGAGTAGTTAAAAAGTTTTTAATATATTATTTTTGATTGATTAAAGTCATTCATTTCAGTCTGAAATAGATCCTGATGCTAAAGATTACAGTGGTAATATACCTAAGTCATGCCTACCTAGTACATCTAACACTTCTTCACCTATCATACTAGAGCTTAATGAAAAGGTAATAATGGAAATTAATGTGAAGATCAAGGGTAAAGAACATTTTCCGTCCATTAAACTGATTCTGAGAAGAAGAAAAAAATATGGAAGTGTGCAGACAAGAACCGTTTTAAACCAGAACGGCTCATTTTCTCTGTGTAATAACTCTGGGAGTGAACTGATTTTTTCATGTTTTTGATTTGACAAAACTTAATAAACTTCAAAATGCAACACATTGTGATCCGATTGTCCTTTTTGTGAAACTCAAGCAATTAATCCTTCCAAATTAAATGGTTCTTCACCCTTGATCTTCATTTATTTTGATGGTTTGCTAAACTTATCAACCAAACTTTTCGCCAATGCAAACTTTCTGAGTAAAAATAAATCCAACTGTTTATTTTTTTCTTGATTTAAATGACGTTATTTTTTTAAATAAATAATTAGATAAAATAGCCGAAATTGCCTGAGCCAGCGAAATGGAAAAGTATACAGTTTTTACTGCGGAAAATTTTTAAAAATAATTTTGAAATCCCATTTCGGATTTTTTCTTATAGTAAAATCTTTTGATTAAAAATTTTTTTTTCAATATCTGAACAATATTTTGTTTTAGTTACTTATTTTGGAAATTGAAAAAATGCTTTTAATATGATGCTTTAGTAAGGCTGAAAAAGCAAAATAATTATGAAGAAAACAAAATCACTTACAACACACATGAACTTTTTGTTCGATAAAAGGAATCTAGCTTTTGGTTTGGAAGATTGAAATTTAGTTGGATTTAAAAGCGTGTGTGCCTTAACAAATAGAAGTTTTTTACAAATGCATGAAATCACTTTTTTATCGCACTGGTAGCAATCCTCATACCTCGGATCAAAACCACTTGTCTTTTCACTGAGTAAACCTATTTTATAACTAGTAGGCAAATATGTTTATTTGTTTGGTAATCAAATGTAAAGAAATCTTTCTTTTTCTAATACATAAACTCTGGTTTTTACTCTTTATAAAATTGAATACGCATTGCTTTTATGAAGTGCAAGGTTGCGACCGATGACTATAATGTGTCCATTTGCAACTATTTTCAGACTACAGTAACTGTGTCAACTTTTTTTGTCTAAAAAGGTTGAAAAGCTACTATTTTCGCCCAAAGGCAGCTATTATGACTTTCTTTTCATTTATAGCAAACTTCCTTCGATAATGTCAAAGGAAGATAAAGAGAATTAAAAAAAACTTAAGTTTTTTTCAATAAAGACTTGCAAGGAATTAGATTAGTTCAAGGCACGATTGAGGACAACCTGCATTTGAAACAGAAAGAAAAAGAACATGAGACTAATAAAATAAAAAAACATAATAGTAATAAAAGAAAACAAACTCGGATTAAATTTATTTCCAAAATCTCGGATTTCCTGTTGTTTCATGTTATTTCAAAATTATGTGATATTCCCTAGCTGTGTAGTGTCATGTTATTCATTTCTCAATTATTTCAAACCTTAATACTCGTCAAAAATTCTTTTTAAATAATTAATGAGAAAAAATGCTGTTCGGAATGCTATTTGCCATTTTAAACTCAAGAAGTATGTGTTTTTTGAATAATTTAAGAGATAAAAATGTGTAGGACTATTTGAAATTTCCTTATTTCAATCTTAGATTTTGAAGCTATTTACTTCTTCAAAGAAACATTTTTTTTTATTGTAGGTATCTTTAAAATCAAAATGCTCTGAGATAAACAAGATTGGATATAAAGATGGTAATATTTTTAAACAACGTTATTATTATTGTTTTATGTTTATTATATTTTTTTACAGGTTATATTTTACATAATCTTTGTGTAATTTAAACTGGCTGGCCACTGAAACGGGAATTGTCTTAGAATTTTAGCAATTTGGAAAAATCGAGAATTTAATTAAAACACCCAAGTAGCCAGGAAAAATGAATTTATTTTAGTTTCAAATTTAGAAAAACAATATTTTGCCAAAAAATTGCTTTTGTTATACTTAATTTTCTTTTTTCAGTTATAATAGCAAGCAGTCGTGTTTTTCAATGTATTTTATGTACAAAAATAAGCCACAACTGAAAAATTAATAATTCAATCGATATCACCGATTACAAAAATCGAGGAGGGGAGATTTGATAAAAGCAGTTTGAATAAATGTGTGAAAAGTCTAGGAATTTTTTTGGGGGGTGTTTGTTGCCATATAAAAATTTTTTGTTTTTTTTTCTTGTGTTTTATAAATGTATTATTGTGTTATATATTCTCAGAACTCTCATGTGCAACTCTGCAGTATTTTGCTAGAAATTCTTAATTTCATGCTTCATTTTTCGCCCTCTGAAATCGAACCAAACATATCTCTCGAATTTTCGCTGATCACATAGACCAATTAAACATTGCCAATTTTTTTTCCTTAATAGCAAAAGAAAATTTTATTACTCTTCTTAATTTCATGGTTGGTGAACACCCATTGTTTTCGTCACTGGCAAGCTAAGAGCCTTCTCTTGCTATTCTATTTATATATAAGTACCTAAACCTTTGAACTTGGAAACTTTGAATATCACTGTTAAACTTATTTCCTTTTTTTTAAATTAAATGTTAGGTTATATTTTTAAACTATTGTATTGTCTCCCTTGCTCCACAAACCCCTACACATATTATATATATATATATATATATATATACACACACATATGACTTTCTTCAACTTAAGTGAATTTGTATTATTTTAGTTACTTTAACTATTTGATTGTTGACCACGCATTACTATACCATCTATTATAAAAAAAAATTATTAGGATATTATGATTATTAGGGAATTTCAATAGTTTTACCTCTTTAACTGTTAACGTAGAATTAGTTTAATGTAAATCTTTTTAGTCAAGGAAAACCACGTTTTCCTTAAGTTAGACAGTTCAGTTGTGAAAAATTGCCTAATTAGTAAAAATTTACATAAATTTGCACTTGTATTTNTTACTTTAACTATTTGAATACCATCTATATAACCATCTACTGTACCATCTATTATTAAAAAAATTTTATTAGGATATTATGGATATCAATAGTTTTACCGCTTTAACTGTTAACATAGAATGAGTTTAATGTGAAACTTTTTAGTCAAGGAAAACCACGTTTTCCTTAAGTTAGACAGTTCAGTTGTGAAAAATTGCCTAATTAGTAAAAATTTACATAAATTTGCACTTGTATTTCAAGAGTTAAAGGGTTATTTTTTTATAAATTAAAAGAATAAATAAATTGAATTTTTTATAGAGTCGGTTATCATTCATTGGGTGACCCGAAAAGGATGGTTTAAAAACTCCATTAAATAAAAATAGAAGCAGATAGAACTGTACAGTTTGCTGTGTTCTACTTAGGGAACTAAAATTTATTTTAATATTTCAAAATTAGTTTCAAAAATTGTAAACAGAAAGTGCTGCTGTCTAGAAAAAGTCTTAAGAAATTCTTAATGCTGTATTTTTCACATCGTTCCAAATGAAAAGTTTGCACAAACATCTGATAATTTTTTCTTCACACTTCCCTGTTCCTTCTTGCAAAGGGTAATTATTTTTAAAACACTATTTTATTGTTAGTTTTTTCTTAATTAGAAGTGCCATGTCTTGATGAACTTTGTAACTATTTTTGAAATATAGTAGAAAAAATATCTGGGTTCCTAATCCAGAACTCGTCAAATCATACATTTTTATCTCTTTCTGCATTTCTTCAATTGATTTCTTAAATTATATTCATCATTTTTTACTTATATAAGGCAATACTCAATAGTGAGAAGTGTATATGCTATATCATGATATGTATTATAATATAGTGTACATATACTTCACATTATTAGGATTATTTACTTCTGTATTTATGACATTTAATCTGTATTTATGTTTATATAAAATACTAAAAAGAAATTTCTTATTAACAATTTCGAAGAGTTCAACATATTTATTGCTTTATACTTAGAATATAAAAATGTTTTTAAATAATATTCAACGCTTCTAGTTGTAAAATGTTTAGTTTTTAAATCTAAAACAACAAAGAGGTATTTAAGTTTATTGATTTCTAAATTTTCTTTGTTATTTATAGAAAAGCAAATTAACTCATGTGAATTGCATGATAATAAGAAAAGTCATATTTATAAAAATGAGGAAGCCTTTTGCAAGGAATTAGATTCAAATGGACTTTGGAAGAAACTGGCATTATATGTAATGGATGAAAAAGAATTGAACACAATTGCGATTATGGATCCTAATCCTACCCGGACTGTTTTAAACCAACTCAAAGTAAGTAAATCAGTTATTTTAAATGTGGTTTGATTTATATTATCAGTACTTATCATAATAATTAACAATTTATCAGCATCATCTTGTATTTACAAGCTTTTACAAGCATTATTGTACAAGCTTTTCTCTCAGCTGAATTTTTTTTTGTTGTACATCACATAGTACCAATTTTTATGAATTAACTTAAAAGTTATTAATTTAAACACTTCATTCCACACAAATGAATTTTGGAGACAAATGAATCTTTGCTGATAGGATAAGTGTACATGCGCAAATATTTGGTAGATGAAGTTTTCAATGTGTTTCGACCAAAAAATACTGTTTTTATAATAGTTCCAAACAGTTAGAGTTAGAAAAATATTTATTTAAGTCTCACTTTTTTTCTGAATATAATGTACATTTTCATGCAAAGTAACTTAGTTGTTGAATTTCAAAGTTAAGACCAATCTGTCTTTCCCCAAATAGTAAAGATGTATATTTTTATGCATTTTTAATGAAAGAAATCCTTTATTTAAAAATGAAAAAACAATGGTTCTTAATATAAACAAAACTTAAACTGCTTACTCATTTAAAATGTACATCAGAATTTCATAAAAAAAATTTATCAACATGGCACATAAAAACTTTATATTTTGCAATTAATGGTATGTTTAATATGGTCTTTCAAAATTTTTTAACTAATTCAAAAGTAAAAACTATAAGGATTGAAAAATGTAATGGTATGATAAAAAGCAATGGTTTTTATTGTCTAGATCTAATTAACAACTTTCACTTTTTAAAACCGAGAAGAAATATTCGTCTTATTTATATTTTTTTCATAGGTTTGGCAGTAATGGTAATTTTCTTAAAAATTTATTTTGATGATTAACCTCCAGGAAAGACCAACCCTATGTAGCGACCAACTCTATTTATGACTACTTTTGGGAGGCACCGAATTTTTTCAATAGACTTTGTGTTGAAGAACACCTTTAGGAGAGACCATTAAAACCTCTCCCAGTGACTGGGAGAACATCAGCACCAAATGCAAATAAGATCAAATAAGGAAGCACGAAAAAATATCAAAATTTAACAAAACATATAAGTAGATTAAAATGTATTCAAAATATTTGTGTGAGGCTATTTTTGACGATATAATCGCATGATGCAGTCAGAGTGCATGAAGGACAATGCTATCAATGATTTACTTTTAGAGTTGAAAGTTAAATTAGAAAAGAAGCTATTTTTAGACAAAACAAGCATCTTAAATAAACAAATCTCTTCTCACTTTTTAAAGCTACCGTAAACCGGGGCGAGTCTATCCATTTTTTCAGTTTGTCAACTTTCAAGTGGTCAAACTTTTGTAAATATTAAAGAAAAAAGGTTTTTAATAAGTGTTTCGGAATCGCTATTTATCCCTCTTTAAAGCTGTGAAATCGATTTTAGAAAATATTAACAGTTACGCTGTTACTGTATATTTTTATAGAACTGCTGACAAATCTCTCGTATGGGGCGAGTCTACCCATTCTACTAAAATGAATGTTAACATTGTAAATAATCAAATTTTACTATTAAATTGTTATTTTAGTTACTATATAGGATATTTATGAAGTAAAATTCATAACTTTATTATATATTCCATTTTTTTATTCATAAAATAACACAAATTGAGTATTTGATCGATTATCACATTTTGATCACAGTTTTGTTTTTATAATCATTAACATTATAAAATAACATTTTTTTCTGATTATTGTTGATAAAAATAAATTAAAATTAATATAAATTTACAATTAAATAATTAATAAATAATAATAATTAAAGATTATTAACAAAATCGAAATTCAAACATTGGGAATCATGAAAAATCCTTTTCCCATTCTTTTGGGAGGTAATAATAATTTATAAATAATAATTTATTTAACTTGCATTAAATAAAAAAAGTTAATTTTGTAATATAAAAATTGAAAAAATAGGTAAAATAAACATATTTTATATTTACATTTATATTTAACCTATAAATTTTCTTATTAATGATAAATTTATCAATGCAGAATTAAAATAATATACTCAAATTCATTTAAAATGACTTAATTTTAATATAAACAAAGTTCTAAATTATATTATTATGCTTTATTAAAACTAAATACGAATGGGTAGACTCGCCCCGCGAATTCTGGCTTTTTGTTTACAACAGCAAAACTTACATTCTTTTTGTTTTTTTTCATATAAAATTAATGTAATCTTAGTCTTAGATAAGTTTATCACTTAACCAAAGTGAAAATAGTAATAATAATAATATACTTACGGAGCACCAACTAAAAGTTTGCTGATTTTCAATACAAATCTCTCAAAAGACGTTTGAACAGGTCGGTTAAAAAGACACCAAATAAATAAAAACGGATCAAACTACTACAGCGCCATCTTCCTTAGAGTCTGAACTAAGTCCTCCGTCGGTAAAATTTTTTTTATTTGCAATTTAAAATAGTGAAAATTAAATAAAACTAAAATGGGTAGACTCGCCCTGGTTTACGGTAACTCATTTTTATGACATAAAATTAAATGTAAACCTAAATGAATAACATGATTGTTTATTTATTAATAGCTTTATCATTCATAATTAGTTAATTTATTTTCACACATAATTATATCAATTGGGATAATTTTTATAGATGCTAAATTGTATTCATTGATCTGTTTTTTTATGATGTTAACAGAAGTGGCATTTCTACACCGAGAAAATGACACTGACTAAAATTAAAATCGTTTGCGAAAAATCATGAATCTACGATAACAATTTTGAAGTCAATGGAGTTAGACTATAAGAACGACCATTTTATTGTGGAATGGAAAGTAGCTCCCGAAAGGTTTCACTGTTCCATTATTCAGAATCTTGTTTTAAATTATAAATGCATTAAAGTAAAGTATACTTTTTACCCTCTTTAAATTTGCATTTTTGATGACAAAAACTGAAAATTGTCTTATTATCAACACAAAATTCTAACTTAATTCCAATTATGCTGAAATTATTTATTTATTGACTCAAATTCAAAGAGAAGTTAAGTTTTGTAACTTTGGCATATTTTGAGGTACTACGGTTAAAAGGTATGATTCTGTTTATTAACTATTATTTGCATTTAATTAACAACTTAATTTTGAGAAAAAGAAATAACAAAAGTGGTCTACATTTTTTAATTTAAGTTGAAATTGTATTGCACGTTACGTTGTTGAACTCAAGTAAGTATCTCCATGTTACAAATAGTTAAAATAGTTTCCTGTTAAAAAAAATTGATTCGATGAAAAAGTACCAAATTGATCATTGTTAGAATCAGAAATAAATTCTGATTCTTTTTTTTATTGATAATTTTTTTATTTTTTTGCCTAAACAGAAACACGGTTGTGAAGATTATGATAAGAAATTGAAGTTTATTTTAGAAGATAATGAATTAAAGCCATATGCTAAATTACTAGTATTGGTTGGATCCAGCACAACTTTTGAGGATATTACAAACTTTTGATAAAAGAAGGAACATTTTTGTATCATCATGATTTTTGTATACAATGGCTATTGTTAAATTTGTTGAGTTTATAATATTATAATCATAAATTATTATTCTCATAAGTTATATTTATTTTGTACAATTCTAGTCACAATTTGTTGTATAAAACCTATTAGCTTTTATTACTAAAATTATAATTTATTTTTTAGTGTTAAAATATATATATTTTTTAATGTGAAAAATTTTTAATTGTAATTTTATTATATTGTGATGTAAGATAGTGGAAATAAAACTATAAAATATGTTTTGTTAGTAATTTTCTTTTTCAGTGATTTTTTTTAACTCTCTTTATGTCACTTGGTAACATTTAAACTTATTTTATTAGTTTAAATGCGACCTTTGTAAACATTTTTAATATAATTATATTTCCCTTAGTGGAAATAAGCTAAGTTCTAACATTTTTATTCTTTTTGCAAAAAATCTAAAACCAGAATTAGAAAAAAGCTGAAACAAAAATTAGGAATGTAAGATCATAAACCAATTTAAGCCAAGTGTTACGTTTTTATTTGTAGATAAATTTAAAAATTTCGTTTAATAATGTGTGATTTTTTGTACCTCTAGAAGTTATATATTTTTCCTGCCAAGTTAATATTTTTTCTGGCCAATTTCATTATTTAGTTGGGAAACAGAGTTGTCATTTTTTTCCTCTTATTTAATAAGTATTTCTGCATGCCTATGTAGATAAAAACAGTCCTAATAATTTTAAGAACGATGTAATGTTACGATTTTTTAGGAAAGTTATTCTGTCTTAAGTATCTAGTAAAATGCTTTAGCAGAATATTTTGTTTCATTTTTAAAATATATATTTGTAGCATTTTGCTGCTGCAGCAAAAACCTGGTTTTTCCAGTTGTCATTGGTCACACAGCATAAATATTTTACTTTTATTTATCAAAAAATGGCTGAACACTTTGGAAAAGTTTATAACTGCAAGTTTCTACTAATATAGGATGCAGATTTTTTTTTCTAATAGAAACAGAAAATTGTCAGTATTGGAAAGATATCTTTTCTGTAGTTGCATCTAAATTGTGAAATAACAATCCGAGTAAAAATGTAGTTACCAGGTATCAATATGCTTATGTCACCAGTCGATCAGTGAATCCAAAAGAGTCCATTGATTGACACTTCTTGTCAAATTTCTGGGTTTGTTTACTGTAAGGGTCTTACTTATATCTCTTTCCATAACTGTTAATTGATCTACCTGCGTGGTAGAGCTATTGGGTTTGTGCAATTTATCGAAGCAATTAGCATCTATTTCTTAGAAGTAATTATTAATAATTATTTTTATACCAAAGTTATTTGAACAGTTATTATGCGAATTAAATAGGACAATTAAATACAGCTAGATATTTTGCTTCTTTTCTCTTGCCTTCATACTAGGAATACATCCATAATATCTCTGTTAAGCTGATGTACCAATCATTTGATGTCATTCTCATAGAAGTGATATGGTCCATCGTTATGTTGTTTTTTTTGGAAACAGTCTTCTATGGAAACTCGCTTGGCAGTGAAATAGCTACAGTAATTTGTCCTCATAACTACACGGAATCCTGTACTGAGTCACCAAAATGTATACTTGGAAACATAAATCTCTAACCTCATCATAAGCTATGGTGTCATTTGTGTCCACAGAGGTACGGACTACTTTACCACTAGCAATACTGGCTGCAAATATTTATTTGATGTGTTTGACTGACTGTGATAATTCCAGCTAGAGTTTATGAAATGTTGTTGCGAAGTTGTGATTGTGAAATGTTCAGAGCGCTGCTATGAATTCGTTCTACATGGATTTTAACCCGAAGCTACATCACCTATAGTTCTGCTGTAATATTGGATGAACCTATTTTAATAAATTTTGTTGCTATTCATTTGCTGATTGTGAATCACGCATAACGTCACAAGTATTACAATAATTTTGAGATTTCAGTTACAGAAGTCTACAAAACTACAGCAATAGAAGAAAATGAAAGATGGAACATGTGGGGAAATAGAAAAAAAAATTCTGTCTAAAAGTAACACATTGAAAAATTCTTCTTCAGGAAGAAAATAAATGAGGTAAGATTTTTGAATTCTTTCTTCTTTACATTTATAAGTTGTAAAAGTACTAGACTATTTTTTTTTGTTTAAAACTTTATTGTTATTGCTAATTTAATTTGATACAGCATGCGAAACAATACTGCTTAAACAGTGGGATAAAAACTGTACATTTGTGTTTGATAATGGAGTTTTATACAAGCTACTATCTAATTTAAATAACACTTCTCAATTTAAAAAGTAGATTTTTCACCAAGAAATTATTGTGCTAGAAAACTATATTTCATATATCTTTTCATGAAAAAATGATTTTTTTGGTTCATTTTATTAAAATATGTTTAAAATGCGTTCTTGATTATCAAATTCAAGCATATATCAGCCTAACTCAATTCAGCAGTTATTTCCTAATGAAATCGTTAAAAAGTGATTAGATAAACTGCAGGAATTAAAGTTATTTACAATTTATGCCAATCCTGAAAATTTTTAAATGTAGGATTCCCCTTAGGGAGTTAGTTCATCTTCAATTATATGGGTTTCTGAAATTCTAGGTACCTTAGTTACTATTCTTTTTTGTTTTTGTTTCCAGCACTGTTTAATGCCATTGAATATAGATTACCATACATTATAAGAGTTTAATAAGTTTATTCTCGCGTTGAGCACAGCAAAGCTTATCTACTCCTTATGCTATTAAACTGCACATTCTAAGCAAACCTCAAAACTTGAAAAAGCAATAAATTTATATTTTTTAGTTTAAAAATTATTTGGAAAATAAAACATAGGTCAATTGACCTCTTTAACCCCTTAACGATCAGATAATTTTCAAGAAAACGGTCATAAAAGTGTCTATTTTGCCAAATACACGTATTCGATTAGTGCTAGTATCTAGTTTAAAATAAACTAATTATTTATAATTGCCTTAAAAATATCCTGGTGCTGCTATATGGTGTGCAAAATGAGAAATAAAATGGTTTCTGGACAAAAGAAATGAATTAGTTTTATTCTTATTGGCGCATTACAACTGAACACTCCTGCCCGTCAATATCACGGAAGCGAGAAATAGCGAGCGAAAACTCACCCCTTCATTTTCACGGGAGCGAGAAGGAAGGTGTTAAGAATTATACACGATATTATGAATGTCTAAGTTTTAGTCTGTGGTTTCTAGAAAATAAATTGAGTTATTATGCTAACTTTTACCTTTATGAATCTGGCTAACTTCTATGTAAGTCACAACTTAAAAAGTCATTGTTATTATTATATGAGCACTAATTTAGAAAAGCTATTTATTATTATAAGCACCACATGTCAGATTTAATACCTATTTCTGATATTATATTTTCTGCTAAAGTAAAATTTTTATGTATGTATACACGGTTTAGTAGAGTAAAAGATATTTTCCAATCCATTTCCTTTTGAATGAAAGATCTTTTATTAAATGCTACTGGTTACAAAGATGTTTGGAAATAGCTGTGAAGCTTTCAAATGATGATCTAACTGATCACAATACCTATTCCTTCCAAAAATGGATAGCAGAGACTTTATATTTTACACCTGATATGTTGCCACCTTATTCACCAGACCTGAATCTCCTGGACGGTTATAATATTAACAAAATTTTTTGCTCAAGTTATGTATATATTCATTAAACTTAAAGTAAGTTTTTTTAGATATTGCAAGTTAAACCAATCAACATTCTTCCTTTATGATTTAAGTTAGTAACAGTGACATAACTAGCTTACTTGTTATAATTATATAACTAGTTTACTTGTTATAATTATTAAAACTAGCAAGAACCTTTAGTTATGAGCATATTCAAAATAAACAAAACTATTTATTTAATTCATTCATGCAAATATTTCCAGTTCCACATTAAAGTTATAGTTGCTGCTAAAAGTAACACCTAGAGATTACTAAATTATGTGTATCAATTTTATATTTAAATATGTTTTGAAATTATCTAGTATTGTGCATACTCCATTTTATAAACTAAAACCCCAAAAAATGTGAAATACATCAAATGAAAGTAAAGTTGTAGCTATATAGTTTTTATAATCCTATTTTGACTGTTTTAAATAAGTTAACACCATGTAAAACTTTAGAAATTTCCCAAATACTGTTATGTCTTAACATATTAATATGAGAATTCATCAAAATTAAAAATATTAATTGAATTAACATTTTTCAGAGGTGTAATAATGCCAAAATGGTTCTTGTGCTATTTGAATATTCATTGATGTAATTAATATTGAGTTGATGACACATAGTAAACATGTCTGATTACCGTATATCCAGGTGTATAAATCGACCTGTGGTATGAATTGAACCCCCTGCCCCCATAGTTTTGATTACACATTTGCAAATTTCTGATATGTTAGATGTATAAGTCGACTGCTGAAAAAACCAAATATAAAAATTTCTAAAATTAAAAAAAGTATATAAAAAAATTAAGTCGTTTCAAAATGTTTTCTAGTTGAAAATATATAACATTGGTATTTCTGGATATAATAAATTTGCCCTCAGATAATGATTAATCTTTTAAAAAATGTGGAATTATGGATTCATTAACTGATGATAAAGATTTTTTTGTGCAAAGCTGCAAATAAGGGTGAAGTCGAATCCATTTGAAAATGGGTTAAGCAAGGCAATGCTGCTAACATTATTGAATCTAACACATATTATGTTTTGTAATCTTTCAATTTATAGCTTAATGGTATGTTTTCAATGTGTTAAATTTTTTTTCCTCAATATTCTTGAATAAAATTCTCTAATTTTTTTTCTGAATGCAATTTAAAGTATTGCTTAAAAAAAAACAGTTTTATTTGTAAAGAAAATGTAATGGGAGAAAATATAAAATTGTATATAACATTTTGAAAAGAGTAAATTGATACAGTGTTATTTATATCTATCCAGTGGTTTATAACGCATCAATGTCAGATTTTCATACCTATGTATAAGTCAACCTTAATTTTCAAAAAATTTTATGGGTTTGAAAAATTGACATATACACCAGGATAAACTGTATGTTTTGCCAACAATAATTTTTACGTATTGCAAGAAGTCTGTTTTAATATTTTAAAAAAAGTTAAATTTGTTTGCTTCATCAAACTGCTCATTTAATTTTATTGTACTTAATTAGTGTATGTTACGGAATAAAGTAAAGCCAATACTAATTTTAATTTCCTTTATTATTGCTTTCAATATAGGTTTAAGACTTTCAGGTACATTTGTTAAAAATAATTGCAATAACAGTACAAAAATATGTACCTCAGGCTTTGATTTTTTAGATCCCAACCTAATTGGAAAAATGTCCATTCCTAAAATAAAAAGATTAATAAAATCTGGTACTAAAAGTGATAATTTTTTAGATTAATTTTAATCTTTAAATATTATGTAGTTATCTGAAACTTAACCACTTAATAATTTTCAATCCATAGAAAGGTTTTTTGTAAATATCATATCAAGAAAATGTTACTGATGAGTATAATTGTGATTTCTTAATTAATAGAAATACGAAGTAAAATTTGCCATTGTATGATTTGAGATCTTATGAATATAAATTTATATAAAACAATTTTATAATAATTTTTATCAATAAGTAAAATTTTATATGCTTAAAACACGTTCTTAATTACAAAAATTCTATTCACGCTGTAAAATATTCTTCCTAGACCAGATAAAGGTTTTAAGCACTCTCCTTCATTTTTAAATCAAATAAATACAGTGCACATAGGTGGATATTTTAAAAATTCTAAGCCATAACTTACAAAATAACATGCAATTAGATTTTCTAGTCTTAAAACTTTCTTGTCATCACATATTTGTTTACAAACAACTAAATTACACTGGCACCATTTTTAACCTACAGTACTATTATTTTAGTTAATTTTTTTTAAATGCTTCAAAGGATTATGTTTTTTTAGGAAAAAATCTTATGTAGAAATTTATAAGCTAAAGCTCATTGCTTTAATCCTCTAGCACTTTTTAAAATATATGAGAATGCTCCTTTCTTTATTCATTTATTAAATAATTCAAGGGAAATTTGGTTTACTATTGAAGAACTATTTAGTTTGAAAGACAGTTTATATCTGCATGATCATTTTTATGTGATAACTTTTTTAGTTTTAAATTATTTTTTATACAATATAGAATAATCTTGTTTCATTACTTATAATTAGAACTGATTGGTACTAACTTTGAAGATACTTTATTTAACATTGTTAATAACAAGGATCAGCTGCCAACCTAGAATTCATACACTTTACAAGAGGTTAAAGCGAGTTTTTTAAAAATTTATAATGGCATATAGGCAATTTAATTTTTAAAATTACTAACATGAAAAAAAACCCTATTTACTTTTATGAGACTTGCACAAATTTTTTTCCCTGTATCTTCTTAGTTACCTAAAAAGCAGCTACAAAAACAATTGCTTCAATTAATATATTTTTTTACTGATAAAAAAAAGTTACAGTAAAAAATCAAAAATAATATTGCAGAAGCAAAATTCTTGAGCATCATCACTCTGCCCCCTCTATGCTAATTAAGTACCTAGTTTTTGTCAAGATATAGTATAAATCCACCTGTGTGCATGTATCCTAAGTAAGTTTTATATAATACTGTATACGACTTGAAAACTATAAAAATATGTTAAACATAACTGTCCTCTGAAATTGCACATTACATAAATGCTAAATAAAAACTATTTTGTACTTAAAAACTTCCAACACACCGGGAAGAGAGCTACCAAAATAAATGCAAATGCTTAAGTAATTGCTTTGAACAAAAGACAAAATTTCACTTGCACAAAACAATTTAAACAATCAAATTAATAATATATTGCACTTTGAAAGAACTGTATAATTACAGTAACAACTGCCTTGTACAAAAATGACTCAATATTATAAACATTATATCTTGACATTAATTACAATGCCCTTTTTCATACATCACCTTATGAATATAAGTTACATTTATGTGTATGTATTCACACATATATATATATATATTTATGTATATATAGTTTATACAGATTAAACATGGATCAAAATAACAAATTGAATAGGTAAAGCTAATAAATAAAGACATAAATGTAAACTTAAGTTTTCTTAATGCAAATCTTTGGCACCATCTAAATAAGGAAAAAATAAATACTGGTTACTCAAAATTATTTTTCAAGTACTTGGGTTAAAAATATGCTGCATAGCAAAACATAAAAATCTCTTAACAGTTAATAATAACTTTATACAAAGTTCTAATAGAATAAATACTATATACAAAAGCACCTTCTTGTGCGGGGTCAGATGGAATTGAGTGTGCTATTTCAGAGTGTAGAAACTCTTCTTTTTTTTCAACACTGAACTAAAATGAGCTGAGTTAAATGCAATAAAATGTGTCTAGATTCTCGAACTAAAATTACTGACATGAATACTTGAGGACTCTTTGGCATCATGCTTTAATAAAACAACTTTTCAATAAATGACTAGATATAACTGAAATGATGTAGCTGTAAATATCTTGAAAAGAAGTAGTATTTAAGAAGGCTGTTCATACTTGGCAACTAAGGCTTCTAGAAGTTTGAGCTTTGACTTAATGTTCTAAAAAAAAGAAAAAACAGTGAGTGATAAAAAACGCTTTCCACTATTACATACAATAATAGCGTTATTGAGTCCTGATGTATAATTTTTATGTCACATGAACACAAATCAATAGTGGCTTTTAAATTGCGTAATTATGAATCGTGACGTCTGATGTGAAATCATAAAAATATGAATCGTAATGTGGGATTTTTAAAATGCATTAATATGAATTATGTGTTACTTTAAAATAGCATGAACACACTAAATGATATTTGTCTATGAAATGCAGTTGATGTGGGGACTCTGAAATTGCTTGTTGATATTAAATTGAGCTGTGTAATTCATAAACCAGGCAAATCTGAATAAAAAACATGTCAAATAATTAGCCGATACCACATGAATATTGGGATGGTGATTTGTAAATCTTTTTAATGCAAATTGTGATGACTAAGTTCGTAAACGGCGTTAATATGAATTGTAGTGTGAGATTCGTAATTAAAAGAGTGTGAAAACGAACAAAATTTTGCCCACTAGTGATAAAAATTACACATTGAAAGTAAAACAGAAACGTTAAAAAATAAATAACTTCAATTATAAGAAAGTTCTTTAGAAATGGAATTTTAAGAAAGTCTTATTTTTAAAGTTTCATATTCTTAGGAACTATTTGACAAATTTCACTCAAACGTTATATTTTACTGTGTTGAAATGCATTCATAAAATTTTCAACTATGATTAAATAAAATAATAAATATTTTTTAATAGTTATTTTTTGCATGGAATGATCTTAAAAACTAATTTTATAATCGTGTGCAAAATTTTTCAATTTGCTGAAAACGTTCTCTATTGGAAATTTTTTTTACTTCATGCATGTTATTACTTACTTAAAATTTAAATAATTCAATCTATTACATAATTTGAAAACAATAATTTTGACTTATTTATATTGGTTTAACTTGTCAATTGATGCAGGATTTGTGACAAGAATACATAAAACAATATCCTGATTTTTTTAGAAGTAGTTAGTTTAAGTAGTCTTGAAGTTTCAGAAATAAATATAACTCATTTTAAATATATATTCAAACACTTCAAAAAACAAAACAGAATTCAAAAAATATTTACTTTATATTCTGTGTAGCTGGTTTCCATAACAAATTTATCTTCACGTTGAGCTTTTCTACAAAAAAAATATGAAATTAAAATATTTTTTAAAAAAAATAAGCTATATAAAATTTATTATTATTACAATAAAATCAGTTCTATAAAAAGAAATCATGTATAGATAAATACAAATTATGCTGTTTATTGAGTTTCTAATAAGAATGTTTTGAAATTTTTATCATTATACAACTTATTTTTATAATTGCAATACAATTTTGTTTTCGTTGGGTAATATTTATGTGATCCTATTAACATAAAATGAAAAAGTTAGAACATGTAATTAATGTATTGAAATAAATATTAATTTAACAGACTAGAATTTGTTGGATATTTTTCCAGGTTTATATTATGATAAAATAAATGCTGTTTACTCATAAATAAATGTTTTAGATTTAAAGGGATGACTTATTCTAAAAAAAAACATCAAATTTTATTTAGGTGGTTAAATGCTAATTTATTCAGTAAGTATCGAACAAAATTGCAAAAATTTGTTATTATTTCAAAAAGGAATTAGAAAAAAACCTAATTTAAACAACAAAATGAACTTTCAATTTAATATTTTTTAAATTATTACACTGGAAATTAGATAATATTCGATCCATAATTACTATTACTTACAATGAGTTGGTTTAAAGATTTGTTCAGTTTGGTTTAATATCATTCGATATTTTGACCTGATTTTGTATTTTTTAAAATTATGTCAAATATATTTATTTTTTGTATAGTAACCATGTAGAACATGCATGATAAAAAAATTTCTTTTCATTGAAAAAGTTTAGACATATTTTAGAATATGATGTATCAAACTTAATAATATTATAATTCATTTAAGCTAATTAGTTAAACTCTGCCATAGTAATTAACTTAACAGGTAGTTTTAACAAAAGTGAACAATTCAGTTCAAAACAAAAATTATTTCTTACACCAACTGACATTAAATTGTTAGTAATTTTATTTTAAAAAAACTTAGTATTAGGAGAAGAAATTTCCCAGAAAGAATTAGGTATATCAAAAAGATAAGTCAAATTAAAATTTGGCTTCATGCAAGATACAACGATACAAACAAAACACAACTATCTGAACTAGTTAAATTTTACACATTTTCAACAGAATGTTGATTTTATTTTTGTCAGTGTTCTAAAAATACATATTAAGGGTGGCGATTACAAAACAAAGTAGACACAACAGGAATTCCAATTTAATATATTAGTGAGCAGTGGCGTGCCAACTTTTTTTTGACTGGGGGGGCGAGCCAATGCAAAGTCATAAGCTTTGCTTGATTTAATATTTTAAAGTTAGTTGTATTATTTTAATATTGTAATTTGTCTAATTGTAATTATCTAAACTATTTCCGTTGTTTATGACGATGATGATTTAACTATTACATCCACACCAATTAAGTTAACAAAAAATGATTTATCAATCCGAAACTAATTAAAAAGAAAAAAAGTGTATTAAAATGTAAAAAATTTAATTAATGAATTTTGTAATTTTACTCCTTTAAACTTGTTAATGCTAAGCAATACATTTTGTCGATACATTTTAATCATAATGACATAGAATGGTTTTTCACTCCTCAGAAACATATTGAATTAAAAATAACTTGTTATTTAAATTTTGATTCTAGCATAGATTTGAATTTAATCATGAATATGAATTTTCAGTTTACAAAAAAATGGAAAATTAACTTTATCATAATTTTAATGATCACAACTATCTGAACTAGTTAAATTTTACACATTTTCAACAGATTGTTGATTTTATTTTTGTCAGGGTTCTAAAAATGCATATTAAGGGTGGCGATTACAAAACAAAGTAGACACAACAGGAATTCCAATTTAATATATTAGTGTAGTGAGGATAAAAATCAAGCAAATTGCAAAACTACGAACATTAAAACCTGTTTGATTCTAAAGGAAACAAACAGGATCTTCAAGTTTAAGTAGGCAATCGAAGTATTTTGATGTTTTTTATTCCAACTTCTCCCCATTAGTAATTCAATATATTCAGATAGCATTTGAGTGTTTTCCTTGCTTAGGTGTTAAAGTTCCTAACATTTAATGCATACTTGTTTAACTTCGTTTTTTTTAAAAAGAATTCTAAGAATCACTAATTCACTAAAGCATTCTGCCCTCTTCTTGTCTCTCCATCTTATATGATTCACTTAGCAAATCCAACTCACTTTGCTTGCTACCAAGTTAGGCCTGTCTGAAATTTATCAAAGTATTTGGCAACATAAATAATTGCAGAAACTACATTAGAAAATAAATATTTTAAAGATGACTTCAGAGCATTTAATATTAATTTAAAAACTGAAAATTGAGATTCAGGCTTTAATGAGTTAGGCTTCTCAAACATTTTAAATTAGTTAACAATTTTTGAAATGAATGTTAGAAACACATCATTAAACAACATATAACATAGTGGAATATTTTCATGCTGATGCAATAAGTGTTGACAATAATATTGTTGGCAATTAGTATTGATAAGTATATTATTGACATCAATATGGTATTATTTTAATTGAAATTAACTAAAAAAATGAGAATACATATACGTATAAATAATGAATGACAATACGTATGTTATATAAAAAAGCATAAACCACTATTTTTCAACTTTTCTTGTGTGTTTACTCAGTTTTTTGTTCTTGTCGCAGAATGCTATTTTCAATCTCTTGTTAACTCTGGAACTGTTAATGCAAGGATTCTGAAATTCAGACTACGAGGTGCAATTTTTTCGCCAGTCAGAAAAATAGTTTAAAGTTTAATTATACCAGGAGAAATGTTTGAAAAAAGATTTTTTCAAATTAGTTTAACATTAGCCATTGTTTTAAATAAAATTGAAAATGATTCCGCTAAAGTTTTTATAGTACGTTCATTATTTTTCTGAAAATATCAGTCATCAATGGGAAGGAATGTGGATCAGTGCTACGTCACCAAATTAGCATTTCTAAAAACCACTGTATCTGAAACCTCATATTTATAATTGTACTTTTAAAACGTGTTTCTGGTGAAAAAATGAGAGATCATTTTTATCAAAAACTTAATGAATCCTAAGATGAAAAAGTATAAAATAAGTAATTAAAAAATTTTAAACAACCTTTTTATGGATCTGCACAAAAAAGTAATAAATAAATAGTGCGAGGAACTTGTAAAAATCTAGTTTATATAGTCTCGGCTAATTTTCCAGGCATTATGTTCATTCTATGTAACAATTTTATTTATGTAAAGTTTTATGTAAAGAAAGCAAATAAAAAGTTAGTGGTTTTCAAATAACAACAATAAATCAAAATAAACCTTTCTCTAAAAATTTTATAAGTAATTCTTGCAACAAATTTAAGATAAACTTTAGATATAATGAACATAGTACCTGGAAAATTAGCAAGAGACTATATAAACTCGATTTTTATAAGTTACACACAATTTTTAAATCATTTTATTTCAAAACTGGCAGTAAATATGTTCTGATGTTTTTCTTCAGAATTTATTTATTTTTTTATTTATTTTTTAAGAAAAAAAATGGAAATTATGTTTATAACTAAAATTCTGTGTTTTAGAAACCACATCAACTTACAGTTATGGTAATTTGAATGAATCATAAAGGCACAAAATTACTTTTCACTTCTTTCCAGTAGTTCTATTTGCCTTATCAAATAATTTAAACAAAATATGTCATGGATATTCACAAACTTTTGATTCATAAACTTATCATTTTTCTATCAATTTATTTTAACAACAGAATGTCTACCATTAAAACAGACTATCTACTTAACAAAAACTTGTTAGTGTTAGCTACATTATCGAACTTTTCAGGACAAGTATAATATAACTCAGTTCAATATAACTAAGACTTCTATAACTGGGTAANCGGCTTTGGAAAATGAGTTATGAACTTTGTGAAGGGAACATGTCCCAAAATCGACAAGTTCTGGTGAATTTTCCAGGGCCAGTCTCTCGTTTAATTTTTTAGCAACTGATTTATTTACATTTGGTCCATCCATACTAAGCATTAAAAGTTTACTTAGCGGCAATTTATGATTATTTAAAGTCTCTACTAAACTACAACCGATTTTATTGGCATCTGCATGCCCCAAAAAGACTGAATTTAGATAAGAGCTAACAACTTTATCGCACTCTTCGCTCCAAAATCTGATATATATGTCGAGTTGCTTCTTAATTTGGCTTGCTGTGGTTTCGTCGAAAGCCAAAGTAAACAAACTAGGAGACTTTTTCAACTGGATGATTACTACATTTTGAAAGTATGGCCCAAGGCCATGAGACAATATGTAGGAAACTTTCCGGTCACTAAACTGCATTTGATTAATGATAGAGTTACTTTCAAACATAGCCTGAAATAACGGCACAATATCCTGACTTGAAGCAAATGAATAATTGGACACTGCGATTTTCATTGCCCACAAAGCTTCAGCCTTTGCAACTTTTTTGTTTTGGCTCAACTGCATCATCACAACTTATGAATTGGTTCCAGTTGTGGTACTAGAGCTATCTTTTTCTCCAAACAACTTCCTCTGCCCTTTTGCTTCTTTGGCGGCCACCTGATGTTTTTTCCCATTAGAATGTTGCAGTAGATGGGAAATTCCACTATTCGAAAATTGAACACAACTGTTACAGAGACTACAGTATGCAGTATCCCCATCTTTACCTTCTTGACACCAATTACTTAATAAATCCCCATTTTTGTCGAGAACTTCAAGCTATGAGAGCTGAAATTTAGTTTTTCCAGCAGGCATTTTTCTGAAAGAGAAGTGCAGAAAATTATTGCCTATTCAAACATATTAAAAAGTTTTAAAAAGCAAAATCTATTTAAACTGATTTCTATATAAAAAGGAAATTTCTTTACTAACTTAAGGGGTGACTTATTATAAACCAGTTATAATAACCTTAGGAAATATAATGAAATTTATTTTTTAAAGCCATCTGCACAAGTTTTTTAAACTTACATACCATATTTTTTTAGAAATAAAACTACTTGCATTTCAAATCAATATTTTAAAACAAACTATAGCATTCGACAGATTTGGAAAATTTAGTAGGAATAAGGAAAAAAAAGTTAATGAAAATTTATTTATACCCATTTTAATTCTAAGTTTAATAAATTTTCAAGAGTAAGCTTCAAATTTTCTTTTAACCCAGAAACATTTAACAGAACAAAGGATTGCTTAAAATTATTAAGAATGAAATGCAGTAGAGAAGCAATTATCCGGTATGTTCGGGACTATTGCTATCCCAGATGGTTGAATTTCCTGGTTTTCTGAATCTGCTAAAAAGCAATATATATTGATGTTTCATCGAACCCAAATTACAATGAAAAATAAAGAAAGAAAGTTCTCTCTAATTAAAAAAATCGGAAGAAAACATTTAAATTAATAAAAACATTTACAAATTAAGATAAGAAAAAGAATTAATAATAAAAAATTTCACATATTTATTATTAAAAAAAAAAAAAAAAAAACTAAATCGTATTTAATCAACTGCGAAAGTTTTTAAAAAGAAAAGAAAAAGCAAACTCAAAATGCAATATGTTAAGATTTTCTATTAAAAAATTAAACACAAATAAAGCTGAATAAATAGAAAGAAAAGTATAAATTATGAAGGTAAAACTGCAAAATTAAGAAAAGAAAAAATAAGCTTCAAATTTTTCTTTTAACTCAGAAAAACTCAACAGAACAAAGGGTTGCTTAAAATTATTAAGAATGAAATACAGTAGAGAACCCGGCATGTTCGGGACCATCGCTATCCCAGATGTCTGAATTTGCCTGTTTTCGGGATATGCTAAAAAACATTATAGATCGATGTTTCAACGAATCCAAATTACAATGAAAAATAAATAAGGAAAGTTCTCCTTAGTTAAACGAATCGGAAGAAAACAACATTTAAATCAATAAAAACATTTACAAATTAAGATAAGAAAAAAAATAAAAAATTTCACACATTTATTTAAAAAAAAAAAAAAAGACTAAATCGCATTTAAAAATAAAAGAAAATAGAAAAGAATCGTATCAACTGCGAGAGTTTTTAAAAAAAAAAGAAAATAGATAAATTATGATAATAAAACTGCCAAATTAAGAAAATAAAAAACTTATGTTCACTAATATACATGTACAATACCCCTCCTCCTCGTAAATCAGAGAGAAAACGAAATCAGAAAGCTGCTCCTTTATGTTTGATTGACTGCAGCTTATCAGAAAAACACCGTTTCTTTCCACCCCTGAAGAACTTCAAGGCTACAGAAGAAATATATTGAAGTTTTCTCTTTCAACAAACAGGAGGAACCCCCCTCCCACACACACAAGTTTTTATTTCACTGAACTTCNGCTTTTCTTTCACTGAACTCCAAAAATCAGAATTTCCGCACATCGATATAATTCAAAACGGCGGGAAAATTAAGCAAAATTTATCTCGATGTTCTAGATACCGAATAAGTGGTTCTGTACTGTACTTGTATAAGCATATCAGATATTTTTAAGCCAGATACCCTATTTTTTTAAAATTATGTTAAACAATATTTTTAAGAAGAAAAATTATCTACATTACAGAACAGAATTTTTAATGCAAGCTTCAGTTTCACATTTATTTTAAATAGAAAAAAAAAAAAGATTTATGAAAATGAAATAATATTAATTTTCAAATTTATTTATTTTCACCTATGTAGGCTGCAAATTGCTTAATTTTCACTCCCAAACATTTTATTGCACCTGTGTAGACTTTAAAATTAGACAACAGAATAACTATCATAAATGCTTTAAAATGAATTGCATTTTTTTTTTTTACCTGTTTGGATATTAATCAAGTAATTGAATTTTTAAATTGCATAAAAATGAATAGCTATTTGCAGACCGAATTATATATAATACGAGTATAGCTCGCAAATTATTTCGCAAATCATGATTTGTAAGTAAGTTACCTACATAGGAATCGCGATTCATAGTCCAAAATCATTAAGTGTGACATTCGTAAATCATGTTCTTGAAAACCAAATCTCTTAAATGCTAACGATTTCGGATTCGTAATTCATGTAATGATTGTTCGTCGCGTGATATGTTTCGAAATTAAACTCGAGAAAGTGAAAAAAATCACTTAATTACATTAAAATAATAAAAAAAAACTTTTAAAAGAAGAAAAGAATAATAATATATAAACAGAAGAACTTACCTTGAAAACAAAATCACTTTACTGAATCCACATGTCTACACTAAAATATATTGCTTCGTTCCGGGTTCCTTCTTTTCACACTCTTTCTATTCCATATCTTATTCCACAAACCTCACATATATTTCCTTCACTTGCTGACGATCCCTTTTACTTGTGGTGCAGTTGGGTTAAGACATTGCAAACGGATGATTGGTTAAAGAATTTTTAGGTGTGGTTTGATGATTGACAGCGGGAGCGCGGACGTTGAGAAAGGATTATAAGGAAAAATTAAGGAAAAAAATACAGAAAATATAGGAAAAAATAGGAAATATAGGAAATATAGCAATTTTTCCAGATTAATAGGAATTATAGGAAATATAGGAGCGCTGCGAGGCCTGCAAATGAATGAAAAAGAACTAAAAAACGAAGACAGACCAAAATACCGCTTTCTTCTAGCAGGTGCTGTCTGATTTACTGAAAAATGTAACTACAAATATTTGAATGATTAAATGGATCCAGCAATCTGGTTCTGGTACAACAGCACATTTTTTTGGGATATGAAATTTCTAAACAACTGGTGAACAGCAGAGGATCCATTCCTTGACCTCCAGGGTATGCCCAGCTTAAGATTTTTCATAGAGGTACATTAAATCACTAGAGCCTGAATAAGCATTATTGAAAAGCCAAAAATCTTCTAACATCAGCCTGATTCCCTGACACTAATGTAAAGCAAATTGTTGCATATTTGAGCATTTCTTTTAAAGCCTTTATTATTTGCCTTTATCCAAGGACTCCCTTTTTGCTTTCCAACCAATGTGAAAGTTACTAGTTTTGGGCAAATTCTATCTCCCCTTACTGTTGTGATTATTAAGTTTCCTTTCACCTAGTATTATGATGAACAATAAAATATAGCTTACATAGATAATTCATGAAAATTGATATGTGAAGAAGAGCTAGAAACTTCCATTCCCTCATGCCGACTTTCACTGATTTGCACATCAACAGGTACTTGTGAACAAGGTTTTCCTTTCTGAAATAAATGTTAAGATTATTGTTTTAAAATGAAACATCTATTGAAAAAAACCTAACAAGTTCGAGTAACTAAAAACTTACGATCCATAAAAGATCTTTAAAAATTTAATTCTACATCATTCAAAAATTTATGATTCATTCGATTTAAATCATAAAATTCATAAAAAACTAAAATGTAAATGAAACTTAAATAAATAATAATATTAGAATAGAAGAATAGATTGAAATTTTAGAATGTGTACCTGGGAGGTATATTTCTGATTGGTTGCTAGCTCAAAACTGAACTTAGTTATCTTTGGGATAATTCAAGTAAGCTAGTCAAGTTTGGGATAGATTAAATAAGCATTTTTTAAAGTAACTTAGTCATCAAAAATATAAGCAAATGCCTACATAAAGATTTTCTTTCTTTCTTAAAAAAAAATAAAAGAAAAAAAACTAAAATTCAATTTTTTCAGTAAAATTTTGCTAGAATATATTTTTGTTATTTTCAATGCAAATATATGAATTATTTACCTTATTTAATTTTTAAATAGGATCAAATTAAGGTTATTAGAACTACTCAAACAATTTAAATACAGATATAAGTGTTCACCTCTGAATGAGGAGGTGGAGGAGGTTCACCTAATAAAAGTGTTCACTTACTAATTAGGTGAACCATTTTCGAATCCCAGCGGCAGCTGGTAGATATGAATTCTGCTCCCGGGTTGCACCAACAGCAGTGCTTACGTAAATATCCTCAGTAGTAGACCATGGGTAAGAATCTTTTTACTTGTGGGCTAACTGCAGAGATTTTCGCGGTTTTCCTCTCCATACAAATGCAGGTTAGTTCCATAAAAAGTCCTCCATAAAGTCTAGTTTGTCCCAATCTGTGATCCAGGAACTCCCTTGTCTTCTGGCTTGGGTTCAAAATAGGGTAAAGAGTTGAATAAAATAAGCCCTCCCCCTTTATAATTATAATAAATTTTCATGATTCCTTTCCAATTGAACTTAGTACTCATTTTCAAGACCCAGGAAGAATGAATGTTTAGAAAAAATATTTTGTACAATTTTAACGCTTGTTAACTCAAAAAATTAAAAAAAAATTTTAATCGAAAAAATTTATCCAGTAGTTCACGAGTAAGCAAAGTAAAATGTACAACGTATTTAATTTTCAAAAAATACAGTACACTGTTTTTTTTTTTTTTAAAGAAATATAATATTTGACACTATATAACACTCATTTTCAATTTTTTTTTTTTAAATATATTTAGTTTTTCATTTGTCTGAAAGTAAAATTTTTAAATAAGCTAACTTTTTAATTATTTAACCCTAAGTTTATTTTATATTTTTTAACTTTCATTCGTTTTATTACATTAAAAGAGAAAGCACTTTTTTTTTAAGAGCGAAAGAATGAAATTTCTTCCTTATAATAAAATACCAAAGAAATTAAAACTGAAATTTTTCTTAAATCTTGCAAAAAAATTTAACATTTAAATATAAAAATTTATTTTTTAAAAATTATATTGAAACCAAAATAATGCAATGGTAAAAGAAATGCAATAAAAACTACATAGAAAAGGTTATGAACATTTAAGAATAAAATATATGCTGTAAACTTACAATAACTAATAAAAAAAATGGTAGGAAGAAATCTTAATATTTTGGTTTTAAACAAATGGTACTTACATTAATATTCTTAGATAAGTCACACTTTTTAAAATCCATGGTTTCACCCTCTAAAATAGGCATCAAATCAGGATTATCTTTACTAGAACTATAACGAGTAATAAGCCTCTTGATTGATCTGTATCTATCGTACAGAGGTCGAATGAGTTCCCTACCAGCTTTCGTTGACGGTCTACCATGCATACTTTCAAAGTTCAACAAAACTTTCTGTACAGCTATTTTTTCTGAAACTAACTGATCTCTGTCCATTTCCTAATAATAATATAATGTATTACTTTACATAATTTCTACAATTGATAAATCTAAAATCATTTTTAAAAAGTTTGAGTTTATAAAGAAAAATTTAAAATAATCTTTTATATAAAAATTTATGTTTGTACCAAAAATATTACAGATATTGTAATTATTCAAAATGCATTTATATATAATATGCAATCCCTGTGTATTTATTGTTGAAGACTCTGCCACAAATTGTCTATGCACAACGATGGAAATCTACTGAAAAGGTTATTGGACACAGTTTGTGTTTCCCAACCTTGGATAAAATTGGATTATCAAAGGTTAGTTGCAAGGTTTATGCAGTCCAAGAAGAAAAAAACTAATCTAATTACAAGAGAAACATTACTTAATCATAAAAGGATGATTGCATTATAATAAAAAAATTTTTTTAGTTATATGGCACGAATAAAATTTAACTAATAGTGCACCTAAAATATTCTTTTTTTTAAATATAAGGCTTTCTATTGGCAATTTAAGTTTGGAGATTTTAGCTACAAAGAAAAAAGTTAAGGAAAGTTTTTTTTTAACATGAATAATACATTAAAAGTAAAATTACAGAAATAAAAACTAAATAAAAAAACAGCCAAGTAAATTAATTCTATGAGACGAAGAGATAAATTACTTCTAAAGTTTCAGGCCTGTTGTTTTCTTTTCGAAGATGAGATAAATATGCCTGTGCGTCTCTAACCGTATCTTCAATGGATATATTGTTTGTAGAATTGCTAGCAAGAGAAAATAGACCTTGGCTACTTCTAGTGTTTGTCCCTTTACTGCTTTTATTAGGTAATGTGCTTTCTTCACAAAATAGGAAAGGATTTTCTTTAAATTCTGCAAAAAAAGGCAAAATAAATTTTTAAGAAATGTTGCGGATATGGAAACATAAAGACTGAAGAAAATCTGCAATAATTAAATGAGTTTTTAAGTTGTATAATACTATATTTAAACATAAGAGATAAATGTGCTTTGCTAAAGTAAAGATAAATTTTATAGAGAAATAGAAGCATTTGTTTTGATATTTTGAGAAAATCACATTTATGAATCACAGTGTAAATAGAAAGTTTTAATTTTCCACCTAATGGTATGGCAATAGCCTATAAAATATTATAATAAAAAATTTGAATATAAATTAATGAAAAGCAATTAAAAAACTTGATACAAATATAACCATAAAAACTAAATGTATAAGAATTTATATTTCATTATACTCACGAATAAAGAATAAGATAATCAGATAAAGAAAAAGTAATTTTTTGACAAAGTTTAACGTTTTAAGAACCAATATAGTAGTTTATTTGCAATAGAATTTCATTTACATACAGTTATTTGAAGGTATGATAAAAAAAAATAGCATCTGTATTTAATGTTCAATGAAAATCAATTTTTTTAAACCTTACTTAAAAACAGTGCAATATCCTACATAAAATACAATGAAGACTGTGAGTTAAAATAAAAGTATGTTGATCCGTTTTATGTTTTTTCATAATTCTTATTTAAAATACATTGAAAGTGCCTTCTAACTATTTAAAAAGAAAAATTTCTTTTTGATCTCTTACAAAAAAAAAAGTTTCCTTAAAATCATAGAAATTTCAATTCTCTTACGTTTTAGTTCTGTTTTTGCATTATTCAACTCGGCCATTGTCTTTTTTACAGTAATATTTGCACACTTTTCTGCATGGGAAGGCTGTAAAAAATCGCCATGTATATAATTTATTGCTAAGTTAATAAAAACAGCAAAAGTTTCAAGAAATATTTTAAACTATACCTTATAGCCATATAACTTTTCAAAATTATCTTCAAATAGCTTTAGTTTCTTTTTAAGACCTGGAAAAAAATGTACAATTAATAAACATAACATAAATTAATATTTTATTCACATAATATGAGACAAATCTTACCATGTATTTTTCTAGCTAGCTGCTTTGCATTTAAAGTTTGTGCATCCAAAGCTGCCCTATTTAAATATAATTTGTGGCATAAAAATTATGGCAATGAAACTGAGATATAAAATTATTTTTAAATTCAGCTTTTTCATACTTACCCAGTAACAACAAGATCTTCTTGTTCAACAGGCGGAGAAGGAGGTAAATTGGGATCAAGATGTAGACTAAAATTAAAGAAAAAAAAGTTAGTTAATTAAGCTTACTGAAAGCATGACAATTTATATCAAAGGGAGAAAGGGAATCAAAATATGTCACTCATTTTGGTTACAACAAAAACATTTAAATCAGTAAAATAAATATTTTTATCTTATTTTTTTAAATTTATTATTTACATTTTTCATCTTATTCATTTATATTTTTAAAAGATGAAAATATTGTTTGCTTCTGATGATTTTATCTGTATCATAATGGATGGATGCAGATTAAGGTCATTTGATTGATGCTTATTAAGGTATTTTGTATTGATGTTGATTCAGGTCATAGAATCATTATTGTTATACTCACTATTAAAGTTTATAAAGTTTAAAAATAAAATTTGTAATATGATCTACAAGGTAGAGCTTTGTTTTTTGATCTATAGTGTAAATTAATGTAATTTAGTATGATATGTGATAAAAAAGAGTGAGGGTATGATGAAGTATGGCACTTTGCAGCAAAGAGGAGGGAAATAAAAAAATATTGAGAAAAAAGTGCTACATAATTTATAGATAGAAGGATTATTTATAAGATTTAAGGCATTCAGTTTAATGGCTGTATCTAGAGCTGAGCAAAGGGAAAATATCAGCTCGAGTAATTTTTAATAACCTTTTATAAACTGTGTAAAGTAAAGCTACTAAAATAAAGTAGACTCACTTGCGATGAGACAAATAACTTCTAAATGCACTTGGAGAAATAGATGCTTCTTCAGATCTGAAATAAATAAATATATTTTTTTACTTCATGCAAAATGAATGGATGAATGATTTTCGTTAACATTAAATTATTATTTTAGGAATAAGATTAAAAGCTTGCATTAAACACATTCCACTCAGTTACAATATTGTAACTTATCATATTATATCATGATTCTTTTGTTTTTTATTTATTTTAAAAGAAAACAACTAAAATATTTTTAACTCATTCAACATTTTAAATATCCTTCAAAATATTTAAAGTAATGATTAGATAAAATCATCAAGCTCAAGAAAAATTATATACTAGAACACATAACCAAACTTTTTTTATACTATTTTTAAAGATAATTTTTAAGTTTAAATTTGTCCTCTTACATAGCACCCAAGTGCCATGATGCTCTTGGTGTAAGTTTTGGGGGAACACTGTAGAAGTAATTAGAAAAATGTTATTGCAAAATTCTATGTCCAGATATGTTTAATTCTTTAAATAACGATGATATATATAAACTTAATGGATAATAATTAATATTGAGAAAGATTGTCTAAGAGTTGAAAAACATTCACACATTATTACCTTTTGACTAATTTAAAAGAAATAATGATACATTTGTGTTAACCCAGAAAGCACACAATATCAATGTCATGTTGTTTAGAATATAATAAGATTATTATTCAATTCCTTAAATTTAGTTCTATAGCTTTTTAATCTTAAGACTGCCATTACATACAATCAAATTAGCTTAAATGAAACAATACTTAAAGTATTGCTATTGATATCAGTAGCATATTTATGTTTTTTAGATGTTCTAAATATGTCTGCACCTTAATTCAGGATAAGTTTACCCATGCCCAATATAATTCAGTAAGTAACTTTTAGCTGTTTAAATTAAAGAGTTAATTAGTGATTAAGCTATTACTGGTAAGTAATATTTAAATCACACAGTTAATTAGTAATTAAGTTATTGCTCACAAGCGATATTTTTTATCACATTTAATATTTCTTTTAAAAGTAAAATAAAAAATTAATTTAATTTTTTTTAAAGTTAAAAAGTTCTTTTAAAATTAAAAGAAGCCATAAAAAGTATTATTTTTTTCACATAATTTAACAGAAAACTTATTCAACATACAATGTTATTTCAAGGCGCTGGGGACATGGTGATAAAGCAATGTCTTCTTCATCTTTGCATTTTCTGAAAGCAGGCCAACTATGCCTTATTCCAGATGAACTATCTTCAGCTATTAATATAAATATGCAATGACTAATGTTTTATAACATAATACGAAACACAAATAAATAAAGTGTAATAATAAACTTTAATTACAATCTGATTACTTATACACTAAAAATCATTTAAATAGATTAATGTAATCAGTGCTCTAAGAAATTCGACACCATCTAGAATATTGATATTAAATACAATGATCCATTAAGTTTATTATTTGTTTAACATGTTAAAAGCATTATGCTAAGTAAGCATCAAAATTAAAAAAAGCGTTAAGTTATTTAAAAATGAGTTAAAACTGAAGCTAGGAAACTAAAATGAAAAAAAAAACACAATTATAAACTGAATAATATTAGATTTTAACTAAATTATAGTTTAATAATTTTAGACAAAAATGAAAAGAATAATCCTTACAAATGCAGAAACTAAGATGTGAAAAATAAATTCGGATATTGCACACGAATATTAATGCCTACAATCTCATTTCATAATATGAAGATTAATGGATCTCTACTTAGTTTATATGTGTGTATATATAGTAATGATATTTACACTGCCATCTACATTTCCTATTAACCGTTAATCTATGAGCTGTTTACTGTAACCGTGCCTAGCCGGTGTTTGCCGTTTTTACTGTTGTTTTACAATGCAATAATCTGCCGCTAGCTTCATTTTGCTAATTACAGCTTTACTAAGTTATTATGTCCTGCTTTTATTGTACTATATATATACACACACAAACATGCCAACCTGGAAAAATTACGATTCAGGAGTTTCCTCAGCAAGAATTCAGGTGAGGTAAAATAAATTATATGTGACATATTTAATACTTCTAATGAAATATTTTAAATAAAAAATTATAGGAATGCAAGACATTTCACAAAACAAAAGAGAACACATTGTGGAATCTAATTTTTATAACATAGAAAAACAATTGAGCATATAGAAAAAATAGTGGGAAAATACTGGTTTTTACTCCTAAAACAGAATTTTTTATTAAAAAAAATATCTGTCTTTTTAAAACAATATGGAAAAATCCTTGACATCATAATAAAAAATGCACAAAAAACTTTCAGAAAATAAACAAATCAAAGAAACGTTTTATTTTAAATTAGATAAATTCAATTAATTATATTACAAATGTATAAAAAATCTGATTAAGTATAAAAATGATCTGATGCAAATAAAAAACAAATTGCAAATTGTATTTTTTTGGGGGGAGGGGTAGGAAAATAAATCAAATTCTAAAAGTAGGCTATTTTATGAAAAATAAAATAAAAAAAAAGAAATATGATAATTGCTAGCTCTGAAGTAATATTTCTCTTTGAGCTTTCGCCCATTTATTTGCCGCAAGCTATTATTTTTGCTTCCGTAAGCGATTAACATATTACAAGCACCACAATTGGAACAAAAAGCATATGTGCTATCCTTTCTTGAAGCAATAATGAAAAGAAATTCGTTGGTATATAATTAATTAGAATTGGTTCAATATTTATCAGACATCATTAAAAATAACAGGATATGATATCGACTTCATTTATCGAGAGGGTCTGAAATCACAGATGCCGCTCAAGAGTTGAAGTCTATAACATATTCTGCTGACGTCATTCGATATCGCTTGTGACGTCCTCAGGGGAAAGGAAACAGATCAAAGATTCTGATGACTTCTATATGTTCGATGGGTGGGTCAAAAAGGAGTGTGAAAGGGGGAGGATTAAGGTTGAAGAGTAAAAGAAAACTGAGATACGTGCAGCTGCACTTCAGCCAGGTGGTAGTTCGACAAGAGGGGACAAACTGTTACGTGGGGGAATGTAAAAACAAAACTTCTGTTTTTGAGGTTATTTTGAGTTTGGTCATCGATTGGAGAAAAATTTTGGAGATTTTCGTATCAATTTCAGAAGGCAGGAGAAGAACACAAAAGTCGGGAGTCTCCCACATAAAGCGGGAGAGTTGGCATTTCTGTATATACACACACACACATATATATAGTGTTTAACTTTTATAAAAATATATAACGGCATCTTTTATTTTTAATTTATTAGAATTTAAAGATAAATAAAGTATTTAAAAGTATGGTGTATAAATTTGATACATAGACAATACAAGTCGAAATTCTATTGAATAACAGCATTATATTTAAATATATCTTTTTATAGAAAAAAAAAAAAANAAAAAAAAAAAAAAAAAAAAAAAAAAAAAAAAAAAAGACAAATATAAACGTTCTACAAAATTCTTAAATTGAAGGTCCAGTTAAAGATATCGTCATCAAATTGCTTAAATTCATGAGGGAACTGGCAGGCTTTTTTTCTCAAAAATATTTAGATTTAAAAAATATATATATGCTGAATTTTACTAAAATTAGGCTAAAGATGCAATGCTTTAGGCACTCAGGGACTGAAATCCCAGAATTTGTGAATCCCTCGGCATGTTATATACATATGTATGTAATATAAATGGTTACTAAATTTATAGAAAAATTTGCAATGTCGCTGATTGTAAATAAACAATTGCATGCAGCAAAATGAAATAAAACAAAAAAAATTACCTAAACTTCCAGTTGAATTATACTGGACTTCACTTTTATCGTAATGGGAAACAGAAGAATTCCCATTGAATTCATCTTCATTTTGAAAATTAGTCTCAGGTCGTACTTCTGAATGTGATCGCCTTTCATCATGATTAGGTCTAACCTTGTGATGACGAACATGTCTTCTTCGACCTCGAGGATAACCTTTATGAATATCCTACAAGAAATTCATAACATTACTTTGAGTAATAACAATGAGGGAATAATCATGAATTAGTCAATCAGACAAAGAATCTTACTTTAAGCATTTCTTCTGATTTTTCATGGGTTATTTTGGATTGCTGCATATGTTCACTAAAGCCAGAATCATGAACATCGTGAGAATATTCTCCATAGGAAAGAAGTTCTTGAGGTGGGGATGAATTTTCTTTTGTGACAGTAAGGAAAAGCTGAAATTAAATAAGATAACACAAAAAATAAATTTGTTAAACTATGCTATACCTGAAACAAACTTTTGCATGCCATATCTAGTATTCTATTTAGACACATTATTCATTAGTCATTGAGTACAGAAGCTGCAATAGTTAAGTGCGTAAAGGCACTGAACTGTCGTAAATTATTAGAATTTGTACTTCAGTGGCAGCTTGAATTTCACCCAAATTTTAAGTAAGGGTGCCAGCTTGTCTGAGAAATAAATGTGGCTTTTGCGCAATGCTTACCACATGGAAGCAATTATACCAGAGATTGTGGTGCCTTAGCCTCCATGACCTCCTAGCCCACAACTGGCTGTTGCGGGAATGTTTTACATACAGTGAGGAAGATGCAAATAAGAGAATTTATCAAATCAAAATCTAAAGAATATTAAAAGTAAAACAGCAATACTAAGTATTAATTAATTTGTTTTAATTGCAAAGTTGATGCATGCGACCACACTATATCAATACAAAGGATATTTTCCCTGATTGTATGTACCCATGTCTCTATTATATATTGTTGTTGTTCACTCAGTTCATTTAATTATTTTCCCTTGTTATTATTTAAAACTAATTATTTTAAAATACTCAAATTACACCCAAAAAATTTCAGATGCCTTGCTGAAAAGTTTTCTTTTTTTAAAAAATAATAAGAATAATAATTAAGAGCAACTGACAGACTCATTGCAATTTTTACATTAGCATGTTTTAAAGCAAAATTAAAACAGCTGTTATGCCCATAAAGTTGCCATAGAAATCAGTTTTGTTACTGAATATCTTACAATCATCTTATAAAATTTTGTTAAATATAAATATACTTCACTTACACTTAGCTGAAAGATAGACAAAGTTCAAAGATGGGCTTTTGATTAAATGTACTACTTGGTGAAAAAAGTGGTGACATTATAAAATGTAAAAATAATTAACTATTGAAATGCATAATCTTTCGACTTCTACTAAACAAAGTTAATTATTTTGTCTAAAAAGTACCTTTTAAGATCTATATCTAAAAAGCTTTTCATAATCCTTTAGAGATTTGCAAGACAGAGTTTAAGGAAATAAGACAAATAGAAATGAAAAAGTTAGTTTTAAACTTAGAATAATATTATTTGTCACAAAATTTAATAAATAATAAATGCACAAGATTAATTTCAAACCAATATTTCTCAAAAGTAACATAGAATATGAACTTCAAAATAAAGTAATAAAACTAAGTGAGAAGTAGGCAAACCTGTTCGCGCTTTTCTTGACTTAATGATGAAGCTGAAGTTAGAGAAATTTTATCTTCTAATGATGAATGAGACAACATAGGTTCTTCTTCCATAATGTAATAATCTTTCAAGCACGATTCTTTTCCAAGAGAATTTTTACGATCCTATAGAAAAAGTTCAATATAAGAACCTTTAAATAAAATCCACAAAGCCACTGGCAGTTAAATATGAATGAGATAGTATAGTAAATCTCTAGCAACAATTTTACCTTGTCCCCAGTTGGGTTCAATATGGCTCCTATATAAGTATGCACAGAGGGACTAATATTGGGATGACTATATTATATATATATAGGTCTTATACACTGTGGGCCAGAAGACCATGATCTTAGGCCAAAAGTCAAAAATTAAATTTTCAACTAAAATATGTGTAGGCAGTTTTAATATAGCCCAAATTAAGTATTCATAATCATTCCAAACATTATAATTTACTTTTTGGACCGACGAAAGTAAATGTAATGAAAAATATGTTAAGAATTTTTTTTTTAAATGCAACTTTAAAATTTTTATTTCAGAAATATATATAAGAATTTCACCTTACTGTTACATTTTTATCAAAGAAATTAGTCTGAAATTATAGTACAATTTTTCAATTTGTTGGATTAGTTAATACTCTTGACAAACTTATAGTTTATACATTATCATTTGACATTTTACAATGTTTGAATGACTTTTGAAACTTAGTTCCGAAAAGTTCCACGAGGTAATTAGCCAAACTTTTTTTTGTTGTTTTCTTTGATGCTTCTTCTTTCGAAAAAACCTGCCCCATATTACTAAAGTGGACTAAATATACCGGAAAACAAAAACCATGTTTTTTTTTCTTCATGTTTTCGCGTTATTTCGTAATATTATTTCGGAAATATAATTTGCTTTTCATTTTTAATGTAAAATTACGAAAATTATTATATTTTCATTGCTATATTTAATTATTTAANTAATATTAGGATGACTATATATATATATAGGTCCTATACACTGTGGGCCAGAAGACTATGATCTTAGGCCAAAAGTCAAAAATTAAATTTTCAACTAAAATATGTGTAGGCAGTTTTAATATAGTTTTAATATAGCCCAAATTAAGTAATCATAATCATTCCAAACATTATAATTTACTTTTTGGACCGACGAAAGTAAATGTAATGAAAAATATGCTAAGATTTTTTTTTTAAATGCAACTTCAAAATTTTTATTTCAGAAATATACATAAGAATTTCACCTTACTGTTACATTTTTATCAAAGTAATTACTCTGAAATTATAGTACAATTTCTCAATTTGTTGGATTAGTTAATACTCTTGACAAACTTATAGTTTATACATTTTCGTTTGACATTTTACAATGTTTGAATGACTTTTGAAACTTAGTTCCGAAAAGTTCCTTGAAGTAATTAGCCAAACTTTTTTTTGTTGTTTTCTTTGATGTTTCTTCTTTCGAAAAAACCTGACCCATATTACCAAAAGTGGACTAAATATACCGAAAAACAAAAACCATGTTTTTTTTCTTCATGTTTTCACGTTATTTCGTAATATTATTTCGGAAATATAATTTGCTTTTCATTTTTAATGTAAAATTACGAAAATTATTATATTTTCATTGCTATATTTAATTATTTAAACTTACTATATTATTTTTATTTTTGCTTGCCATATTTCAGTCGCTATTTTGTTTCTTTGGGTATTTTTAGTGTATTTCAAAATTTCAACTATGAATTCAATTTACCTGCATATAAAACCCCCCAAATTTTGAAACAAATTTTATCGAAATACTAATTTTGGCCACGAAACCTTGGATGCTGGCCTACTGTGCTACATAGAGCCAATATCAGAGTTTAAAGGGCCAATATAAGGCCTTTATTGGCTGAATAATGAATATAAAATATCGGGTGAATTTGACATATATAGGGCCGATATTGGTTTTAAAGTAGTTGTAAAAGGTGAATCAGACAGTTCTGTATAGGGTCGATATCAGAAAATAACATTCCTTTGAATCCTTATTGAGTCAAGATTCATGAATACTAGTCCAATGAGGGCCCACATTATTTTGTCACTAGGGACAGGGTATCTGCTACATTTTAGATTTTCAAATTCATGATTTTCCATGACTTAACGAAGTTACTATTTTCTCCGACAAAACACAACAATAAATTTAAAAAAGTATTATAAAAACATTCATTGAAATGATAGGTATAACCAAAACTGTTATACTCTGTATCTTCATATTTATAGATTTTAAATTTAAAAAACAGAGTAAAGAAAGAGTTGAAGCAATGAAATAGCTGAAAAAAAGTATTAAAANNNCCCCCCCCTGCAGAATTACATTCTAAAGATACTTTTCTTGTTCATCGGAAAGGAAACAAATACTCCTGATTTTTCTGTTCTCATTTCGGAATAAAAAAATTCGACAATGACTGGCTTGCCTTCAGCTAAAATTTTAAATTTATAAAATAAAAATTATAACAAAAATTCTGAAATCACAGAAGTTTAAAAGATCTAAAGAAGTTTAAAGAAGAAAGCTCTAGAAATGATGTTTATTCTTTCATTTTTTGGAAGAACACCATAATTTTTAAAGAACACAATAAAAACATTTTATATTTTAATCAAATATGAGTGTGAGTGGCGATTTTGTTACAAATTCAGATATTCAGAACACTATGAAATTGGAGGGAGGGGGTAAATTCCATATTAAAAATTAGATTTTTCGGTGACCTAAATCCATGACTTTTCATGATTTTTTTAAAAAAATAGTTAAAATCATGAAATTTCATGACAAATTTTGCTCAGTACCAAAATTCATGACTTTCCATGATTTTTCATGACTTTTCAGGTGAACAGATACCCTGTAGGGATGTTATTTAAAGTGGTAAATATAAGAATTTTGAAAAAAGGTAAGAATCTAAGCAGAAACTGTAATAAAAGCTTAGATGTAATTCACAATAATTAACTAATATATTATAAAACAACTTGAATGTCACTAAGATCTCAACATTTACTGACCAAACAAAGAATTATTTTCAAGCAAAGAAATGGAAGCAGAATTTGGAAGAAAAATAACTACACCAAACTAATTATACAGTACAAGGTATCAATATAATAATACTGTACAAGGAATCAATATCATTCATTCATAATAAAATCTCCATACAACCTTCAATAACTTAATTGAATTCATCTGGATTCAATTCAGATTATCTACGGCATACTTTAAAGCATAAAATACTTTTTTTTCAATTTTGAAAAGTTTTTTAAATAAACAAAACCAGAAAATAAGCACTACCTGTACATTCTCTTTAAAAACTTCATCTTTAACAGAAGTATAATATTGGAAAAACACTATGTAATACTAATAAAAATGACTTGAAACTATTACACTGGAAATTTGCATAAATGGATTTGCTTTTAAGTTTATAAAAATAATTCAGTTGTATTCAAAATTTGAAACCAAAACATAATTTCTGTTTTCAAATAAATAAATAAAAATATCAATAGCTGCGATTACCAAATTTTCTTGTTTGCTAGTAGCATTTTCATGTTTCAAATCACTGGTACATTGAGGATTCCCTAAAAAGGAAGAAAATGTATAACTATCATAAAAAGCATTATTTACTGTTATAAGTTACATGGTTAAAAGCTTACCTAAAAATAAATCTTTCATCTGAAACTCATAGCTTTTAGATTGATGAGCTCCACAATTAGACTCATATTCCCTGTTAAAAGGTTAAATCAGATTAATTTTATAGATTACATTAAAAACAAATCCATGGTCAAACATTAAACACAAACAATACACAGTGTGTAAAATGTCCTAATTTTAGGTAAGAAAATATAATTTTATCTTATTATAATATTTTTGTAAACAAAATATTTTTATCTTGAACTTGTTTACAACTGCTGTTTATCAAGTTCAAATCAATATAAAATATAATTATTATTTTAAAAAAATCATTTTCTAAATATTCCGACAAACTGCCATGTGAATGAACACAAAGTTAGTTATATTAAAACAAATTTAAAATTATAATTTTAACAACTATTCAGCACTTGAACATTTAAATATCTCTTTTCTTATTTCTTAAAAAAATCTTAAAATTGTATACATTCTATGATCAGGAAAAAAAGAAAAATTCAAAATAATTATAAGGAGTTTATCTCTATATTATTTCTTAATAAAATTCTAAATTTTTATACATTCCAAAATCATGAAAAGGGGAAAATTCAAGATAATTATAAGGATTTCGTCTATGTTACTTCTTCTCAATTTATAAACAATTTTTTTAAAATTCTCAATTTATGTACATTTTGGGATCATAAAAAAAAGGAAAATTCAAGATAATAATTTTGTTTCAATGTCATTTCTTAATACAATCCTCAATTCGTGTACCTTACAGAATTATGACAAAAAGGAAAATCAAACAAAAGTTATATTTCATAAATTATTTTAACTCCCTGATCACTATTTCATATTAACTATGAAATTTATTTTATTATGTTATATAATTCTAAATGGTATTTTAAAGTACCAGTTAACAGTAATGTAAAAAATAAAAAATACTATTAATATTAGTTAACTTGAAAATTCAATTATGCATTTACATTAATAATATATAAACAAAACAACCCCATTTCATTTAATTATAAATTAGTTAGGTTTAAATTAATTACTAACACAGAATAAAAATCATCTGATCCCATCTCAGCAAGAGAATGAGTAAGAGAGCCTAATGAGAGGTAAGAATCTTCAGATAGTTCATTTTGAGTTGGCACATGTCCAAGACTCCATGTAGAAAGCATTGCAGAACTTCCTTTAGCCTGGAATAAGAAATTAAAAGCATGTTCATTACAGGAATGCAAACTGTTTAAAAAGTGAAGTGATAATCAACACTTACTTCCGGCCATGATGATACCATGGAAGAAACTTGATTAGCTTTGCTAATATTTAAGGATATATGGGAATGGTTGTTGAAAATATCAGATTGTTGCTTAAAAATATCTTGATAATCAGTAATGAAATATGTTACTATTTGATTTGTGAGAGATTGTTCTTTCAATCCAACAAAATCTTCGGTGACTCTGAAAATTAAACTCAATTACAGCAAGTATATTCACAGTTTCACTTTCACTTAAAACTCATTATCAAAATATCAAGTTTAATTTTGAAAATACCTTATTGATAATAGAAAAACAAATTGATGAAATAAGTTGTTTAATAGACAAGGCACAAAAAATTAATCATACCAAAATTAATAAAGTAATTTTTATAATTAAAATTTTCTTCACATTTCTTCTTCTTAATTTAGGAAACCAGTTATTTATTACAATGAAGTAAATTATACTGTGAGTAAAACATAAATATTTATTACTTGTTTAAGAGTTTTAATAGAAAAAATTAAAGTGCTCAATCTTTAATGCGAAACAGTTACATAAACTTTGGAAATTATAATTTTTTTTAAATGAAAATTAGAATAATTAGGCTGAAAAAAATTTGTCCTGCAGTATTTCCTTAGCAAATAACAAAGAAAAATGGGATTATTTGACAGAAATCGACAGATCTAAGCCCAAATTGCATTTGATGTAAACGGTTAAAACAACTGAAAACCACATAGAATTTAAAAATTTTATAATAAATATTCAATGAAGTAATATTATATTAGTATCATCATAATGTTGTGCAGCGATCATTCTACGTGAGATTACATTTTTCTCTCTGGCATCTGTATGTTATTTCTTTTAATTGAAAAAAACTAAAACACATTTTATCTACAGATGAAACTCTAGAAGTAGTTTGTGTATAGCATTGGTTATTATATTGCAACAAGATATTTTTAAAATATTTAAAATATAAAGATTAAAAAAAGGTCTATACCTAAATAAATTTGGCCCAAACACTATTCCAAGAGAAGATGGACTCATTCGGTTTTGTTCTTCAAAGTCTGAAACTTTCTTTAAAAAACTGAACAAGTAACTTAATATGTTGTAGTTTACAGGAGGCAATTTTTTTACTAGTTCTCCTAAACACATCACACTTTCTTCTTTACTTTTATCTAAAAATGAATAAGCATTTTAAAAAATATCAATGATTCAAAACAAAAAGAAAAGAAAACAATCCATTAAAAAATAAGCAAGTATAATTTAAATTCAAACAGGACAGACAGTTAAATATATCAAACCTTTTTAAATTATATTTTTTGTTATTCACAATTCAAAACTAAAAATTCATCAAAATTATGCAAAGATACACAAGTTTTCTTTAAATTTAGAAAAAATTGCAGTGTATACTGAGATATTAAAGTTTGTTTCATGGGCAGTTAGTCATCAAATAAATATCTTTAGATTTAAAAAAAAATGCTTTTCTCACTTAGTTTTTAATATTCGTAAATATCTGCTTACTTGATCAAAAAAATTAGTAGTTAAAAAGTTTTTTTTAAAATTAAACGATTAAAAAAAATCAAATACAGGGAAAGTGTTTGCAACCTTTAACTGCATTTAAAAACTGGCAATGTAGGTTTAAAGGTATAATTGGATCAGGTAACTCTCTTAGAAATAATTTTAGTAAAGCAGCAGCTGTGGGGACATCTCCTTCTGTTTCAAGTGGAGCATCACCAGAGCGATCAAATGAAATTTTTAGCCTTTCAACTGAGCGTGCATTTCCACTTATTCGAAAAAGACCCTCATGAGTGAAACCTGGAACAAAAAATAAAATATAGTACTAAGAATTTTTTTTTTTGCATATTATATTAAAATTTTAGTTTTTAAGAATGAAAAAATATAATAACTATGGCAAACAAATATGATTCATGATCATTAATATGGCTGATGGCTTCATTCCATTGTGTGGATATAAGGGTTTTACAGTATTTACCTCATAAGTCTTCAGATTTTGAACCAGACACAAATTAAAACAGTTTAGTTAATTATTTAGATAAATACACCTTAGTAAAACTGTTTGAATAAAACTAACACACATTGGATTTTATGATTGGAAAATTCTAAAAATATCCCACGAAGTTGCCTATATATTGGAAGCTTTTCTATTTTAGAGATATGGACATGGTCTTCAATCAAGACAGACACAAGTTTAATCTAGCTGGAAGACTTTACGAATGTTTCTGTTTAAACAACCATCTCCAATAAATCCAAGTAAGTAACACATTCTTCTTATATCTTCAAGGGAGTATTTGGTGTCACGTAATTCAATAAAGAAGTAAAAGATACTGACATTTGATAAATATTTTAGCCAACAACTATTTTTTTTAATTAACAATTGCATATTAATATATTTATTTGACATAAAAAGATTCCCTTTTTTGTTTAATAACACAAATTAAATTTCTATTATACTTATGAGATTTTTTTTCACTAAGACATACACAAAATAATACATAGATAAAAATATCACAAAATAAAAACGCAAAAAATCATCAAATACCTAAAAATATAAAAGAATTTATTTAATTTCATAATTCTCATTAAACAGCCAATCAAATTTTCGAGCTTACGACTACCAATGCTCAACTCCATAGCCTTGTAATTTTTAACCCAATCCAGAAGACAAGGAGACTCCTGTATCAAGTGTTGAGAGAAATTTGAATTCACAGTGGACTTTTTAATGGAACTAACCCACATTTGTGTTACATGAAGAGAAAAACTTCCCACAGTTAGCCTGACGGCAAGGGGACTCTAAACCATGACCCGTCTACCACTGAGGATATTTTATGTCAGCACTGTGGTTAGTGCGAACCGATTACAGAATTCCTATCTATCTGCCATTGCTGGGATATGAACTAGGGGCACCTCATTGGAAGGTGAACACTCTATCCCCTCAGCCAGCATGACTATGTCAAAGATCTGTAAGATTCTTTTCAACAATGACCAACTATATAACAGCAATTTAGAATTGAAATAAATAGTTATAAATAAATAAGAAATTAAACAGCGAAAAAATATTAAAAAATACACACCTGAAGCCTGAATGTATTGACATAACCTAGTGATGATGAAAGGTACTGAATATTCAGAGGGGCAGCGTTGTAAAAGAATTTCCAGGGGTGTACCGAATGTTTTACATTGTGAAGTAGGGGTCTTTTTTCTTGTCAGTGGTGAACTTAAGAATTTCCTCATCTTATCAATGCGACTTTCCCCAGATGACTCTTGATGCTAGAAATTTTTACAAAATACACTTTAGAATCAAATTCAATGATAAATAAAGATACAATTTATAAAAATAATAATCATTTAGAATATAACAATACAACAGATAAATATAAAGTTTTTTTCCTAAAAAAAAAAACAAAATGCTTATAAAGTTGAAAAAAAAAAGAAAAAAACTTCAAAAATTCAAATAACTCTTATCACCTGTATCTATACATATAAAAGGCAAAGCATGCATGCATGTTTATTCTCAATGCATATCCACAAATCTGAAACATTCAGATCCATATTCACTACACATAGGTTTTAGAGCAGAAAATCATCACTGTCAACCTTAAAACTCTCTTCTACCACTGGTTCAAATGCTATAGTTCAAAATATTTTTCCATACGATAACGATAGAAGTCATCATTGCAATTTAAACTACTACCTATAAACTATTTCTTTTCTCTTTTTTTTCCAATTACTTAAAAAATTATATGATTTTTTATTGCTTACTGCTCTATTTAATAAAAATGAGTTTCACTAAAAGTTTATTGCACATATCTGCACTTCATAAATCTGAGAAAAGTCAGGAATGGATCTAGGTCATTTCATGCTTGGGGTAAAAATTTATTTTTGCACTTCTTTTCCTATGCATGCACTACAAAGTAGCAGATGTAGAGACTAGATCATTTATCATAACAATGTGATATAAAAAATTTTAAAACTACATTTTGACAGTGGATGAAAAAAAAACAATTATTTATTTTTTTACACATAAAACTAAAACCGTTGAATATAAAACATAGCATAAATCTCACATTCACACATAAATATAAGCCATCACACATACATAGAAGAAAAACGTTTGAAAGGCATATGCTTGGGGTAGGGAAGATTTTTGGTGCTGAAAGCAGTTTGTTAGTGCAATTATTTCTTAATTTCAAATTGAACTTTTAAAATTTTTATTATATTATTTTTTTTCCTTTGATTTTGCATCTCATAATTATTATTTTTTTCAGTCAGAAAGCAGATGAAATTTCTATTGACAATAAATTTTACAGGGAAATCAATTTTGCTTTGCTCAAGAAACAAATAAAAATTTTCAGCAGACAAAGAACTCGAGTTGGGACTTAATCGATCTAGTATCTAATCAAAAAGTGGTTAAAATTTCGAGTGACAACATATTCTACAGATCAATAAAATGACAATAAAGTTTGCTTGGAATGATCCGGAAGTTATTAAAACTTGCATTCTTATCAGGCAAAATAAAACAAATGGACTCTGGCTAGTTAGAAAATCGTCTTAATCTCGAAGGATCATAAATTCTGTATAGCAATAAATTCTATTTATAGTGGTCAGGTAAATGATTGAAGCTTGCTTTTCTCATCAGGTCTAGAGCTCAGCTCAAGTAGATATTTGATGGGTACTCTAGCTAGTTGGAAAGGGATCAAAATTTTAATCAATGATCAATTTCCTACGGTGCTAAAATTGTAACAAACTGTACTTTTTGCAGCTAGAAAACAGTTGAAATTTGTATCATTATTCAGCCCAGAATACCAGTTAAAATTTAAGTGCTCTAGCTAGTCTTAATTTTGACTGATGATAAGTTATAATTAGAGATAAATTGTCAGAAAGTTTTACAAGTACATAGAGATTGGGAACTTGCATTGCCAATGCACAATGCAATTGCACAGATTACCAGTTAAAATTTTAATTTTCTAACTAGTTTGAAAGTTCTTAACACTTCCTTAATTCTGCTTATAGCGATCAGAAAACAACTAAAACAGTAACAATGTCTAGTTACAGTTGAAATTCAAGTGCTTTGGCTAGTCAAAATTAATCAGAATTTTGACTGACTATGAATTATTTTTTTACCATAACATCACGATAAAATCTGACCTGGTGGTCAGGAAACAATTAAAAGTTGCATCGAAGACAAACACAGAGTTCCAGTGAAAATTTGAGAGCTCTAGCTAGTCAGAAAGTGGTCAAAATTTTGCCAGCAAGATTCAAGCAAAGTGAGATAATAAAAATTTTGTAAAATAACAATAATTGCTGAAAGGTGTTCAACATTACAATAAAAGCAATCATCGATAAATATTCGAACTATTTTGCATTTTAGATTTTTTAATGTATGCATCATAAGAAAGATATTTCTCATGATGCATGATTGTATTAAAATTTCACCAACTATCTAGTCTCAGTTAATGATAATTTCTCACCCTTTTCCAATGAAAACTGATATTGTATATAAAATGAGTTAAAATTTCTTGTGCATGTACTAGAACAAAAAAGGGTTCTGATAATAATGTTTTCATTTTGTTCTTTCATGATTCTAGTGATACATGGAACATTTTTGCCTAGTTTAGTCCATTACCACATAGCACTCAGGGCGGATTGACTTTACACGATCTGTGATTGTGTAAAGTCAATTGAAATTGAAAAAAAAATATATGTTGTGTGACAAATTATAAGAAAAATTAAGGGAATGAGATAAATCGTAATTACCACATATTTGCCACTATCAATCCTTTTGAATCTCTAAAACAAGTTTTAATAAATGTAATAATGGAGGGATAACAAAATGTAAAAATAACTGGGAAGGATAACAGAATGTAAAAAGAAAACTATGTAGTAACAAGTGCCAATTCCCCCAGAATAATATGTATCACTACATAAACAGAGGATTTGCACAGAACTCTATGACACTTAGATGGCCAAAAATGATTACAAAAATATAACTGACATAAATTATAATCTTTGAGAAACAAAACTAATTATAGTGTATAAATAAGAACCTAGTGGCAGAATTGCAGCAATACGGCGACATTGATGCAGAACGTTACATAGTCCTTGCAGAAAGATTTTTCTTTTGAAAAGTAAAAAAAAAAATTTCTTTTCTACAGAAATTCAAGCGTAATATTTGAATCATACATTTAGATAATCACTTTTTGACATGCTCAATTTACGCCAATAGCATCGTAAATCAATGTAATTTTTTGATTGCATGTTCGGCAGTTATTGATATTGATTTTCATTTGGATTTTAAATATCCCGATATATTTCAAACAATATGGAATCGTTTTTAAGGCAATAATTCTATCGAATTTTTGGCACTATAGCTATTGATTTCTCTGCGATTTTTTAATCTGATACTTTCTATATGATATTATTTACTACAACAACCTAATCTCGAATCGAAACACACATTTGAGGAGCCCGATTTCTGTGATTTTGTCAAATTTTGTCTTATTTTCGGCAATTACTACTTCCGAATTCATGATTTTTAATAATTTTTTTCCTTGTGATAATTTTTTAACAAAATGCGAAGAAGGAAATTAATTTATGCATCCCCGAGAAAATGAGAGAATATCACCCATAATATTAGAATAAAAAATTATTATATGTTAAATTAAAAAAAATATATATATATAGTTTTTTTGGTAAATACAGGGTTTTTTTTAATTTTAAATTACTAACATACATGTTTGTTATTATTAAAAGTATCTTGCAGAAAGATATTAGTGCTAGAGAGCTTTGTTGCAGATAGCTTGAAAAAACACGGGGAATAAGAGTTATTATTGTGAAAGCTATGAGAAATTCACTATTCTGAATTATTATAATGAAAGCTATGTGTAACAATTATAATTTTTATACCAAGATTGTTATTACCAATGATTGCCTACAGAACTTTTTTTAATAACTTTTATAATAATAAAGAACAATTAATAACAAGTTACGTTCTAAGTGTTAATTTAGCACATTAACTAATAGCATAAATAAACTAGCTGTTGAACCTGGCATAACTTAAATAAAAAAAACTAACAATATTGGTACAGTGGGAACAGCATGTAATTCCTTAAAAAAATTAATGCTTGTAGTAATAATACTTTATAAACATTTATGGTAAACAAAGCAATAAAATCTTTTTTTAGACCTGCTATAAATTTACACACATTCTATTATAAATTACTATATACAACTCATATTCTGTTATCTACTAGAGTTGATTCAGTTAAATAATTAATATCATGAAAAGAGTGTACCTAATTATTATAAACTTAGTAAAATAATATTGCCAAGAAGGAAAAAAAAACTAATAAAATAAAAAATGGATGTTATGTGCAAATGCCAATTCAGTGAGATAATTTATTTTTAGTGGAATTTAGAACTAAGGAAATTACTTATAAATTTCAGTGATAATTATCATTCTAAATAATGTATATAAGGTACGTAACCAAATTTTTCAATAAAATAAGCACCTTTTAACCACTAAAAAAATATTTTTAAGCACCTTGAAAAATATCATAATTAGACAATTGATGGTATTATCTGGTTTTATTAACAGGGACAAAGACGATGGTGTGTCACAAACGATGAAATTAACAAGAGAAATTAAATTTTCTATCACTAATAGAGAAAAAAAATTGACAATGTTTAGTTGGTTCCTGCAATCAGCAAAAATTTAAGAGATTTTTCGATTCTATAACAGAGGGCGGAAAATTAGATATTTCGATTCTATCACAGAGGGCGGAGAGAATCTCTTGCAAAATGCAGCAGGGTTGCACATAAGAGTAAAAAATCCTTACCATCGAATCCAGCTCAGTACACGCAAGTGCGGACCCGCAAGTATTTAATCAAACATGTAAAACAAATTGTGCTTTTATACACTACAGAACGGCGGTACACCAAAATAGATTGGGGTTGAATTAATTGTGAAAACGTTGAATAGGACAATGTCTTTTTGTATAATTTGTGATTAAAATCAACATGGTAAAGAAAAATATCACATTTCGGAAAAGGGAAAATTAAGCAGTTTTTAAAACATCCATGTAAAAAAGCACCTTTCAGGGCTTTTAAAAAAAAGAAAATAAGCACCGTTAAGCACTTTTTAAAAACGCACACACCCTGTGTATAGGCAACAGGAAGAACTAATTTTAAGAAAAAGTTATGCACTATGTGCCAACGGAATACCAAAATTTACAAGAAGTCTAAAAAAAAAGATTTATCTGCCTCCCTTTGTTAATCAAAGAAGTTTAATACTTACTTTGGAGAATTTTATTCGCTTCCCATTTAATTAATAATCTGCATTTTTTTATTGTTATTATTTTTAAAGCTATACCATGCTCAACAGCCAGTTTATTTACAAGTGTAAGATATATACCTATGGAAACCTATTATCAGGCAAAAGGAAATTTTTAGTTTATAAAAAAATTAAACATCATCACGGAAAAAAATATGACAAACAACAAATTTAAAAAATAAATAAACAAAGACTTATATGTTAAACTTATTTTACCTGGTTTGATGCTAACATTTCAAGCACTTTGATACAGAATCCCAAACTCTGTTGTCAAGATGTTATTCATAATAACTAAAAACAAGTTAGGAAAATCAATTTAACAATTTATTTAAGGCTAAATTTGTTTAAAAAAAGTCACAAATGAAATAAAAATATTTTTTTCCTTACCATCAATATTTTGTATATTAACTGGGTAATTCATTGATTATATATTTCTAATATCAAGATAAAAAGTTATGGTTGCTTCAAAACTCTACATAATACTAAACATAAATTAAACATTAGAAATATCTTTGTAAATTGAATAGGTGTTTCCTACTATATAATCGTTTGAATACCGAAATATTAAAAAGGTTTTTTCCTTCAACTAATAAATAAAACTGAATACATGTTTATTAAAACATTACATATCTTAAAGTAAATTAAGTTATATAGTAGATTTTTCACAAAATATTTCTATAATTTGTCTCCAGATCAATTAAACAGTTTCAATTCATAGTTTAATGAATGTTTCTGATTTCTTTTAATAAAATGCAACCTATCTTTAAAATAGAGACAGTGAGTGACATCAATGTATATTTGATCTAATCTATCAATCTTCAAATGGAAGTGTTGAAAAAGATTGTAATAATTATTTCTTATTACGGGTGAACAACTCTCCCTTTTCAATTTACGACGATGTTTACTTCAATCGTTTTCGTTACAGACAAGTTACGTTTTCTATGGTGGCGAGTAGAGCATTGAAGGACTTGCTGTTTTGGAGCCCATCCAAAATAAGTTGAATATTTTTAAAATTTGAAGACAAAATTGAATGAAATATTGTTGCTCATATTATATTTTGAAATAATTTTTCAGATAAAGCTGATTCTATCGTAACAGAGGTTTTCAGATTTTTAAACATAAAACACAATCTAAAAACAGAGCTATAAGCTAAATAAATTTTAATCCATAAATTTCATGGCAAGAAAGATTATCTGGCAACGATATTTTATTGTTGATAAACATTTGAAAAGGGCCTTCTTACTCGCTGGAAAAGGGTCATAAAACCCTGGTACGATTTTCTCGTTTCGAATGTCTCAGTGTGAGAAAATCGCATTAATTTATCGAAAATTCTTTCATTATGTTTCAATGTAATGTAACAAGAACAAAAATTAGAATCTGTTTCTTAACTTCGGTCGTTTTATTATTAATATTTTTATTTCTTGTCAGTGACGAGCTTATTAGCAGAATTCGCTCGCCAACTGTTCGTTCTTGTGTTTTATGTCCATTCAAAAATAATGCATCTTTGAACAAAGCTGAGTTCTTACATTTTACGATACTTTCAGATAATTCTCACGAGGAACCTATTAATGTAATGTTGTCATTTGTTCATGCAAATCGTAATGTAAGATTGAAAAATAATTTCAATCGATGTATTTCGTCACTTCTTATGCACTCGTCTGTACATCTTCACCTACATATTCTCACAGATGACTCCAGTGTTAATGATGCCATTAATATGCTAGAAAATGCAGCCCCTTTAGCCAAAACCGCAACTCAGGTATTAATGCATTTTTCCTTTTCTTTAGAATGTTTTTTTTTCAGTGAAAGACGCCACTGTCATATAATGCCTACATAAATAAAGTTAAATAGAGGATATTTCTGCTTTGGTTCCTGTTCATGTCACTACAATCACTAAGACGTGAAAGGGATTTTAAACTTGGAAAATTTAAAGATATATGTTGAAGTTGCAACGAGTTATACCCTTTGAGTTGGTCCCCCTTTGGGGAAATTTATTTATCATAATTTGTGGCAGAATAATGGCCAAGTCTTGGCAACTTCCGGGTAACAGACCTGCAATATATAAAAAAAGACGTCACAGAAAGGGACCAACTCGAAAGATACAACTAGTAGCGAACCTTGGGCAAACGTAGATATTTTTTTAAAAAAAACATTGCATGTTTAATATCTATTTGGCATCTTGGTGATTATAGTTGGCACGACAGATCACGATACAGAAATATCCCCATCTTCTCTGATGTTTTTTGTTTCTTTTTTTAATTTCTCGGGAGCTACTGCTTGTTGTCAAAACTTGGCAATTGTTTTGATGTAGATTTCATTACAGAAATCTTCTCATGAAGGAAGCTAAATGACATATTAAGAAAATCCCCATGACAAATTGAATATACTCGTGCACTGTATTTTCTTAGGAGGATATTTCTGTATAGGTATCATTATGTAAATCTTCTTTTTCTTAATAAACTTATTTAGTAAACCAAAAATGGGATAATCTCAATCAGGGTTTGTTGATTTTAAATCAACTCATTTTTTGATCAATTTTTTGATTCAACTCATTTTCCTGTGGGTGAATGGACTCATGGACCTGGTCTAGCTACGCTAGACCAGTGGGGATGAGAAACAACAAAAAGACAAAACTTTGAAATCCCCACATTAAAAGAAAATAATCATATAACCAATTTGAGTTCTGCATGTAATAAAATTGCATTAAAATTTTTTTAAACGTAGTATTATTTATTATTTATTTAGTATTTTTTTAAACGTGAAAATTCGTAGCAATAACTGTCAAAAGTACAATTGGAAACACCGCATGGATTAACAAGAATATCAGCACATATTGATCCTGTCAAAGAGCGATTTCTTAAATTCATAATTAGAAAAATATTGGTATTTTTAAAACGAATCAGAAGAATATCAATAATAATAACTGATCAATAAAAGATATTAGGATTAAAAAAAATAAAAAATCAAAGCACTAGTACATATATTATTGGAATCAAAGAGAGTTTGGAGCAATAGTCAAGACTCAAATGCATAATTTAAAATTTTTATGTGCAATATATATAAAAATTGTTAGATCAATTTTATTTCAACAAAATTTAAAAGAAAAGAGGGATCTCAACTGATTAATCAATTCTTGATAAATCAATTCTTTTGCTACAAATCTGAATTTGTAACAGAATCCCCACTCAGTCATATTTCATTGAAATGTAAGTATGGTGTTCTTGCTATTGCAAAAAATTGGAAATTCTTCTCTCTATAAAAACATTGTGGACAAAATGAATTCAAGTATATGATTTCACGAAACTATCTTTTCAACTTTTGGAATTTATTTTATACATTATCTATTTGAAATTTTAGATGAAGCCAGTCATTTTCAATTTTTTTTTAAATTCTCAAATAAGATTATAAAAATCACGAGCATTTCTTTCCTATCCGAAGTGTGAGAAAGGCATCTTTTAAATATAATTCGGAATATGAAGAAAAAATATATATTTTGAAAATTTCTGCAGAAAAAAAAAATTAGAATTTTTTCTTCCCGAAGACGAAAATTTTCTGCAAAAACTCAGTATTGTTCTGTGATAATATTGCCATAATCCTGCCACTTGGACTTTAGGCATTTTAAAAAACCTCTGGCTTGCCTCATTCACATCTAGCAGGTCTTGGGAATAAGCATTAATTTATTTGAGTGCTCAAAAAATGTTGAATCTTATTATCTCTTAAAGCAAATGAAATTTTTTATTTATATTATCAAGTATATTTTTCCACTTTCGGTCTCAAGTCTGCGGGTTTAATCCCCGACCCAGGCACCTGATTTTCGGGATGCAGAAAATCCTCAGCGGCCATGTCGTATGATTATGCGGCATGTAAAAGATCCNATCTTTTCAACTTTTGGAATTTATTTTATACATTATCTATTTGAAATTTTAGATGAAGCCAGTCATTTTCAATTTTTTTTTAAATTCTCAAATAAGATTATAAAAATCACAAGCATTTCTTTCTTATCCGAAGTGCGAGAAAGGCATCTTTTAAATATAATTCAGAATATGAAAGGAAAAAAAATATTTTGAAAATTTCTGCAGAAAAAAAAAATAAATACAATTTTTACTTCCCTAAGATGAAAATTTTCTGCAAAAACTCAGTATTGTTCTGTGATAATATCGCCATAATCCTGCCACTTGGATTTTAGGCATTTTAAAAAATCTCTGGCTTGCCTCATTCACATCTAGCAGGTCTTGGGAATAAGCATTAATTAATTTGAGTGCTCAAAAAATGTTGAATCTTACTATCTCTTAAAGCAAATGAAATTTTTATTTATATTATCAAGTATATTTTTCCACTTTCGGTCTCAAGTCTGCGGGTTCAATCCCCGGCCCAGGCACCTGATTTTCGGGATGCAGAAAATCCTCAGCAGCCATGTCGTATGATTATGCGGCATGTAAAAGATCCCTGGAGTGCTTTCTTGGCATTTCCGGCAAAATTAAAATTCCTAGTGCACTTTAGCATCCAAATAAGAGTCTCGGTGCTGCCATCTAGTGTGGCAGAAACTAGACGTCCAAATTAACATGGCCAACGGTATCTCACCCATTGTGGTGGTCTTGAAAGAGTGGATACCACTTCTGGAGAACACACTTGTGCTACTCATTGGAAATTTAAAAAAATGTCCACTTCAATTCAGTAGGATTATTTTTTTACAATTCCTTACTAGTCTATTAAAAAAATTTCAATTACTTTAGATTGTAAGTCTATTTTTTATTTTGTTTGTTTTACATGAAAGTAAAATAAATTTTTTTCCTTATCTCTTTTAGGTTAGCTTATACGATGTAAATATATTTGTAAAGCCTTTGCAAGACTTAATCCATACAATTAGACCATACTTCAGTGTTAAACAAGGAGCTTATTACAGTGATGAATTATTTTACGTATCTATAGCTTTATACAAAATTATTAATTTAAAATATTTAATAATGCTCGATATTGATGTAAAAATTTTAAATGACATCAAATATTTATTTAACGAGTTCACAAAATTCTCCAATAAAGCTCTGATTGGGATGGCCAGAGAACAGCAACCTGTTTATCGACATATTCTCAGTGAATATCGCAAACTTCATAACGATTCTAGAATCGGTGGCCCACCCCCCAATGGTTCTTCAGGCTTCAACAGTGGAGTTTTGCTATTGCATTTGCAAAAAATTGGAAATTCTTCTCTCTATAAAAACATTGTGGACAATTCTACTTATATTCAAAATCTCGTGGAAAAGTACAAGTTTAAAGGTCATTTAGGTGATCAGGATTTTTATACTTTAATTAGCCTCGAGTATCCCGAAATTTTTCATGAAATTCCATGCACATGGAATAGACAGTTATGTGAATGGTGGAGGCACCATGGATATAGCAAAGTTTTCGATTTATATCATAATTGTACTGGAAAAATTTATTTACTACATGGAAACTGTAATTCTTTAATGCCAGAATCGTAAAGCAAATTTTACCTTTACATCACATTAGGAAAAGTACAAATTTTAAGGTCATTTAGGTGATCAGGATTTTTATATTTTAATTAGCCTCGAGTATCCTGAAATTCCATGCACATGGAATAGACAGTTATGTGAATGGTGGAGGCACCATGGATATAGCAAAGTTTTCGATTTTTATCATAATTGTACTGGAAAAATTAATTTACTACATGGAAACTGTAATTCTTTAATGCCAGAATCGAAAAGCAAATTTTACCTTTACATCACATTAGTTAGGCAGTTAACTGGCAAAGTGATAGTAAAGAAATAAAAAAAAAACTATCATGTTCCGTTTTTAGAGCAAGAGACTAAAAATTGTGCGATATTTACCATAGTTTTTAATTATTGTTAAATGATGAACTCCTAAAAGAAAAAAACTGTTCGGACTAATCATTAATAAAAACATGTTGGAAGTATGGAGCTTGAAGAAAAAAATTTTAAATTTATTTTACATTTCTCATTAAAATTTTAACTAGAGTTTGTTTTGCTATTTAAGATAAAAAAGCATTCAAATATTTTCAAAATAGTCCTGCATGTTTTAGAAATCAAAATTTTCTCAAGTATATTTTTTAAAAGTATTAAATGTACCTGGTAATATTAATGAAATTTTATATTTGTACAATTTCTTACTGTAAAAAGTGCCTTAAACTTTGTGCAATATTGTTATTTGAATAGATATACAAGTATTATGTGTTCAATAAATTATTTTGTTTGTCTGTAATTTAGTATCTCACAGAAAATATGTTTTAGCAATTAAAAGCTAATCAATCGTTCTTTAGGTATTTTGTAATATTAACTGCATCTTTAAACTTTTGAATTGTTCAGTCTCAACAGAATTTTTATAGGTTTTATGTGTAACCAAATTTTTGAAAGGGAAAAAAAAAAAAATTTCATCTCATTTTATATATGGGTCATTCTCACTGAAAAGGTATAAATAGACTAAAAAATTTTCTTAAAGTAATTAAAAAAGTGATAAAAATTACATAAATGTCTTTATTTGATTTTGTTATATGTCCTTATAACAATGGTCAAGTTTTCTATTTTATTTTTTACAAGATTTAAAATATTTGAAATTCTGCCTTGTCCACGGACGGAAATGTAATAGTCGACGGAAGAGACATTTTATGTTATAAAATATAAAATGTTAATGAAGACTAATTCATTAATTATTGAGTACAACTGATATTAGTTTAACATTAATAAGTAAATAATAAAGTATTTCATTATTAGAGATAGAGCTACTTCCAATTAATCATGCTGCTATGAAAGGAAACATCCATTTTTAGCCTAGGTGTACAATTTTTTAAGTAACTCTTACTGAATATTAATAAATTAAAATGTAAAAACTATTGAAATAAAAATTCAGACTCCACATGAAAGTTGAGGGTATGCTTTTATGAACATTTTATGCAAGTTAAACATACTGTCATCCAAATAACGTTTTTGTTTTTTCTCTTCTTGTTATTGTTCCCTTTTTCCCTAGGCACAAACGGCTTGCTCTATCAATTTCTAGAAATTTAAGTACATTTAATCAAAATTTTTCTGTTAAACCCTTTTCTGATACAGATTTTAAAGTTTCTTGCTCTTTTTTTTTTTACTTTCTTCAAACAATTTAGGGTTTGCTTTTAATTTCTGTCAAGCTTGTCTCATACTGAGTTTTTTCTGTTCCCTTCTCTTTTGCATTTGAACCTTTGATTGCTTTCTTTTTTTACATTTTGGTTTTACCATTTTTTTTTAAATTTGAAGAGAAAAAAAAAGTTAAACATCACAGAAAGTATTTAGAAAAATTGCCAATATTTACTTCTCCAATAAGAAAAAGTTAAACTTAATTGATTTCCTTTAAAAATACAAACAAATTAACACATTTGTTGCATTTAAAAAAATATCAATTAAAAGAAAATAGTCTTTTAATTATTTAAATTGTATTATGGTTAACTAACACATTGTCTCTTCCATTGACTGTGTGTTCTCCTCCGTGGACTTGTTACGTCCACGAAGGAGACAAAAACTAGTTCTTGAATTTTACTGATTTTTGATTTTAAAGTTACAAAAATGGTGCAGTTCTTTTTATTAAATATACTATTTTTGCAATCTAAAATTCATCTATCAAAAATAAAATAATTTTCTCGTACCGTCTTTATGATGTCCACGGAGTATACGGTGAGAACTTTTCCAATCCCCAGTTGAACACAACAATCCAAAACTGACACCAAAGAGAACAAAAACAACTGACAGTTAACATTAGAAAATAGAATGGTTACCTTTCCCAGCAGCTGTCTTATAGGGATTTCGCATATGCTGCCCTTTATTGCTTATTTACCGAACTATATTAATTGTCCATGGAGGGAGATTTCATTTTTGATGGACAAAGTTTACTAGTCATTTATTTTATAAAATTTTTTTTTTTTTAAATATTAAATAAAAAGTTACTATAAACATTTAACTAGCTAAAACTAAAAAATCATTAAAATAACATTTAAATTGTTTAACAGCAATTAAAAATTATTTTGTGTCACAGACGTAGTGACGTCCACGGAGGGGATTTTGAAGTTATGTTATTAAAAAATAAGAATGAAATATTAAATACATTTAGCAGAAATGCATATGATTTGTTAGTTAGAACTTTACAGAAAATAATGAAGAAAAATATTAAGAAATCTGCTGTATTTGCTAATATTTATTACTAAGGGACTTAAAAAATCACCTTTTTGTGAGAATGACCCATATCAATGACATAAGCACAGCATGTTTTTGATACTAAACTTTGTCAGTCTAAAACTATGACAGCTACTTTTACCATAACAAGTAAGATATATGAATCGTGTTTTTAGCAATTAAAATTTTTAAATTCAGTTTTAGCTTCTTTCTTTTTTTTTATATAAAATATTACAAAACAAACAAAAATTAAGTTAATGTTATTTTATTTATTTTTGAATTTTCAAAGCTAAAACAAATGCTAATTTTTAAGTGAATAATATAATAAGGCTGGAATCTGCTTAAATCTGCACTTTTACAGAAGAGAAAATTAAGACCTTAAATCTGCATTTGAAGTTGTTTGTATATAAATGTTTCCACATTGCAATGAATCTGTGAACAAAATGTAAAATCTTTCTATATGAAAAGTAAAAAACAAAATATATAACAGGAAAGAAATGACATTGTCATTAAGACAAAGGAAATTTTATTATCATAAAAATTACAACACAAATTACGAAAACTTATTGTACTTAGGAACTTCATCATTAATGAAAAGCTCCTTTTCTACACCTTCTTCTGTAATGATTCCCATTCTTATAACTCCACCACTTGAATGATCTCTCCACATAGCTTGTGAAACAGCTATAAAAGACATTGAGAAGAAAAAAAATTACATTTTTTTTTTAGCATGTGTAACTCCGATTTATTTTGGATCTAATCCTCTAACAGCCCCAAAGTTAATAATATGAGAGAATAAAAATAAAGTAGATATTATGAATTATAAATTTTATGCAAATTATTGCACAGTAAAAAAAAATCAATAGATAAGGATATTATAAATAGTTAAAAGAAATTAAATATAAAAACTACATAAACTAGCTGTATGTTCGGTTACTTAAATAGCAACATTTTCTATTGATTCTTCAATTTATAATTTTAAATAGTAACAGATATTAAAACTCCTTTTATACGTTAGTAACTTATTCTTTAACATATATTCTTTAATAACATGTAAAAAAAATTCTAAAACATACTAACATTAAAAGAATTTTAGATTAAATCAATAGAATTGATAAAATCCATAAGTTCAATCTAACATCATCTAGCAAATTATAAATAAATCTCAAATGCAAGTAATGGCAGTAATAGTTAGAAAGATATTATATTCTCTCAAATAAACTTCTTTGAACTGCTTAAAAAAAGATCTTTTAATTTAAACTACTAATAGTTTCAGTTTATTTCAATTAAGGATTTTCTTTCAAGGTTGATAATATACATTAAGAACAGTTTAAATAGCCTGTTTGTGCTTGCATGAATTGTTTGCACCTTATTATAATTCACACTTTACTTAAAATAAAGAAGCAATTAAAATCCATTGTCTCTTCATTTGTGAACAGATTTATTAAACTGATTGTATCTAACACATTCATCTGGAAGTGTTGTAAATAAGGTTTATGAGAGATGCTACTTAATACTTAACTGACGGTATATATATAAATTTAACTTTTTCTATTGTGACTTTCTAGAATAGGTAATAAAGATTTACATTCTTAATTACATTTTTTATTTGATAATGTGTTAATTTTTCATTTTAAGCAGATTTTATTATTATTTTTTGGCAACATTAATTTTACAACCTGTTTGTTGGTCCTATTATAGTATTGCTTTTTAAGCTAGGTAGTATTTTAAGTAATTTTGTTACCATAAAAATAGGTACTGTTAATTGTATTGTGAACAAAACAAACAAATACCACTATTCATTTAAATCTCGAAAATTGATTTATAACAAGTGATAAATCCAAAGTGAGGCTTAAAATTCATACATGTTTATTTCATTTTTTTAAAAAAATACCTGAAAACCAAGAAGGACATAGCAGATTCGACCCTTTGTTTAAGTGTTAACAAGAGAAAAATTGCTATAAATTGTGAATATTAATTATACAGAAAATTGAATGAAGGAAACTAGCATCACTTAAATAGCTCAAGACACTAATGTAGTACTATACCAATCACTAAGTAGGAAAAATATCAATTAAAAGCAATTTGTCTATGAAACATAATTGGTTTGGTAAAATATGTTCACACACCAGAAATAAACTAATGCAATTTCAAAGAAATGATAAAATTATAACAATTCATCATTAATATAAATTAACAATAAAATACCTTTTAGACAAAATTGAATGCATTCTTCTTTGGACATATCGGGTCTGTAATGTTCATCAACAAATCCATAAATAAATCCACTCCCTGATCCACCAATGCAACATTTTTGTCTCATAACCATGCCTCCCAATGGTATACTGTATACCTAAAAAATGTTTTGAGTTACATAAATTTGAGCATTCATTCAAACTAGCTTTTAATATCATTATACCGTTCAAATACATACTTGTCCTCCTAATTTTCTATCCCAACCAGCAATAATCATTCCTGCAGACAGGGACTCTCTGTAGTTATAGCAAATTTGCTTGACATCATTTGCAGCAATTTTCACACTAACTGGTTCACCCAATTCCATTCTAGGAAAGAAAAGAAAAAATTAGTTATTAAAGGAATAATTATAAACTTTTTTAATGAAACAAGAATAATTAATAAAATAATTTTTATTAATATAATAAAATCTAACTGCAATTCTTAATGTAATTGTTATAAAAAATATCCAAATCAAAAGTATAACATTGATATTGTGTTACAGATGCAATTTAATCTATAATAAGGGATTAATCAGATTTTTCTTTTTTTTTTTAAATTAAAAATCAACATTTCAGGCTTCAAATTAAATTTTAATACTTTTATATGTTAACATTGATTGATATGTTATAATAAATTGTAATAGCAGTTAGAAAATTAATGATCCATAATTTGAAAAAATGTTTTCTGAGCACTAAGATGATTACTTATATTAAATACAGAACTTCAGATAAAAAGAAAAAATAGTAGAGTTAACTAAAAAATTAACAAGGAAAAACTTTTTCGAGTGTTTATATCTAAGAGAGAAAAAACATGCTCTGTACCAAAATAATATGAATAAGAGAGAGAAAAACAATAAACCATCACAAATTACCTTTGGCAATTAACATGCAGTTTATAACAGCTCAAAAAACACTATTACTTAAACACTATAATAAGGTAATGAAAATATTTAACAACAACATGAAAATAAAGCCAGTGATACATTTATTCAGATTGTAGTTCAAAATGCTTTATAACTTACTTGACAAAGTAAAAGTTATAAAAATCAATATGCAATTCTATAATTAGAACTTGGTAACACTGTATAATAAATAAATACAGTCATTAAAATTTATATATATATATATTACGCACCCCCGTGGCAGAAACACGGCGACACAGCGACATTGTCGCAGAAAGCGACTGATTTCTTGCAGAAAGATTTTTTTTATTTGGGAAATAAAAATTTTTGGTTTGCCACAAGCAAAAGTTCTCAAAATAAATTCTGCAGAAACAGAAGCTGTTTTACCAACAAAAAAAAAATCATTTTCTTCAGAGACAAAAAATTTCTGCAGAAGCAATAATGGTTCTGCAAAATTTTTTTCTTACAGAATTGTTTTAAATATTTTTTTTTCTAGCGTACCGCGGAAGGAGAAAGCGCTCGTTATTCTCCGTTAATCTCCAACACAAACAGTTACTGGATAAAAAGGGGAGAATTTTTTTCCCCTTTATTAAGCTATTTTTGGAAATTTGCCAACTTCGGCCTCTATCGCTGGCGCAGTAATTTGCTTTGTGTTTTTTTATGAGAACAGAGCATTTTATATTTTTTGCACTTATGTGGAAAATTTCATGCGTAAAAAGATTCTTTTTTTAAAAAAATCATGTCTAGCGAAAAGGTTATTTGTTGCAATTGTGAAGCCACAATAGTTAAAACAAATTTGAAAACTGATTTATCAAGGCGGCATTCCGAAAAAGAAATAAGATGGAAGTCGACAACATCTAAAAATGCCTATATGCTTTGAATTAAATCGTCGATAAAAAAAAAATTAAAAAAAAAGCGCAATCTAACGATAAATGAAATAAAGCCTGAAAGATATCTCACTATCTACGATTTTTTAGCATGCGAATGAAAACCAGATTGGTGAAAAATATTTACTGGTCACTTTCAAACAGGTTTCCATACGCATGCGAAAAAAATCGCATCCAATGAATATGGCTCTAATACCGATGTTTCAGTACTGATAAAGACTATTTCGTTTCGAGATGTTGAATAGACTTGAGCATATTGAGTCGGAAACTGCTTCTGCATACTTCGTGTGGAATCAGTGCTATATATTTACACAATACAGTGCGAAATCACAAGCGCTGTGTATTTTTTTCGTTCTGAACTTAATCTGATCACGAAAAAAGTTTTATTTACCTCCTTTTTTTAAAAAAAAAATCTTTCAATAAGTCAGTACAATATTAATCGCATCTAATTAATTAGATAAAATTAATTAGATGTAGAAAAAATTGAAACAAACATTGCTTTAATTTTTTTGCTTTTAGAATTCGGTTATAGTCAATACTATTTTATTATTTTGATTACTCAACTTCAATATTAATTTTTTCACCTGATTTGTTTCTGTACCTGATATAACTACTATAGTGAAACATTAAATCATACTGTTTTAAACTGATACTTCAAATTCAGTTATCTTGTTTTATAAATTTAATCTTTTTGTCCATTCTTAGCTATTTCTATAAGTTCTATCTTATTACAGGTTCTGGGTAATCTTTATTTATGCTCTAGTAAGCATTTTTGTCTGCAGATCTATACATTTATAACTTTTCGTTATTATCGAAGATTATGCAAATTTATACTTAAACAATTTAAACTTATTAAGAAATGTAAACTTATATTATGAAATTACAGTTTTATTCTATGCATGTAGACTTATTTTATAAACACGAATTTCATTGATTATTATAAATTCATTACACATACATTTATAACGATAAAAATATCTTGCAGAAAGATATTGGTTCTAATTAGGTTTGTCGCAGAAAGTCAGAAAAAGTTCTGCCACAGGGTTACGCACAGAGACCACTGTTGATCAGAACATCTGGAACTAATATCAATTTTATAGCTAGAATGTGACTCAAATATAAATTCAAAAAACAAAAAAACACCGATTTTGCCAAGAAATAACATTTCTATTTTAGATGCCCATATCTGCTTCATCTACATAACTGATAACTCATGGCATAAAGCAATATCTACAGGGGTCTGTCTAGGTTTTTCTGAGAGGTACCTATTTTGTGAAAATTTAAACATAATTTGAAAATTTAGACATAATTGTGAAATTAAATTAAAAAATCAACACAGAAATATGGTAAAAATATGGATTTATCGTTTTTTATGGGATACAAAAATAAAATTTAAAGAAACAGTATTTTGTGAAACTACCGTTTTTCCTAAAGTTGAATTTGTCAAGGTACTGCTAAACGGAAGTAAATTTGGCCTGTACAGACCCCTGATCTATATAATGTAGGACATTCTAATTTCAATACTAAATAGAGATCAGATACATTCAATCTGGTACAATCAAAAATTAACTACACAATTGTAGTTTACTATCAAAAAATATCAAAATTCAAAAATTACTCACTGTAATAATCCTAACTGATATTTAACAGCATCTGTAACGGCTAAAGTATCGGCAGCGGAGCCAGAACGACAACAATATATATGGTCAGTGATTTTGGTAAGTTTATCTGTCAGACGACTTGAAACATATGTTCTGAAAGAGATAAAGAAAATAATAAAAGATTTATACTTCACATAAAAAATTTTTTTATAGGTACCTAAAATAAGTTTGCATTATTTTTTTTTTGTTAGAATTTAAAAACTAAATACATCATTTGAATGTATTTTAAAAACAATTATTAAAATAAACTTTTAATACAAATAAGCTTAAAGAAATTACTTAAAAAATATGGTTCATTTAAGTTACTCATGAATTTCTTGAAATAATTCCAATCTTAAAATTTTATCATTCAATTTTATTTCATTTACTTTTTGCTTATTAAAATTTTGGTGAAAAAACATGAGAATTTGGTGTTGGTAGAAAAACTGAATTTTTCACCAAGACTTTTAAAGACTGATATTTAAAGAAGTTTACGAGTATGTCAAGTTTACAGAGAAATATAAAACATTAATAACTCATGGAGTATAATAATAACTAATAATTTATCCTATACTTAATAATTAATATTGAAAACAAAATTTAACTAATTTTTAACAAAAAAAAATATTTAATTATATAAAATAAAATTAACTGAAATACAGAATAAAATTTATTATTAAATGAATTAGATTTCATGAGAAATTTTATTATATTTGCATAATAAATAATATTATAACTCAACATATTTGAACCTAACAGTCATTATCTTTCAACATTGTTTTAATTATTTCAATTTTGAATAATGCCAAAACTTTCCTACTTCTTTTTGCAGGGATGAGATTAGCCAAAAGGCAAAAAAGCTGAATTTCCACGTTAGTAAATTTTACACAAGCGCAACCCTTTAATAATAAATTCCAGACAGTTTAAGGTAATAAATAATGTGTTGACATACAATTGTGTACTAATCTATTATTATATAGATGATTACATTGCTACTTAACATTTAGTGAAAATAAAAATTACCAATTGAAAAAATAAAGCTGGAAATTATANAATATGAAAAGCTATGTTTGATATTAAAATCGTGTGAATAAGAATCGAGATATTAGCAGATTCCAGGCTTGGGACCTCTAAAAGGCTTGTCAGAAGCAGCATCGTTTGAACTACAAAAATCGGATCTATCTGGAGGGCGGGTAAAAAATTCGGAAAATCTTATCTGCTGCGAATAAAAGGATAGAAAATAGCTATAATAAGCAAAAATGAGAAAGGATTGGTAGCTATGTAGTTTGAATTTTCTGTTTCTTTTTGAAAATCGGTGCATTTTCTGAAAAAGCGGAATACTTATAAAAAAGTGAAATTTTTAGAAAAATCTGAATTTTTGATTTAAAAAAAACTGAAATTCAAGAGATAAAAGTGAAAGAAGCGGAAATCCGCTAAAAAATCTCATCCATCCCTGTTTTTGAAATTCTGATTAAAAAGAGTGAACTGCATGTCAAAATTTATAAATGTTTACTTATTTTAAATTCTGTCACTTGTTTCATTCAGTTTTCACACTAGGAATTAAACTTTAAGCTTTTAACAAAAAGAGCTAGTTTAACTTTTTAACAAGAAAATTATAGTTCTTTCAAACTTACCTCATGGTTGTACGAGAATCAGCTGCAACTATAACACCTTTATTAAACTCACAAGCCATAATTGTAGTCTAAAATGAAATGTATTTTTAAATAAATTAAATTCATGACTAACTATAATATTAAACATGCGAAATAAAAATACATTATTAGTAAAAAAGAATTTAATCAATCAAATGATAAATAAAGTACATCAAGTATCATTTAAAAAAATCTTTCATTAATATTCAATATTCTAATTAATAGTTTACACTTTTCCTAATAACCCTTTGAAGGTTATTCTTCCTTTACAAATATTTGTTTATAATGGCAGCTTTTCCCCATGTAATTCTTAAAGCAGGGGTCTGTCTAGGTCTTTCTGTGAGGTACCTATTTTGTGAAAATTTAGACATAATTTAAAAATTATTTTAAAAAATCAACACAAAAATGTGGTAAAAATTATTGTTTCTTAAGGGATACAAAAATAAAATTTTAAGAAAAATTAGTTTGTGAAACTACTGTTTTCCCTACATTTGAATTTGTGAAGGCATCGCTAAAGAGTAGTAAATTTGACCTAGACAGACCCCTGTAATGGGAAAATAGTGCACAATAGAAAAATTTACAAAGAGGTTCAACAAAATAGGGGTACAATGAGAAAGGTCAATTCATGGTCTTGCGGCCAAAAATTAAGAAAAAAAAGAGAAAAAAAACTAGTTTATGAAATAAAAAAGAAATTGACCAGAAAACAGTCGACAGGCCGCAGAATGTGCACACTTACTTCAGACAGTGTAATTGGTGCAATCAAAACTGTTTCTAACTGTCTGTAACTAGTCTCTTTGACTAAAACTTAATTTCTGATAAATAGGACTTATATTAGGGATATTTCTGAATCAATACCTGTTTGCTATAAGTTATACTTTTAAGTTGATCTCCTTATGTAATACTTTCCTTAGTTTCTCTTACACCACGGCCCAATTGCCCCTAAAATTAGGCAATTTATTGGCTGCAAATACAAATATGAAAATCTTTCCTAGTACTTACGTATTATTATGCTGACCAATTTAGGCCACATTGCATCAAAGTCATTTCGGTATCTTTCAAATTTACTTTGATATAGCGATTGATAATAAAAATTGACAAAATACAAACATAACTTATTCTTATTGCAAAAAATGAGATATTTAAATTTGAAACATTTCTAAATTTATTTTCAGATTTGGTGAAAATGGTCGACGGTGTAGTATGTCAGGTCCTTTTTCCTTTATAATTATGCCAACAAAAACACTGCGGATAAATTTATGCTTCAAATAGAATTACAAAAATAACAAACAAATCTTGTACCTACTAATTATTGGTTGATATTTGATTTGGTTGATTTTGATTTTTCTTGTAAATCTTTTGCATTTTGTTACTAAATTATTAAAAAGAATCAGACTTATAAATAATATATGTACAATTCAAGTAAGATATAATAAATATGATTGTACAAAAAGTTACAAAATATCAATGAATTCTATTTATACTTAATCTATTTAATGTAGTTTTTGAAAGAAAAATGTATCTTTTTCAGTTTGAAGTAAAAACTCAGGACCAGTGGTACTCTCTAGTCTTTCTTTTTGGTTATTTTTTCTTAAACTTTTGTGTTTGGTTATGTTTATAACACAGCTCTTTGTACTTTATTACAATACTGTTTAGTTATAACATTATTTCATTGATTAAGCATAGTTCTGTTTTGTTCTTGGCAAATGGCCAGTTATGCTAGATCCAAATGATGCTATCAAATTTAGGTGAAGAAATTGCTATCAAGTTTTTATGAGGCAAACATAGCATTCTCAATTTTAGCAACAAAATTTCGTTTTTTCACCTAATTCTTTCCGTAGCTTTAGTATAGTAGGGAACCGATTATCCGGAACGATCGGGACCATCGCTATTCCGGATAACTGATTTTTCCGGTTTTCTGAATCGCTATAAAAAGAATTTTTTTTTTATTGTTAAACCCAACTAAAAAAAATTTTTTGGAAATAATCTTAGAAAAGAAAAAACGATGAAGTAATACACTAATGATTAGTTCTAAAATGATGGTAAGGTGAACATCTTTCAAAAAAGAAAGAAAAATCCTAAAACTTATGAGGGAATTTTTTTTTTTTTTTTTTAAATGGCGGGAAAATTTATCGAATTTCGTTTCAGTTTTTTGGTTTTCCGATTTCCGGATAACGGGTTCTGTACTGTATATGTTTAAGCAGCTAATAAAACGATTTATTTAAAAAACAAGAATAAAGATTAACACTTTAAATTTTCCAAAAATCTTTGCATCGCGTCATACATTTTAGGCAAGCAGCCAACTTATTCTCATGTTCTGCTAGAATATAAGAAAGAGTTCCCATATGGGTTACTTTTGCTGGATTTTGTAACTTCATTAAGTGAGTGTAAGGTTAAGTAAGGTATGTCAATAGCTGGGAGACAAACCAGAAATGGTGCAAATCCGAACACATTTTTCTTGTATTCAGCTAAAAACAAATTTTATGATTACAGTTAAAATATATTTTATAGTTGTTCCACTTAATAAATATGAACTGCTATTTAAGAAAAGACAATTAGCTATTTATTAGCTATTTTTAATACAATTTATAAAAAGAAATGACAATGATCAGGAATTACCCCAGTGATCAATGATTACCCCATCTGTAGGGGGCAACATTTGATATAGTTTCCTATAATCAATTATAATATTTACAGTAGATGTGAAACAATTAAAAAAAAAGCTTACACTATTTTCATATCAAAGAAAAAGAAAGTAACTCAAAATATTTATTATTAAGAGAAGGAGGAGGATCTTTGCAGAAATGTACACATTTTGAAACCCATCTTTGAAATGGAAAATACAGAAAGCAGTTTAAAAGATACTTATTTTGTTAAATCAAACAAAAAATTTTTATTAAGTAAATGCAGTTATACTTTGATGCTGTTAGTATGCTGTTTGAAGTGTACCAGCATTCTTGTCCATGTCTCAAATTAAAAAAAAAAAAAAATTATTATTTTCTGTAAAACTTAGGTGATCATTATTTACCCCAGAAACAGAGTGATCCTGAATTACCCCAGGTCACCCTACCTCTCAGAAAAACCTAGACAGACCCCTGAAAAGCTGCATGATCACCAAATCTTGGCAAATTCTGAGCAGATTTTTTTTAAAATTTTCATTATTATCACACACAGACATTTAATAGCAAAGTACAATGAAGTAACACTGATAATTCCTTCCATATGTAAAACAAATTAAGCAATTCATTAAAACTGAAGATTAGTTTAAAATCTATTTGTTGCTTTGGAAATAGTAGATGTCACAGAAATTTCCTCCAACAGTACTGGCCGAGAATTAGTTTATAAACATTGGAATTCAGAATAAAAAAATGAGAACCTAAAATAGGAAATTCGAATTTTTTTTTTCAATTTAATTTTTATGCGTTTAAAAAATAATCAAAACGAAAAAAAATTGATGGAGGTCTCAATTTTTTATCGACTTTTCGCTTACGTCCGGCTAACCGAAAAGTACAAATTTTTTTTATTATAATGCATAATATAAGGACATTTAATAGCAAAATACAATCAAGAAACACAGATAATTCCTTCTATATGTAAAGCAAATTACGTAATTCATTACTATAACTGGAGATTAAGAGCATTTACAACAAAAAAAATATTTAATCACAGCTTGATGAATAAAAATTAACTTCGTTTCTAAATTATAAACGATATGTAAGAAAAGAACATAAAAAATCATAGCAATACCCCTGTTGAGACTTCATCACTGGCAAAGTCCATAGCATTAGCTGCAAAATCGTACATTTTTTATAACAAGAAGTTTAACAAATGAAACGATTAGTATGCCTACAATGAGTAAACAATTTTTAGAACAGGATGGCTTGAAACTTGTGTGATTGTTCGAGAAATCAGTATCTTCTAGTCGATTAAAGGCAACATTAGGTTTTCATTCAACAGAGTTCGGAAACATCTCTTGTAACATATCATAATCAAACATTTTCAACTGAAAAAGTTTTTATCGAGTAGTCGATGCATTCCATTTAATTTTTAACGTTTTTTATTGCTCATTTCTGTTCCTTTTAGAATTCATCAGACAGAATTTTTTTAAAAAGACGTTGGGCCAGGGTAGCCGAGAAAATGGAAACTCAGTGCTGCATGCAAAAAAAATCGCATATGCGCAAATTTCTCCAATCAGGTTCTCACTTGGAACTCTGAAGTGTTGTAAATGCAAGTTTTCACATACTATGTGAACGGTCCCATAAACAACTCAGAACAGAACCCGCAACCATTGAACCATCGATTCGAACGCTCATATTTCAACAAACATTTACCTACGTATTGTATGAATATTCTCCTACCAGCTACATATTATGAATATTCTAGTAATTACCCACATATTTTATGAATATTATGAATTTCTCGAGCAAAATTTTTTCTCTCACAAATTTATTGTTTCATATAATAAATGGATTAAACAATTAGTTTCGGTTTCTAGCAAAACTTATAATAAAATCTATAATAATCTTGCACGACTTTAAATAAAACGTGAACATTTTTTCTGTTCCAAATTTTTGCGTATTCTTAGCCATAATATGTTTAGTATAATTATTGCCATGTTTTTATTAACTTTTATTTTAATTACCTCGTAATATTTTCAAAATATCTGCAGAAAAAAAATGGAATTTTTTTCTTTAAAAAATTGGTGAGTTATGACTGAGATTAGTGCCAAATAAATAAAAAAGATTACTATAACNTTTGCTGCTAAAAAATGGCGTCTGATTCAGTCAATGACTTTGATGGAACTAAATGAAAACGTGATAAATTAATGTCCGATATTTACAGGCTCCCGCTAGACGGCGTACTCGAGCGTTGCGATCGCGAATATAGGCATAGGAGCTCTATCATAACTTAATTCGAAAAAACACGTAAACATTTATTCGCTCCACATTTTTATGTAAAAAAAAATTTATTGTTGTAATTTTCTGTGTAAAAAAAAAAAAAAAAAAAAAAAAAAAAAAAAAAAAAAAAAAAAAAANAAAAAAAAAAAAAACTGTTTTTCTTAAAATTATAAATGAGATTGGTACATAATAAATACGATTACTATAATAACTATATCGTTAACATAAATAAGAATTACTATAATTTGTATACGTATTTTTCACCCAATGTATAATTTTCTGTAAGAGAAATTGAAATTGAAATTGCTATAAAGTTGTTGACAACTTTAGATGCATAATTAAGAAACATGTTTTCATCCATTTTTTTTTTTTTTTTTTCTGCTCGCCTTGCGAATCTTGCATAAGCGAAAATCACAAATGTGAAATAACAAGACAAAAATACTTTTTTACTCTTATATGTATAAAACCAAAATAAACTAAATAACTCGTTTTTTTCTTATTTTCTTTTTTTCTTCTTTTTTTTAAATTATGCGATATTTTAGGAACGAAATTTCTTAAGATTAACATTTAAAAATTTCTAAAATCACGATTCTAAATTTTTTTGCTAGAAATCGTATTAACAAAAAATTATTAAATAAGAAAAGAAAATAGTTACTTCTAAATCTGTTGTTTGACATTGGATCCAATTTACTATTTTATTAAAATTCGTATTTTTTAAAGGTCGACCTTTAAAAAATATTTATTTTTAATAAAATGGTAAGTTACAAAATTTAGGGAGGAAAAAAAACTTAAGCATAACTTTCTTTTCTGTTCTGAGATTCTCGGTTAAATATCAGCTAAATTATTCTAAAGACATTCAGTTATATTCATTTGTTATGGTTAAACTAGCATTATTTGTCTTTATTCAAATAATATTTCAGATTATCCTAATGAATGCGATTAATTCTTCAAAAATTATTCAACGAATTTATACGACATACAAAAAAGAGAATTTCTTTCGAAGGACTTTTGCATAATTTATTTGCATACAGAATGGTAAATCATAAAAAATAAAAATAAAAAAAAATAAAAAATATCCGGCGTTAATCTGAAAAACAATTTAGAGTATTTTGAAATTAAAAATTCGTTCAATAAAAACTGTTTAAAAATATCTGCATCGTGTTAAACTACTAACACGAATTTTGTAATAAATTTAAAAAAATCATGAATAATCCTTATGGCTGGACCGACAGCAATGAAATTGTGTAACTAAAAGTTCTAACATCCAAAAGTTTCAACTACTTGGTACCCTTGTCTTCTGAGTTGGATTAAATAAAAGAAGGTAATAAAAAGACCGGAATATAAAGAACGGAGACTTTTTAAATAAAATCGTTTTTGAATTATTACAAAGCTGCTGATAAATTAAGATGCAGAATTAAGAAAAACCTTTATTTATTTATTTTTTAATTTTTTTTGTCCTCCCCCCCCCCTTACATTATCTGTTCTAAATATGCCAAGACAAAAAGATATTTTAAGTCCTATAACATCGAAATATACTAGAAAATTTTCATTTATTTTAAAAAATAATGTAATATTTTAGGAATAAAAACTTCCAAAATCTCATTTTTTTTTGAAAAATTTTTTGTTAGANTAAGCCGCATAACCAACCTTTTTCGGTTTACATTAAAAGGTTTTTGCTGAGTGAAAATAAACCATATTTTGCTATTTGGAATTTATTTTAAAAATTATATAATGCAAAGTTGTTCATTCTTAGTTGTTGTTTTTTAATACAATTTATAAAAAGTAAGATTCTCAAGGGCCCCCCTGAGTGCCTGGGGCCCCTGGGCACTGCCCGGGTGTGCCCATGCGTAAAGACGGTACTGAATATTAGGAAGAAAAAGAAGAAAAAAAACTTGAGCATATCTTTTTTTCTCTGTTTTGAGATTCTTTTTTAAATATTAGCTCTTAGTATTTCTAATTATGTTCTTTTTTATTCATTGGTTATAATTTTACTAGGGTTTTTTTGCTTTATCCAAATAATATTTCAGATTATTCTGATTAAAGCAATTAATTCTAATTCAAAAAAGTTTTTTGCAAATTTATGTGTCTCGTAAAAAAAAAAAACTCCTACGAATAACTTTTTCATAATTTATTTACATACTCAATCGTAAATAAAAATAAATAAAAAATAAAAATAAAAACCTTCGTTAAAAATAAAAAAGAATTAAAAATATTTCGCGTTTGAAAATTTGTTTAATTAAAAGTATTAAAAATATTTGTATCGTGGTAAACACGGATATGTAATATAAAAAAAATTAGGAATAACCTTTATGGCAACATTGAAATTGTATAACTAAAAACTCTAACATGAAATCCTTCGATGACAAATAAATTAAGACTACATGGCACCCTCATCTTCCGAGTTGGGTACAATGAAGGAGGGTAATAAAAAACAAAAAATTAATTCCAGTGAATTTATTACCAAATCTAGTTCAATAAGACACAACGATTAAGAATACCATTTTCTACAAAGAGATAAATTATTAAATTTGAAAAAAATATTGTATTGTTTAGTTTTGCAAATTTTAATTTATCATTAAAAAAACATTATGAAAAAGAAGTCAAGATTGTTTTTGCTAAAAAAAAAAAATAACGATTAAATTTGTTTATTTTGTAAAATGTGTAAGTTCGAAAAAAAGATAAGTCGTAACAAACATGAAAGAGAAAAATGGAAAAAGCAGTTTTTTTAACCGTTATGCAATTTTTTTTTCAGATTATTTAAACTAACAATTATTTTAAAATATCCTACTACGTAAATTAGCAACTACTTAACAAAAAAAAAAGAAAAAAATTTAGCAAGTTTAGGGTTTATTTTGTGAATTCTACCTTTTTATTAAAGCTTATTTATTACACATTATATTTATACTTAACGCACCTTTAAAAAAGGTTTAACTAAAAGGTTTTAATTGTATAAAGTTACTCATTTTATCGATTTGGAAATAAGAAATAAAATAATTATAAATAATGCAGAATAATGACACAATCATAATAAATAAAAAAATTAATAAATGAATTAAAATAAATATAAAAAAAAGAATTAAATTTCTTTTTTAAATATACTTTTTTAAATGTTGACTATTAACGAGATTTGAACACTGAACCCCCAAGTCTAGCAATTTCTTGCTTTCTATCACGTAACAATTACTACGCCACACATTTTTAATGGAACCTTAATTTCCCCCCTCCTGGGCTTCCTAATTTGCCTGTAATTATTTCCTTTGGTACGATTGTATAGTATATTGAAATATAATATATCTAATATTGAAATATGTGGTCGAGTTTCAAAATTGTGAATTCTTATTATTATTAAAGGGAGATATGGAGTCATTTATATGCTTAGTAAATGAGCAAAAATGTCTCCATTTTCCAGCTATTATTCTCTTTTATAAAAAAGAAAGTAATAATTTAAGAAAAAAGAATATTTTATTTACTTTGCAATATTATAAAATAAATAAAAATTAAAAATATAATTTTTGAAGTATTAACAATCATGGGGGTACGAGCCCCGGTCACTCGGGTTGTGCAATTTGTTGTTTCCAATCATGTAACACTAATTCACGCCACACAAGGCTTTGCCGTGTGTGACGTGAAGTGCTTTTAATTTGTTAAGTGCTTTTCTGCGCTTTTTCATTAGAATCATATTTTGCCCCCTCCTGGACCCCTTAATTTGCCGATAATTATTTCCTTTAACACGATTGTATGATATATTAAAATATAATATTTTGTTGCGTTTGAGGTTTATTGAAAATTATAGGTTACTAGTAAGCGGAGATATGGGGTCATTTATATGTATAGTATAGGAGCGAAAATCTCTCCTATTTTAACTACTACTACTACTTTTTTACTATTTACTACTTATTTGCAAATATATAATTATAGTTACACGCGCTTTATTTATGTTATAAACATGAATCAGATATATTCACTTATGAAATTAGATTAGAAAATTTTTTAAAAAATACTGAATTACTTTTTTTTCTTTGTGGATTCGGATTTTTAAACTTCAAAGTATGGGGATCAGTCTTAATCTGGAAATTATGGTGGTTCTAAGAAACTACAAAAGAAAAGACACAGATGAAAATTTGGGTTTCTTAATTTTTACTTAAGTATTGGAAACGAATAAATATTCATTTCCAATACACAAGTAAAAATGAAGTTGTATACGTAAAAATAAGTTGAAAAGATTCCGCATAAATATATAAAACTCTATTACCTTAATTTGTCTCAACCTCGACTTTGGCTTTGAAACCCACATAGCATCAAATTAATTTGTTCGGGGAAGTAAAGGCAGCCAGTGCGCAACAGTGACTACGTTGAATATAATGGACTGTTACGTAGGTACTTAATTCTTTTCTCTAATGATACTTTAATTCAAAAAACAGTTTTAAGTAATTTATTACTCATTCTAATTTGAAAATGATTTCGCAATTTTAAATTTTGAAGCATAATAATTTCTGATGCTTTGAAACAACGTAACTTAAAATGGAAGAAAATATGAAACACCCGAGTTGCATTCTTAAATATTTTCTCGCTAATTCACTAACCAAAATCTAAAATCATTTTGTTTACTGGTTTCCGTGTAATACAAATTCAACCATACTGCTCTATGTCATACGTTTATAAATGTATGTCATTCTGAGGAGAAAATATTGAACATTTCCAAAATTTTTCAATCGCAAGCCGCAAACGTTTTTTAATATCGCGAGATTTAACATTTTCCATTATTATGGCGACTGTTCATATTTTGATACCGTAATTTTTCTTATGTGAGATTATTTTTCAGAATTTTTTCTCTTGTTTGTTTAGTTTATACTAGGTTATTTTAATTGATACTTTTAATGTCTACTGTGAGTCTATACTTTTTATTATCGACTCACATTACCATGACATTGAAGAAGAAAATTGTATCCCCAATCTGAATTTGAATCAAAATAATTAAGAAGGAACTAAAACGTTTCAATAAGATTTAATAAAATTGAAAACTTTACAAGCTAATTAAATCAGAATTTTTGAATTAAAAAAAAACGCTTCTTTTGTCCTTTTAAAAGCAGTATTTTCTCTTATGGCATGAATTTGTCAGGTGATTGATCTTCATAGCCTTGAACCCTGATGCCGTGCGCTTTTCTAATGCATTCACAAATATCTGCTCCAACCGTCAACAGTTATTTAAATTCCATTTTGCCGGAATTATTAATCAACAGATATTGGTATTAATTTTTTTTTCAGAAAGTTATTATTAGAAAGAAAAAGAAGAAAAAAACGGTTTATCATAACTTAGAATAATGGATTTGTATGGCGCTTAAAATCTTTTAACTACAGACATTGTTTTTGTGCTTGCATCCAATCGAAAACATTTACATGAAATCGTCGAATAATAATTAATTATTTCTCCTAAGTTTAAAAGCACTCGTTAATCACATTGATTTAGTAAATTTTTAGTTTAGAACATAAAAGAAAAAAGAAAAAAAAGGATATTGAAAATGATCTTCTAGAGAAAATATATAGCTGCAGTTAATTGTTAATGATAAAGTATTATGAATAGACGCATTTTATATTTATTTAAAAACGGAATTACTGTTACATTTTAAGTTCACATCGATGATCATGCTTATTTTTATGCAACATTTAAGCTTCGTAAACATCTGCTTCCTGCAACAAATCTTTAGTTAGTCACGCAATGGAAATTCTCGTTTATGCATATTTGTTTGTATCACTATGGAAACAGGAAAACATGCGATATTGTACACAACTAGGGAACATATAAACTGTGTAGTAAACTCTTAAAAATTATCAGAAAGCAAAATTACAAAGCTAACAAATAATGAAGATTTAGAATAAAAGAGAAACAAAAAGGCTTCAGTTTTGCATACTGTTCGATTGAGTCAATGCCATTTAAGCATTTATTTTTCAGTATAAGTTCAAGAGCTTGATCAAAACTTTCAGAAATAGACAGGCTGCGTTCATTTATAATAGTGAATTTTATTTTCTCCCTATCCTTTATACATATCCCCTAAATAGTTTTCGAAAAAATATGAATTATTGTGCGAAGCGTTTTGTTTACTTTACCTACAGTTTAAAGACACGAATTCCCTTTTTTATTACTAAAATATCCGATGAAAAATTCATATTCACATCTTATATCTGTGGATAATTTTCTATTTGCACTTTTTAAATAATTTGTGTTGTTAGGTCCTGAGATTGAATCAATTTAGATTTAGTTAGATTCAATCGCGGAAAAATTTCGCTAACATGAAAAGTGCTTCGATATTGAAATCATCGCGATCTCTGGATGACTTGGGTGATAAAAAAGCGTTTGATGTTAAAATAGGATACAACCAACGGAAAAAGATACCCCCTTTGGGAACTTCGGATCCAGCCCCAAAAGCCTTATTTGTGACCATGTACAGAAATGGAGACCAGTATTTTCCTGGTATTAAAGTGAGCATAAGGCCAGGCAAAGACATGATGAATATGGCTGGTTTTTGTGATTACCTCAGCCAACGCCTGGCTATTCCTCAAGGCGTGAGATACATTTTTGATTTAAATGGGAAAATTATAAATGATTTACAGCAAGTGAAGGACGGTGACTCGTATGTAGCATCAGGTGTCAAAACATTCAAAGATGAATCTTATGGAAGATTAGCTGTGTTACGTACTAGTATGAGACCTAACGCTGCACCAATGCGCCCAGATGATATGCTGTTATATAGGTAAATAATAATTTTTTTAATGCATGTTTTAAGTCATCCAATAAAAATAAAGATTAAATGTATTCAGTATCATTTTGCATCATGCTGTAGCTCGGGGCCAACTCATGATCGCCAAAATTTACTGCAATCAATTGAATTTTCTGGTACTTATCACTTTTAGTTTTTTCTTTAGAAAAATAACCTCTTTTTACAGTATTCTAAAACTGTACAGTTTTGGTGTAGTTTAAGTAGGTACAAAATATACTAATGCATAGTACCTATAATCGTTTATTTGGGATCTATTGAAACTACATCTTATGCCATAATAACAGTTGTGCAGATTACCAAAAATAATTAAGAATTATTGGTGTCAATAATATGACGAATGAATAGTATGACGTCATAATATGAATAGTATGACGAATTTTTACATTTCTCATAAACATATCATAAACGAATTAGCAACATTGCTTAATCAATTTTGCTTCGACCCACAGCCTCTTTATTAAAATATTTTTATTTTAATTAGTTCCTATTACCAAAATCAAAACATCATTAGCGTTAAAATTGATATTGAGATTTTTTTACTTTTCCTCGAAGGGAATTAGTATCATTTTTCCATTAATTTTGTATTTTAGTACATGGCTTTTTTTTTGTTTCCATCAATGCTTATTACTAGAATTAGTAAAGGATCATTGGCATCGATAATAGTTTTGCGTTTTATTTTACACGTTTCCTAAATTAATAAGTACTATTTCCCATAGGTTTGCTTTTAATAGAAATTTTTTTTTTAAATTTCAATTAGTACTTATTACTAAATTTAATAAAGCATCATTGGCGATTTTTTAGTTTTCCCCAAAACGAATTAGCACCATTTCTCCATTAATTTTATCTTCTATTATATTGCTTATCTTTTTATTTCAACTATTACCTATAACCAAAATTAACGAAGCATCATTGGCATCAATAAAAAATGACGATTTTTTACGTTTCTTCTAAACTAATTAGAACTATTTCTTTATTAATTTTTACTTTTCAATACATATTTTTTTATTTCAATTTCGACTGATTTTAAATTATTTAGTTTTACAGAAGCACGTTTTCAAAGCATAACTATAAAAAATTAACGGGGGGATAGCTTTAGAAATACTGATTCGGAAATGTTGTCTATCCGTGATTCTATGTTCATCTTGAACATTGAGTTTATCTGACATAATGAATTAAAAATGATTAAATGTTAAAGAACGTGCAATAAAGTCCAGAAAGCTATAAGCTAACAAACATCACTGATGTTATCTTAAAAATATTTCGAAAAAAAATCGTTTGTAGTTTAATTTTTATCAATGGCGGTTTCTAAACTAATGAAAAAATTCCATTTTTCAAAAATCTCTCCCGAAAGATTTAATTAAAAGTTTTGGATGATTTTCAGCATCGGGGACGAGAATTGTCCCATTCAAAAAACTCTCCAAATTTCGGGTCACTAGCGTAAGCGGTTGTTAAGATATAAGAGAAACAGATACACAGACAAACTCTTCATATTATTATTATTAATATACTAGTGGGCTGCGCCCCCTGCTCGCTAACGCTCGACAACCCCCGAAAATTGCTACGCAATCTTATATGGTTTGCTTCGCAAACCAAGCTCGCTTCGCTCGCTACTAACTTAGGTACATTGCAAATGCACAAAATTCTAAGAATTCAAAACAATCATTCAAATCCATATAACAGCTTTTTTTTAGCAAAAAATTACATCTTTTTAGTAAATACTAAGTCACTAAAATAAATTGGAATTCAAATAAATGACATGTAATTCGTTAAACCTATTAGAAATGTGCTTTAGTATAAAATCTTAAGACAAAATTTCTAAAACTGATATCTCTTTGAAAAGGTTAAAATTTTGGCTATTAATTAAGTATATTAAAAATTTAAATAAGTGAATTGCAATGGAGAAACCTGCATAAACAAATAAATTCGTGATATAAATCAAAAATCGTCAAATAAATTCGTTAAGAAAAGCGCTTTCGACAAAATACTAAAATAGAGATCTATCGACAAAGACTACTCACTTCTGCCTAGCTTATGCTCTCTCTGGTTACTTCAGTTTCCATTTTTAAAAGCACTATATATTGAGCCATCTCAGCTAGATTTGGCATGTGACATTTTTAGCGGCAATCATTGGTTGATTTTCTAGCATTGCTATTCGGGGAGTTGTAATGAGGCTTTTCTTTGTCGCCGTGTAAGAGAAATATATATATAGATTTCAGAATTCTTGATGAAAATGAAGTAAAAAGGAATGAAAGTCAGTGGTCACGAATTTATATTTAGGAGATGAAAAATAAAAACGTTCTCGAAGTCTGGTAAATTTCCAATGAGGAAGGCAGAATTTCTAATTATCTATTCTATTTTTTTTATTCTACTGATCTATTCTAAGTTTCATTCAGGAAATCAATCAGGTTCAAATATTTTTAATCCCACCTTTCTCGTCAATGCTTCTTCTGTTTTAATAACATATTTCTCGTTTTTTCGCTTAAATATTAGATTGCTACCCAGTTGTGAAATATTTTGTCTTCATTATGGAAAAGGATTCTAAAAATGTATATTAAGGAAGGTAATTAGCGTAACATCCTGCATAAACAATCTTGATAATAATCTATATAATTTCTAAATTTAATGGTTTTTAAGACAGAACCGTGGTAGCTCAGGGGATAGAGCGCTAGCGTCCCAAAGAAATGACCCAAGTTCCAATTCCAACGATGGCTGGTCGATACGAACTCTGCTCCCAGGGGGCAGCAACCACAGGGCTGACATAAAATATTTTCTGAAATAGTCAGATCACGGGAGTAAAATTTAGAGTTTAAGGGTTTCCTCGCCATGTCACACAAATACGAGTTAATTCCTTCAAAAAGTCCACCATGACGGTTAGTTTGTCCCAATGTTTGATACAAGAGTTTCTCTGTCTTCTGGGTCGGATTCAAAATTACAAGGCTGTGGAGTTGATCATCAATAGTTTATTTTACCCAAAAATGGGTCAATTGTGCAACGACAGTCATAAAAAAAAATCTTTGAGGCACGCGTGTTAGTGTTTTTTCACTGTAGGTGCTTCATTCCGAGCATAGAAATATTTTTTATCTCATAATTTAAAATTCTTCATAGAAATTCAAAATTAACCTTTTAATTTTATTGGAATTTGATTTTGAATTTTAATTGATTGATGAACCGTGAATCTGTTAGGTTGAACAATGTTACATGTTAGCAGTCCCAAACATGCAGGTCCTTTATTACAGCCATATAATTTCTTGGTAAATTCTTACTCATTTAATTTATGTCACATAATAATATAAATTACGGTTAAATTTTCAAAATATGTAAGTGTTTTGAAAATTATTGTTGGCCTCAATAATTGACTTCCAATACCAATGCTAAAATACTGATATCTTTAAAAATATTAAGTCACTTTAAGAGTAAAATGCACGATTGGAGTTAATTTGAAATTATGGTTTTGTGGTTTTTTAAATTTATGCAAAAAATTTTTTTTGACCTGGTTTTTAAGGAAAAAGAGGTATCAGAATTGAGTGTATAACTTTGCTTTCAAAAATGTAATATTGATTACTTCTTTATGGTGCATTCCCAGCTCTACATCTATCTACTTCTCAAATATTAGTAAGCCATGGTGTATTCTTTTGGTTTATTACAATCAAAATTTGAAGGATTCAGTTGATATCAGTTGCATAGTGATATATTAGTTTTTTAAAGAAAATTACCCCTATTTAATGCTTAATAATGCCAAGTTTATAAACTGACATATATCCTAAAAATTTATTTTAACTAAACGTCTTGAAATAATTTTTAAAACGCATTAAAATAATGCAAAACATATAAATATTACCTTTTTGCTTTTATGTTTATTTTTTAATGTTAATGAGAAGCCTAACACAAGCAGCTGATTTAGGGCAGAACAATCTTCCTTTCATATTTTTGTGGTTTTAAATCCAACTCAGAAGACATAGAAACTCAGCCAAGGATAAAAGTAAACTTGCTAGCAAGGCTAACTTTTTAGATGAAAATTAGCCTGCATTTTTGCTGCATGGAACGACATCCCAGGTTAAGCTTGACCCTTTATAAGGTTCTGATGTATAGTTTGACTGATAGTTATAAGGCTCTAATGTATGGCTTGATTGATACTTGTAAGGATCTAATCCACAATCTGTCAACCTTTGGGAATAATTTAAATTGACAGCTGAACCAGGAGCAATATGCGATTAAAACCAGCCCATCGGTTCTAATCTAGCTCTCTTTTGGCATAAATGTGGACCTGGATCCCTTAGGGCTTANATTGTTAACAGATACTTCATTTCAGGTTTGTCGCTTAAAAAATCGCTAAGTCACATAATATTTATTGGCCGCAATTATTTTAGAACTTGCTTTTTTCTTTCAATTTTGGCACCCAAGTCTAGCATTGCATTTAAATGGCCCGGAGCAAAAGGGTTAAACTCGTGTCGAGTACATTTTCGAATTGCCCCCCCTTAACAATCAAATTGACCCCCAGTGGGGCGTGGGCCCCACGTTGGGAAACAATGCTCTAATGTATGGCTTGATTGATACTTGTAAGGATCTAATCCACAATCTGTCAACCTTTGGGAATAATTTAAATTGACAGCTGAACCAGGAGCAATATGCGATTAAAACCAGCCCATCGGTTCTAATCTAGCTCTCTTTTGGCATAAATGTGGACCTGGATCCCTTAGGGCTTATGATATATCAAGCACTAACTATAACCATAGCCATCTTTCCTAGTTTACAGCTCTTATCACAATAAAAAGAGCTTCCTTAAGATTTTGCTAAACGTTCTTAGCAATTATTTATTTTCTTTTTCTTTACTCTTAATTATAACTTACTTTACACAAATGGTAGTCAGCGTTGTATGAAAACGAATGATTCAGAGCAAGGATGCAGAAAGTATCAGAACCCCCAGCAGTAAGCATATTTGAAAGGCAAACTAGCTGGTTGACCGAAGGTCACTAATAATAATATAATTAGCCTGTGCTGTAAATTTCTTTCTTTAAATTAATTTTTACGTTCCATAATTAAAACTTGTTTTAGAATGTATTATATATTGAGAGTTGCGACTTTTAATGAGTTATTTGTTCTAAATGTAATTTCCAAGTAGCAACTGTGAACTGTTTATAAAAAAAGTCATTAAGTGTATAAATTTTTTTAAAAAATGTCTATAAAAAAAAGATTCTCAGGATGAATACAGTGTTATTTTTTTAGAACTTTATTTTCAAAAAAGTACCATCATTCATTTGAAAAAAGTTAGACAAAAATACTATCTAATGAATAAGCGAAACGAGCTTAATTGCGAAATGATCCGAAAGAACTTGCGAATTAATCCAAAGGCAGTTCTTGAGGTTGGCAAGCGCTGTAAGCAGTGGCGAAGTCTCCTTGCTATTAATTATACTGAAAATAAAAAAATATTATTCAGTATAATATAAAAAATAAAATGCTAATGAAAAATAATTAAAAAAAACTTAAAATAATATCAATAAAAATAATATATTGTTTTTGCGTAAAATTGCCTTTGATTATGGGATAAAATAGAGCAAAAAATATTTTTTGATTAGCTCAATTAGTTTTAGAAGTATGGCGGGAAAAAAAACTTTAAAGAAGCTTCAAAATTTTGACCACTTACCTGACTAACTCTTGGAATCAAATTTCTACTAGGTGCCGTTCTTACTGTTTGAACAAATAAAAATCCAATTTCGGAGAGAAAAATACATATTTTTTTTAAACAGAAGTAAGATTTTATGTTGATCGTGTAACTTAAATTATTCTCTATAAAAATTCATTACCATATTTTAGGTAAAATTCTTTAATCATTAAGATTGCATAGTACGTTAAAATTTGCCCCTTAAATTAAAAAACACTCAAGGCATTTCGTTTACTATTTTGTCCAGTGTTTACGTTTAATATCATTCATAATTAAAAACTGTTGGAAAAGCATTGAAGACCATCGATGAATGCTGCATAAAATAAGTTGGATCATTTTTTTTTCTTTCAATTTTATTTCTCAGTTTCATTGCAAATATGAAGATTAACGAGATCGCTTCAGTTCATGCCAGGCAAAAATGTTTACTAAACTATAATATCCAGCAAAAAACAAATCAAAATCTGTTGGCCCAGTGGTAGAAAATTATCGGCAGCCACCAGCTGAAATGCCGTGTTGGCATACCGTTTGCCGTCACTTCCATCTGAATAAAAATGGCTTGCCTGCAGTCGAGAATTAACAGTAAATGACCAGCGATTGACCAGCACTTTCGAAATCTGAAATTTCTAACTAGTTAACGAAGGAAAAGTGTAAGTGATTGTTCATTACTGTTCGATGTGTAATCAGCAGATAGATTGAAATCACTTAAATACTGTTCTAAAATATGGAGTGTTGTAACTATTAGTTTTAACTCTGATTGTAGAATGTGTCTATTCTTTCATAAATGCCAAATTTTTATTTCACAGTTGTCATAAAATAACTTTTGATACCTAATCTACTTTTTATTAACAGCATCCATAAATGTGCAACTGCTATTATCTATATTTATTTGCTACGTGAACCTATTTAGAAGCAAATAATTTTTATATTTTTAAACACTACAAGCTTGCAAGCTTTTATGAAAGTAACTGCTATATCAAAACCATCTAGTGTCGCCTTCTATGCCTTCAAGTCCTATAAGTTTAAGCAGTCGCATAAGTCAAGTCCTATAAGTATTCCTATACGCTTAATTCTTACATTATGCAGGTTGCGTAGAGCTTTTAAAAAGTGCTTAAAGGTGCTTATTTTCGATTTTCGTTCTTTAAAAGCCCTTAAAGGTGCTTTTTTCCATGGTTGTTTTTAAAAAGTACTTAATTTTTCCTTTTTCGAAATGTGATATTTTTATTTACCATGCTGATTTTCACCACAAATTATGCAAAAAACAAAACATTGTTCCATTCAACGTTTTCACAATTAATTCAACCCCAATCTTTTTCGGAGTACCGTCGGTTTGTAGTGTTTGAAAATACCCTTTGTTTTACATGTATGATGAAATACTTTCAGGTCCGCATTTGCGTATGCTGAGCTGGATTCAGTGGTAAGGAATTTTGACTCTCATGTGCAACCCTGCTGCATTTTGCAAGAGATTCACAATTTCAGACTTTATTTTCCGTCCTCTGTAATAGAATCGAAAAATCTCTCGAATTTTTGATGATTACGGGGACCAACTAAACATTGTCAAATTTTTTTTTCTCTATTAGTGATAGAAAATTTTATTTCTCTTGTTAATTTCATCGCTTGTGACGCACCATCGTCTTCGTCACTGTAAATAAAACCGGATAAAATCATCAATTGTTAAAAACTTGCCAACCCTGTCTAATTATGATGTTTTTCAAAGTGCTTGAAAATATTTCTTGAGTGCTTGATTATGGGCTTATTTTTTGTTGAAAAATTCGGCTACCCACCCTGTTATACCTACATCTATTTTTAAATCTTTATTTTTGAAGCTGTTAATTTTTCACACTTTCAGACAACCTCATCATCCAACTCCAGAAGGAATATCTTTGCCTGGATCTAGAGAGAGCTGCGTAGTTACTGTTGTGAATAAGAAAGAACCAGCCAGAAGAAGTCGCGTTCTCCTCAACTTAAAAACGAGACAAAGTTGGGAGGATGTTCTTAAAGATATGGGACAATCAATCGGGATGAGAAAAGCATCTCGACTACTCACACCCTGGGGGGCAGAAGTAAGTAAAGTGAAAACATTATACTTTTAGCCAAATATTTTCATTCTGTGTGACCCAGAGTTTTGATTACTTCATCTTCGTGACTTAATAGAAATATTATGCTTTATTGATTTTTGTTTCTATGTTTCATTGTTTTTTATTTTTAAGATTATATCTTATTGCCGCCTTTCGTTAATATTTTATCTTTACGAATACATTTCATTGATTTATGTTCATAAAGCAATTATGCTGTTTTATTATTATCATTGTTATTATTTTCGCATGAATTATTTTGCAGAGGAATAGAGCAATAAAATTCAAGCAATAACTAAACCAATTAAAATGAAAAATGCATAATCAGTTTTGCAATATTTATATACTTCAAACGCTTTTCTACATGTGTAATAAACCTGTTATCCGGGCAATTTAATTTATTTAACGATTTCGCTTAAAATTTCCATTTGAACGGCTTGAAATAGAGAAAAAAACATATATTCTTTTAATTGTTATAAAACATTTGCTTGGAATAATTTAACTTTATTTAATATAGCAAAGTAATAATTTCCGATATGCTTTTTTTTCCCTGAAAATATTTGTTTATTATTACAAAAATAATTGTAAGGAAGTATTTACAATGTTAAAATCAAAAATCAGATTTATTTTATCACATCAATTTTAAATGATCAGATCTATTTTAAATGTTTCTATATAAACGACTGAATATTGATAGAATTCGTGTGAATGTGAAATGATGAGCTGGAATCGATTATGATGTGTTAAATTTTACTCAAAAAATCGAAATCACTCAGTGTTATAAACTAGATACTAGAGCCTGGGGAAACATAATCGGAAAAAAAGATAGGAAAATCAATTGGAGTCCGTTAATATCGAGGATATTATGCTCATTTAGGGAAAGCAAACCTCGTTAGGATGTAAAGTTAATTGAAATTAATAAAAAAAATAATTCTCTTTTTTAACTTAATGGTTTGAAAAAATAATTTCCCTACCTAGTATTTTTTTTAAATTATCAATTAATTTTATATATTTTTAAGACTTTTAAATTTAGATTTGCATTACTATTTAATTTTTCAACCTACAATTATTCAAGGGGCCTGAAGACATCTAATAATTATCAGTAATTTAATTGGAGTAAACCCTTTTCTAAACATTTTTAAGCCAAGCTAGTTTTTTTAAACTTGAAACGGTTATTGACAAATTCGACTTTTTAAAAATGTATAGTTATTCTGTTTGAGATTAATCATCTGTTTTCATAATGGATTAAAGTCATAAATTCTATAAATAAAATAAAAATAAAACAAATGTTATAAAAAATACCAGTTCTCAGCTAAAGGATTTATCAATTGATTTGGTCAATGGTGCATACATGGGCATTTTTTTTTTTTTTTGAATAAAATATTATTTTTCATGCACGAACTTGTTTTTGTGTCGTAATGAATGTAATTTAAGCATGTTTCAATAAAAATATTTAATTTTATAAAAATTTCTATCCTTGGTCTGAAATAGGTATAACATTATTGACTTAAAATGTCAAAATTTTGATTCCTTATAACAAAAATGTCCAAACTTTTTGGATTATCTCCATTTAATTAAAATATTTTAATAAAACAACTTTTTTTCAGTATTACTCAAAAAATAGTTTTTTTTAAAAAAAAATAAACAAAAATATGTATTTGCAAAGTTTTTAACTGAGTTTAGTGTATACCATGTTTAATAGTAATCTTCATGTTTTAGAGTTTCTAAGAAAAGGTTATACAAAGTTAGAGTCATACAGATTCCCCTTAAAATAAATATTTTTGAAATTGCAGATTTTTCAAAAAAGTACAACACGTTACAAAAGTACAATAAATAGCTTTGATTAAGATCTTTCCAAGCATCGTTAAAACTTCAAAGAGGATTTCCTTTTGAAATCGTAGGGAAGGAAACTTCTTACTTTTCCTATTGACTACATACTAAATGATTATTTAAAATTCTAACAAATTGTCTTTCAGGTGAGAAGTTTTTCGCATCTAAAGAATGATTTTGGGGACGTTGAAACGTTTTATTTGGATTCCGCTTCTGGAAGAAGAGGAATTCCTCGAAGAGCTAATAGCGATTCAAATTTGAAAAGTAAAGTACTGTAGAAAATGAATTCTATCGTCACTTATAGTGGTGAATTTATGTTTAAATTTTTATGCACCATTATCCATACTCACATAATAGAATCAGTGTCTGTCACGCAACAATAATCATAACATATTTTCTATCATTTAAAAACTAAATCAATACTTTATTTAATAATTTTTCAATAAATAAAAATAATTTTTATATTTTCATTCAACGACCTTGACATACGAAGGGAAAACAATCTATTCCTAGATTTTCGAAAACCGTGAGCCCTTTGTCGAAGATGTCTTTTATATTATACTTTTTTCTGACTCTCTAATTACAAGCAGAAATATATTATGATATTATGGTAGTCGAATTACTGAAATTTATTTTGTTGAAGCTCAGTTCTTGAACATTATAGCGCGATGCATATAACTGAGTTCAAGATTTTATTTAAAGTAGATAAAGGAAAATTTTATTTAGTGACTCTAATAGCAGCTGANAAGTACTGTAGAAAATGAATTCTATCGTCACTTATAGTGGTGAATTTATGTTTAAATTTTTATGCACCATTATCCATACTCACATAATAGAATCAGTGTCTGTCACGCAACAATAATCATAACATATTTTCTATCATTTAAAAACGAAATCAATACTTTATTTAATAATTTTTCTATAAATATATATAATTTTTATATTTTCATCCAACGACCTTGACATACGAAGGGAAAACAATCTATTCCTAGATTTTCGAAAACCGTGAGCCCTTTGCCGAAGATGTCTTTTATATTATATTTTTTTCTGACTCTCTAATTACAAGCAAAAATATATTATGGTATTATGATAGCCGAATTATTGAAATTTATTTTGTTAAAGCTCAGTTCTTGAACATTATAGAGCGATGCATATAATTCGAATTCAAAATTTTATTTAAAATAGATAAATGAAAATTTTATTTAGTGACTCTAATAGCAGCTGTATTATTGAAATTTATTTCACTGAAGCTTAGTTCATGAAAGCTGCAGCAAGATGCATAAAAACAATCAAGCGATACAAATAAAGAAACAATACCAATTTTACTATATAATTTTTCATACTGTATTACAATAATACAGAGTGAAAAATATTTTTTTTGTTTTTATTTTACATTAATTTCATAAATAATTATTTTTTATCTAAATTTTGATAATTTTTATTTTTAAGTACATTGATGGATTCAAACCCACCTCTTGATTTATTCTAAGTAATGCAGTCGGATTTATCTTCCATGGAAATGCTGTTTGTTATATGATCTTCTGACATTTTCAAACGTTATAAAGGGTTGGTTCTGCATTGTACATGGAAATGTATTTTGTCTAAATATAACTTAAGACCACCACCATTTACTTGGCGACAATGGTTTCTCTTGTATTTTTTTTCTACCCATTAATTTCTCTTTTCATTTTTGTCAGCAACAGTGCCTAATATTCTATTTTCCTCAATACAAGCAATCATACATATATATATATATATATATATATCGATCTTCTATCACTTTTGACTATTAAGTAAAATAAGTTTTTTATTATCAAATATCAAATTATTATCAAGTTCTGGTTCAAAGTTTTGAGAAATAGGAGAAAATAGTATATTTTTTTCAATTTTTGTACTTTTCACATTTCGCTAAGAACTTTTTGACGAAATCAGATAATCTCTGATGAATTAATTGGTCTTACATTTGAAAAATTTTTACTAATGTGTCATAGTTAGATTTTAATATTTCTTTTCCGAATTTTTTTTTTTAATAAGATTGCATATTTTACACCGAATTTCAATCTACCCAAAGTAAGAATTCATTTTTACTGTTGTACTTATATGTTAAACAAATTTTTTGTTACGCATTTCTAGCAATGTTTTAATGATTCTATGATTTTTATTTAGTTACAGTAGGTAAAAATAAACATATTTTCCATCAAACGTGTCTTAATTTAGGTAATAGTTGAAGCAATCGATTATTTTTTAGACATGGAATTGTACCATCAACTTGAGATTCTAAGTCATGCAAATAAAAGGAGCGAGGAAGACATTGCCGGAATGGTTTGGCCAATTTGGCACGAGTTTGGCTTGCAGCATAGACTAAAGGAACCTTATTCAAAAACAGCCCAATTTTAAGAAGGTTCTCATCTTCTTTTTTGTCTTTCATAAAATTGCAATTAAACATACCTACTAAGTGAATTTTAGCTATGCTCATGTCCTTTTTACAGGTATCATCTTCGAAATTCCGGAAGATGAAAATTACGAATGTCAATAAATTTCAATGTAGAAGATTTCATTTTCGATGATTTCAAATTTTTATACGTTTATCTCTTTTTCCTTGCTATATTTTTTTAACAGATTCTACTGCATAAATTGTTAAAATTTGCAAAATTCAATAATTGCAATCAACTGCTTCAATTTGGAAATGATACCATTTTTATGTATGGATAACAAAGATTCAAATTTTATATAATTCATTACAGAGTTTTAAAAAAGTATATGCTCTTAATATTTGAATTCGAATGTTACGATTCTTATACTTAGGATGCTTCGAAAGATTTTCTTTGATAAATATATTTAATTAAAAAGAAACATTACTTATAAAATTGAATCATTTTTCATGTATTTTTGTTGCGTAATTTTTGTAGGTACTGGTACATTTTGAGACAATGTTAATTTTAAAAGTTAATCATATTTTTGGAGAGCTCGGCGAAAGCTGTAACAGATTTAGCTACTCAGGGTGCACCACGTGAAGGCCTGCTTCGTTACACCCGGAATATTTTCAACGAATTAGTTAGCTTTTTCTATTATTACACCATGCTTATTTTAATATGTTTGCAATATTGGGCATCGCGAAATTTTGGTGTGATTTTTTTTCTCATTAGAAAAATTTTACCAAAATCAATTTTATAGATAGTTGATTTAGAAATTCGCACTTTTCTCATAGTGGGTAAATAAATGATTAAAAAAAAATTAATAATAAATTTCTTGAAATTTTTTTTTTAAATTTATAATTAAAATAAAAATTCAAAATATTTCTACTTTTTTTAACATTTTAGAAGATGCATGACTTTAAACTTATCAAATCTTTTTCAGGTTCACGCCTTTTTTTAAATGATTGGGAGATCAGTAACGATAGTAACTTTGTAATAAATTATAAAGTTGTCTTTCTTTTTTTCTTAATTTTTAGTTGATAAAATTCATATTTTCTGCTCACGTGCTTTTTATTTTTTGTGCAAATTTTAGTTCTATTGAACTATCTTAAGCCTTATCGATTAAAACGAAAAGGAGGTAAACAAATTTTTTTCAAATTTTGTTTGCAAGTTAATCACTTGAAACATTTGGAACTTATAAAATCCAATTTAGAAATAATGTACTTTAAAAATATCACCTTACTTCTTTTTTTGTCTTAAGTTATAGTTTTTGGTCGATTTAATTTTAACGCTTTCTCTTTTGCACTATTACAATAATGACAAAACTGTAATAAAAGTTTCGAAATTATCCTTTTCACTTTTTATTAAGAAATGATATTTGTCATAAAATTAAGAATTGCGTACCGGTACAAAGTTATTTATCTACCGAGTTTTTGTCTTGCACGTTTTTTTATTTTATAAATTAAAATAATGCTTGAAACAATAAATCAAATATTTACTTTATAAAAGCAATGGTGAGATATTTCTCACATTAGTTACATATTGATACCTATAAAGTTAAATTAACTTCAAATACCACTTATACATAGCGTTTTTTTAAAATTTAAATCATGTCAAAATGCTAAAAACTGTTCATTTATTTCTGCAGCGTCATCTCTGGACAGTACATTAAGGATTGAAATTCCCGGAGGCTCAAAACGGCGATGGTCACCCGAGTGAGTTCTAATAACTGAAAAGGATTCAACAATTGCCAAAAAGAAATCCGTAATGAAGCGGTCCATAAGTCAACAAGTCGAACCTGCCGTGTCAAGCTTCGGGAGGTTGGAATAGTTTGGACACAAGAAACCGTTTATTGTGGCTTTCCATGCTAATGATTAGAAATAAAGCATGCCAACTGTCATTTTTGTTAAATTTTAATAAATAAAATTAAAATAACTCTTTGTGATTATTCTTCACTAAAAGTTGGACTTATTTTGCACTAAGTATTAATTGGAAGGAAAAAAAACATAGGTTTGAAAATCAAATTATCTTAATAAATCAATAGTTAATGAACTTTTGAAATAGAAGGAAATTTGTAGATTTGGGGTTTATTTTGGTGTAATGTTCTTCATTATAAATTACAAATGATTCATTCTGCTCAATACTTCTCTTCACTGGTAATCGGGGTAAATAAACCTCCACTGGTCCATATCAGTATCCCCAATCAAAATTCCTTAATTTACAGAGTAAAAAATTCCGTATCAAGTTAGGGTGCCAGTACTTTCTGCCGTAAAATCGATTTTTACCGAAAGATGTTACGGAACAAAGAAAAATCTGATATGCTGTAATTTTTGCAGTGATGATTACAGTAAAATCACTCTAATTAAACAAAAGTTCCTGTAAAAATTACGGTAAAAATGGATTTTACGGCGCATGATGGACACAAAGTGTTAGTAATTTATATCGTCATTCGATCCGGAATTTTTGGCAGCGAACACTGATTATTTTCTTAAATATTTAATAATTTTCCTTGAAAGAAATTTACTCAAAGAGTTGCTATTTCTTAAATTCAAGTTTTGTTTATTTATAAATTTTTTTTGTTCATATATTTGCAAATTCATCATTCTTTTCCTTGCTGTATTGAAACTATTACTTAACTCGCATTATGGAATCCGAAAAAAAGAAATGATGGAAAATAATAAAGTAGTAATAAAATAAGTTAAAATGCCTAAAAGCCGTTGATATAGATGCCAATTATCGAACTCATTTGGATTGTTTGCTGACTTATGTGTGCTTTGGCATTGCTGATATTTGTTTATAATACCGAAACGCTTGTCTGCCTTTTTAATTTCTTTATGCGACTTAGTGCGTCTTTTTCTGCATTTTTTTATAATGCACGCTTTCAAACACCTCCAACTGAAACGAAATACCATGCCACATAAATATAAATTTATACGCATATAATATTAATTATGAAATTTCTATAACAACAACTTAATTAAAGCTAGTGTTAAATCTTTAAGTGCTAAATTTCTTTGCCTATTGAATGTATCTAAAAAGTGCATAACAGAATTTTCGAAAAATATAACTCCTTTTTAAATGTTATCTGAAAAAGAAATTTATACAGATTTAAAATATAAATAACTAGTCACAGAAGAAATATACGCAGAAAGTAATACTATTAGTAATTATAAAAGATAAAACAAAATATAGGAGACAATTTTTTTGCAAAAAGTTTTATTATTATAGTGCTTTATATAACACAGCTTTTTTTTTATAAATACAATTCAACATGACGCTCAATCGAATGTTTTTTTAGTCCCTTAAGACGTCTTGAAAGGAAACTTTCATTCCCAGTTTCCATCAATATCATTATTTTTTTCTTCATACAGTTACTAAATTAAAATGCTGACGCAATTATTTTACCAACATTTGTTTCTTTTTTCACTTGTTTGAATAACCCAAATTCAATCTAAATTAGTTACGAATACATGTTAGGCGCTTTAAAATGACAGCAATAGAAAACACAGAACAAACAGTTCAATGGCTAGTTTGAATGGTTTCCTTAGGAACTATTTTTTTTTCTGACAAGTTTCGTGAAAACGTCCAAAGACCGTGACAGTCACGAAAGGTACCGAAATCAATACAATTTTACTTCATCAAATTCCTCAGCATTTCATTTAACGATGAGCATGATATGTTTATAGAAGCATTCAGATTTTGAAAAAGGTAATACTAATTTGTTGATCCTCTGCATTCACTTTTAAACTATTTCCTTCTAAAATTCATTCTGTAAAAAATAATCATTTTACTGTGGAGCTCTATAATGATAAGCCACATTTTCAAGCTGTTCAAGGGATCGTATTTTGTTAAAGCGCTTTTGGTTCCCAAAACTTCTATGTAAACAATAAAGTGTTTATATGCGTTATGCTAGAAATTTCTGAAATTGGCAAAAGACCAATCTGGAAAAAATAATAAGGAACAGTTTGATATATAAAAGAAAATGTGGCTTATCACTATATCGCTCTAAACCCATTTCATTCCTATATTTTTATAATCAATGCACTATAAAAATGCTATGAAAACATTTTGATTTCTTTGTATTATTGCATTTTGATATAACTAGCATATCCTTACACCATCACCTGAACTTAAATAAAAATACAGGCTAAAATACAACTAAAAATACAGGCTAATGGGCTTGATAGACAGCGCCTCTCCACTAGAAATGACTTTAAAAGCACATTGCTTGCTGAAAGCCTTTTTTTTAAATATAATAATTTCACATAATCAATATTTTAAATTTAGGAATAGCAGCATGTGTCAAAGATTTTCTCATAATCTAACTTGTTTCCGAATCAGAAATTGATTTTTTTACATTAAAAAGTTACTGATAATTTAATTTTTTTAAACCCATTTCCTTATATGGAGATAAAAAAATATTTCAGTAAAAACAATTATATTAATATTTTTTAGACTTACATATAAAAATAAAACGACTTTCAAAATCTAATGATTTTAATAAATTTTGTTTAGATATTTAGTATTTCGTCCAAAAATTACAGGGATACTTTAACTAAAAGAAAAATATTTGCAACCTGGATTTTTTACTAATAACTTTCTATTCAATTTTCTTGCATTTAAATTGAACGTATAAAATGCTTTTTGAAATAGAAATGTGACTTTCGCGAAAGTACAGTGTAAAAAAAATCCGATGAAAAGTACCGGCACTCTGGTAGCCGGTACTTTTGGTCATAAAATCCATTTTTTAAGCAAGGATACGGAACAAAAATCTGATATACCGTAGTTTTTACAATAAGTACCGTAAAATCACTGAATCACTCTAATAAAATAAATATTACTGTAAACAAATTACGGTATTATATTTTAGGATAAAAAAGGATTTTACGGATGACGCACTCAAAGTGCTGATACTTATACCGTAATTTAATCCGGAATATTTTACAGCGTAAGGAAACAATTTAGTTATTTAATCTTATTTTATTCTTGAAAGGAAAATATTTTCTTTAAAACACTCGTTATGAAGCGAAAGATACGTTATAAAATTAATAATGTTGCTCATTATAAAGTAACCAAACTGTTTTTAAAAAATCTCTCCCGAAGTATCGTAAAAAATGTACGAATATTATCAGATTCTGAAGGCTTCTAAATGGGGAAATGTCCCTAATTTGCAGTGGCGGATCCAGCAGGGGGGGGGGGGCTTAGGGGTCATGACCCTCTTCCCCAAAAATGGGGAAAAATGAAAATAATATTTTTTTAACAGTTTACAAAAGAAGTAAAATAGTTTAAAAACTATTTAAGGGGGCATAAGGGGGAATCTGAGTCTATGACCCCCCCCCAAGAAGAATTTCTGGATCCGTCCCTGCTAATTTGACTCATACATTAGCTGTGCCAAGGCATAAAACAAAGATTCCTTAACATTTATTCTTATAACTTTCCTGTGCATTTTTATTTGAAGAAAAAAAATTACGTATAATATTATATGGAGTAATTCTTGATCCATAGATATGAAGATTCAAATATTCGAATTGACTAAACGACAAAACCAAATTAGCTATGACGCAAGCCTAAGCAATGTAATAATTGACACATTCACTTTAAAAAAAAGTTTTTTTTTTGAGTTACGTCTACTTTAGCAAGTAGGCGAGGATAAAATCTAAAATATAAGCATTCCTGAATTTTTATATATCAGATATTCAAGTATTTTCCCACCAACTTTAGATTTTTTAATTTAAAATTGAGTACTTTAAGAGAATATCCAAATTTACTTACCTTCCGTAAGCTAAGATTGCAGTAATAGATAAGGTGGGGCTCTCAAACTATGAAACATTATTATGTGAAAATCCGATCAAAAATTTTCGAGTGTAACGCTTTTCATATTGTACTACATTGCTTATTACTGGAAAAACTAACCACGATAGTTTTACGTGAGAACAAGGGATGAAAATTTTTAATGATTTCAGAACTTAGTTTATTATTTTAAATATAGTTTTGATTCATATCGCCTAAAGTTGTATAATTTTTACTAATTTGACGGCTGATATGTTTGATGAAAAATGTAACCTTCACAGACTTTTTGTTTTGATCTTATATCTTTATTCCGAACAAAAGCTTGTTCCATTTTTGATATAATTTATTTCTACCTTTAGACACATCTATCAGGTTTCTTTGTAACAGCTCAAATATTGCTTTATTTTATTCATCTAACATTATTTTTTATTAAAGTAGCTTCAAAGTAAAGAATTGTTATTAAAGTAGCTTCTTAAATTATTATTATACATCTTTCGTTTCATTCCCGTCAATACGCGCTTCGAATGTGAATGTGAATTTGAACTATTCACATATTTATCTCAAAAGTAAGTATTTTAATAACACATAATTATTATGCGTTATGTTGCTTCACAAAAATTTCACATGAACTTAGAATTTATTTGTAATTCCTTTTCTTGATTAAAATCACTAATTATTAAGAGAATTATTTTAATTTTGACTTATATCCCTCCTAATATTGCCTATAGAGGCGTATATATTTTCTTTTTATTTCATATAGGCTTAATGTGTTTAAACTTATTGAAATAAATCATTAGTTTTACAATAAGCCTTCACTACTATGGGCTTACTGTAAACTCCCTTAAGGGGAGTTACAGTTAATTGGCCTAATTAAGAAATATATTTTCTAAATAGATTACGGTAATTTTGGTGCACTGATAAGCCTAAAAATGTCAGAGTGATTAGAAAATAAGTAAGATTTTTAGTCTACCTTGAAACAAAATGATTGTAGTTGTTTGCAAAGAGTCGGATTATTCAATCGTCATATGCATTAATAAACAAAAATGCTTTAATTTATTTCTCCTCAATATAGATCCAAAAAAAGAACATCTCTCATAAAAGATTTCGCCTTTTCGTGATGATGATGATGACAAGACGTAGGAGATGGAGAGATTCTGAAAAGGCTCGCCGCATCACATTTTACAGAAATGGAGATTATTTCGATGCTGGTGTCAAAGTCGCTTTGAGAGGTCCGAAGCCTTTCCCAACCCTTCCTCATCTTTTGGACTACCTCAGCCAAAAAACACGCATGCCAGCCAAAAGACTTTTTTCAGTCCAAAATGGTCATGAAGTGAAATCTCTGGAGGGATTTGATGACGGGGGATCGTATGTAGTGTCTTCCGATGGAAAATTTATTCCAATGGCTTACGGCAACATTCCACGTGTCCAAACATCTTTTCTGGAGACTGCCTTGCCAACTATAGCTAAGGATATGCAACTTTACAGACCTCAGGAACCCATTACATTTAAAAGGAAGAAAAAGAAAGAAGAAACAAAACCCTTGGTATTTGCATTTTTTTTTTTTTTTTAACAAATCTTAATAATACTTTTCAGACATTTCGGAGATATTTTATTTTATAACCCTCGTTGATCAGCCAATCCAATTCTGAGTTTACGACTTTCAATGATCAACTCCGTAGTCTTGTAGGTTTGAACCCAACCCAGAAGATAAGGAAGCGATATTGGGACAAACTGTCCTTCGTGGAAAATTTATGGTCGGAACCTTCTCACAATTGCGTTACATGGAGAGGAAAACCATGTGGTTAGAATTATGGTAAGGGGATTCTAATCCATAATTCGTCTACCTCTGAGTTTTATCTTTCTTTCTTTTTTTTTTCTTTTGCATTATTGTTGTGGTCGGTGCGAGCCCAGAGAATAATTCGTATCAGCGATACCTGGGTCACCTCAGTGGGGCGAAAGTGGCAGTGTGCAAACGCTCCGTTCCGTAAGCCACCACGTCTCAGACATTTCGGAGATAGGGATTTCAGAGAGGAAAAATCAAATGAACAAAAACTTCTCAGAACGTACTAAACGTATGACAACCAACCGTATATTATAACCAATTAATACGGTTACCCGAAAATAGTAAAGCTTTATTTAGGCTTTGCGTTCTTAGCGGATTAATTACTGACTTTTAAAATTAATAAATGATTTTATACAATATTTTTGTCCAGTTAACAAAACATTTTTAGAATATCGGGGGTACAATAAAATTACACATTTATCATCAACAAAATATATCGTAGGCAATAATTGAATATTTATGTTAATTCATTAAAAAAAAACTTGCATTAAGTCAATTATTGTACATACACTAGAGGGAAATAACGAACTAATTTAATTGGATAATAATTCTCATTTATAATATAAAAATTTATAAAATTTACATAATAGAGATATGCAAAATAGAATTAGTATGTAAGTTGAAATAAATAAGTAAAAATGGAATCTGTACTTGAAATTAGTCTTATAAGGGGCATAAATATTTCAACGCTTTTTAATCCACCCGAAAATTTGTGCCGAATTCATTAAGTTATTTTTTATGTGCTGTGAGTTTCACGAGGTATAGAAAAGCGTAAATATTAAAAATTCACAAAAGAATGTAAATAATAAATTAAAAGCCACCCCGGTTTCATGAAGCTATGCACTAGAGTACATATTTTAGATAATCTTTAAGACATCTTTAAGAAAAAAGCATCTTATTGTTAAAAATGAAATTATTTATACAGGGTGTTTATAAATTCCCGGACCCATTTTGATGTTTAATAACTCATAAAATAATGAAGATATAAACAAACTTATGGCATTTATTGATGGAATAACTCATATATTCTCCTTTTCAGGTTTGAATATCTTTACTTTTGTAAATATCGTCTGCGTGTGTGGTTAATTTCAGATAATTTCATTTTCCAGTCTAAATATCTACACTTTTCTAAATATCGTCTGCTTATTAGTTGCATTTGTCTCTCTTTTGTTTTTGGCAACTATTGCAATGTTATGTTTACTTTTGATGTGTGTGTTCTACACGTAGCACTTTTCTATGTGATGTTTTTTTTCGAGCGAATATTAAGGAGAATGCATACACCACAAGAGAAAGCACAGATTTTATGGTGGTACATAGAAACGAAATCGATAGTGCAAGCACAGAGACATTGCAGAAGAATTAACCAAAAAGACCCTCCATCCAAAAGCAGCATCTTGCGATGGAAAAAGAATTTTCTGGAAACTGGAAGTATCGCAGATAAGAAACGTTCCGGACGTCCGTGCACAAGTGATTTTGACGTTGAGCGTGTCAGACAGACATTTTTAGACAATCCTAGAAGATCTATGAGATCAGCGGCAAGAGAATTGGATATGCCAATTTCGACGGTGCACATGGTTATTAAGAAACAATTAAGACTGCAGGCATACAAAGTTCAAATTGTTTAAGGTTTGGAATCAGACGATAGGCCTAGTAGGATTGCATTTGCAACATATATGGTAGGAAGGATAGAAGATAATGCTGATTTTCTGAAGTGCATAATGTTCTCCCACGAAGCATCCTTTCATGTTTCTGGCATTGTTAATCGCCATAATGTACGCATATGGGGATCTGAAAATCCCCATGGATACCGTGAGACACAAAGGGATTCCCCAAAGTTAATGTGTGGGGTGGAGTAATGCACGACCGAGTCATTGGGCCTTTCTTTTTTACAGAAAAGACGGTCTCATCAGTCGTATACTTAGTCATGAGGGAAAACTTCGTATTTCTACAACTAGAAGAGCTTCAGCCACATGTTTTTTTACAAAGGGGACACACGTGGAAGTTCATTGACAAGGGCCATGAAACTTTTCGAGTCTATCTAACCATTTATATTATTAATTTTAATCAATCTTTATTATTTTATGAGTTATTAAACATCAAAATGGGTCCGGGACTTTATAAACACCCTGTATAATTATTTGTTTGTAATTACCAAGTAGGTAGGCAGGTATTTTATTTACGTCACACTAGAGCTTCACAATGGGCTATTGGCAACGGTCTGGAAAAATTCCTGAGGATGATCCTCTAAAATTTTGATCTTCTACACAGGGCGCTTTGGTAGCCCAAAGACCTGCACGTGAAGTCGAGCACTTTACGGTAGAACAGTTTAACTAGGAGCGATACCGTGCGCCTCCGGTCCCTACGTAAGCTGATGAAGGTGGTCACCCACCCACTCACTGACAGCAGTATTCCCATTAAATCGTTACCACAAGAACGGAAAAAATATAAAATGAATGGTTTAAATACCTTATATTTTGACTTTATCATTTGTCATTACCACACAGAACGGTAATTTTTTTTCAGAATTTTTCCGACGTATAAAATCATTACAAATTTAATAATTTACTTTTTAATCTAAAAATGTATTATAAAGATTTTTCAATTATTAATGAATTAATTATCTTTGAATTATTAATTAAAAGATTATTCCACAACTATATATTTAGCTGGAACCATTATCAGCACGAAGAGAGGGAAGACTTTTAACGATTGCTACAAGAAAAGGTGACAGTTCAACAAAGCTTCTTTTCAATGACAAAAATCCACCACCATTTGAAGAACTTTTGAGGGATTTCGGGAGAGCTTTAGGATTGCATAAAGTTAAAAAAATGGCCACTGCTTCCGGTCGACAGGTAAATTTACACGTTTTTAACGCCTCAAGGAGTATTGCTCAAACTAAAAGTATTGTAAATCATCTTATGCATCATTAATTTCGTTCGAATTCGGTTTGGTAGACACCACTATCATACCCTACAATGTAAATATATAATAAAATAAAATATAAATTTTAAAAACTATGTTTTCAAGAGAGAGACATTTTTATTTTTTCAGATAAAAAACAAGAAACGAAGAGTGCATTATTTTCGAAAAACGTAGAGGGTCGGTTTTCGAAAGACGTTTAGGGTCGTTTTCGGTGTTGACAAAAGTTTATTGTGAAAATAATAAGCCCTACGTATTCCATTTTGTGAATACGTATTCCTTTTTGTATTCCAACGTGTGACAAAAAAAACTATTCTCTCTTTTTTAGACTATGCAAAAAAATTTAATTTTCAAATTTCTTTGTTTTGTTTTTTTATTAATTTCTCTTTTGTTTTGCTGCTGCCAGTTAGCTTTTGTCAGAAAAGGTCGAAATTTTAAGAGGTGATAAAATAGCGATACATTATATATGCCTTATTTAGAAAGCAGTTTTCACTTTTACTGTCCTCCACCGATCTCAAATTAAAATCTAAACACTACAGCTTTTCGCCAAGGGGGTCGAATCTCTTGACGATAAACTCTCTTAAGCGATAATATGGCAGCATATTTTGTTTCACGATATACTGCCATATGTTCTGCTTCAGAACAAAACGTGAATTGTCATCAAACATGGAGCTCAAGTTAAGATTTAAGTGCTCTAGCTGGTGAGAGAGAGATTGAAATTCTAATTACTTAAGATTCCACTCCCACAGACACGAAAATTAGTAAATGCAAAGGCAATAAAATGCATTAAAAAAGCATGCTAAAAATATTGAAGATATTACATATTTTATGAAACATATCATGAAAGAAATCTCTCGCTGTCAAATCATGCAATTATACGAAGTCATAGAATGATCTAGGAAATTTATCATATTACACAGAAAAAAAAAATGTGGGCAAAACTACCAGAACATGATAAAATTTACTGTGAGTCTGGCCCTATGGGAACACCGAAAAGCTCGGTAATTCTTACCGATGTGCTTTGGTAATGATTTGGGAAAATTAACAATAACATGTAATTTTATGATATGTGATAAAATATGATAATTTTCATCATGTTACATTATAGTATGGCATAAAAGGAATTTTTCGGCTGAATTTATTTCTCAATCTTGTATTTTTTACTAAATGTGTGGTAATAAGAATTATAATTTGGGATTTATGGTAAATCGTTACCATAGCGAGCGTAAAATTACCAGATGAATGGTTTAAATACCGTATATTTTGTATTTATTAATCCAATTATGGTGCTTTTCTTGCTTTTTTTTTACCAGAAATGTCATTACCATACAGTACGGTAATTTCCCCAGGAATTTTTCCCCGTTTAAGCACAAAATTAAATTTTAATAATAATAACGATAAGGATGCTTAATTTAAAGACTGTCACCCTATATTTTTCTTCTCGAATAATTTGAAATATGTGTTAGTAAGAAATAGCAACTAAACTCTTGAACCTGTTTTTATAGGTGCGGAGTTTATCTCAAATGAAGAATGAATTTTATGATGTTGATACTTTTTACCTTGAAGAAGATTTTCATCTTCAAGGTAGGATTTTTAACATACTATTAAAACCAATGTGATGAACCAATCAATACTCAACCAATGATGAACCAATGTGAAAGCCAATGTTTGAAATAGTCCCCCTTTTTCCAATTATGGGCATATAATTAGAAGTTCAGAAAATTTGATTATTGATTAATAGTTAAATCAGATTAAATTAGGATAGTACCATTGTCCTATAAACTTTCAAACAATTGCTGAGCACAGTTTGTTCTCCTAGCAAAATTTAATTTAAAAATTTGTTACAAAAAAAAAACATGAAATTAACTCATTTCTTAACGAAGCAGTTATTTCTAGAAGAGAAATCGATCATTCAAGAAGTTTAATTTTTTTTCGTTTGTTTGACTTTTTAATTTAATAGCTCGTATGAACTCGTATTACAAAACTGTTTCTCAAAACTCTACTGTGTAGTGTTTAAAAATTAATTACATTTTATTACATATATTTTTTATTAGATATATTTTTCACAAAATTATAAAAATATTTAATAAAATTTTTCTAAATGAGATTTAGAAATGATTTAATATTAGATTATCTTCATAAGATGATTTGCCATATAGTATTTTTTGAAAATATATAAGTGTTTTAACTACTCATCTGAAATTATAATCTTTTAAAGAAGAAATATTTTTAAATATTAAAAGTACCTATCTACAAATAACACTTTTTTAGATCCCTTTTCCAAGTATGACCATTATACTCTACATTTTTAAAACGTCTTTCAAAACATCTTGAAAAGAATATTTTATTTAATAATCTTTTTAAAAACGACAGTTTACATTATATATCTTTAAACCGATGTGTTTTAGATTTAATAGAAAAGCTTTAGAAAGGGAAATAAAAAGCAATTTTTAATATTTTACCCTACTTTATCCATGAACTCGAATTACCGTTAAAAAAACATTAAGAGTAATTGAGATCTGATCAATAGAATAGAATAATAAATATGTAGAATTCTTTGTAATAATCGCTCATAACGCATTAATAACTCATTCACATTATATATATATGAAAAAAACCGACATAAAAAAAGTAATTGTATTGAAACAGATTTATACAGACTTATCTGACTCTTTTAAAATTCAATTTCTGAGGAGATATGCGACCGATTTCGATAAAATTTTATACTTTCCAATACAAAATAAATTCTATGAAATGATGTAAAAATATGCATACCTTACATTTAAAAAATTTTCCGACCATTATTAAAAAAATTACAAAAAATAATTAATAATTATTAAAAAGTATTTTTTGTGTGGAGTTATCTTTGTGTAATCAAATTTTATAATTTCACGCAAAAGTTTTCAATTCTCTTAAAAAAATATCGAGATATGGGAAATAATACGAAAAATAAAATTATCATAAAATTTACAAACCTTCGCCTGCTTTCCTGACCAAACTATTGGGACTTATTTCTCTGATTGCGGCTACTCCCTATGTACTAGGTCAGGATTCACAATCCATCGAAAAAAAGGTATGTTTATTCAGAGAAAATACGTTTTTGTGTCTGATTTCATAACTTAAAATATAGTCTGCAGTAACTAATTAGTGCAAATGAGATCACGCCTTCGAACCATTAAGAGTGAGTTCTAAATGCTGAAAATCAGAAAGATCTACAGTTCAAAAGTTATTCAGAGTAATTCTTTTTTCTTTTTTTTTTGTGTGTGTGTGCTCTGTACGTACGTGAAATATATATTTTTTTCCATTTACGTACTATTTATCTCTAAAACCCCACCATGCTTCAACTTCCGATCCAAAGTGCTAATATATATATATATATATATGCAAGGAGTCTCAGTTAAGCGTTTCAGAACTCCTAAGAGTGGTAGGGTGCATCCTGACGACTCGAAATCATATAGCAATGCGGGGTCGGAAATGCTTTCCCGAAGCGGTAATGTAATGTATATATAT